TTTTTAAATCTCGTAAATAAGAATCGCAACGTACAATATTCAAATCGTGTGAATAAGAATCGCAACACGCAAATATGAAAAGCTATGTTTGATATTAAAATCGTATGAATAAGAATCGAGATATTAGCAGATTCCAGGCTTGGGACCTCTAAAAGGTTTGTCAAAAGCAGCGTCGTTTGAACTATGAAAATCGGATTTATCTGGAGGGCGGGTAAAAAATTCGGAAAATCTTATCTGCTGCGTGTAAAAGGGGAGAAAATAGCTAAAATAAGTAAAAATGAGAAAGGATTGGTAGCTATGTAGTTTGAATTTTCTGTTTCTCTTTGAAAATCGGTGAATTTTCTGAAAAAACGGAATATCTATAAAAAAAAGTGAAATTTTTAGAAAATCTGAATTTTTGATAAAAAAGCTGAAATTCAAGATATAAAAGTGAAAAAAGCGGAAATCCGCTAAAAAGCGGAAAAATCTCATCCCTGTTTCTTAGAGCCGGACACAGATCTTGGAGATCACAAGTAAAGATATTATGAAAATTATGCAATATTCTCTCTGTAAAAATAAGTTCGACTTTTTCTTGATATTAGAATTCAAACTTTACACAATTAACATATTATTTCTGTTCAAAAACAGTTCGAAAAATTTTCTTGGCCATAATATAATTAAAAAAAACTATTTTAAACTAATGAAAATATTTTACTAGCTGTTGTAAATGACACAATAAATACTTTATTTAAAAGTTTCAGTTAAAAATTATAGCATATATCAACACTTTTTGCTACATATTGATCGATAACAATAATTTGTAAAGTTGGGTTAAATTTAGAATCCTGATTTTAAAATATGCTGTTAATGGCAATTTGTTTATTCTTAATCATTAGGAAACAACAGCCTTAAACGCTAATTACTGAACCAAAATAATAATACAGGTTCATAATAATAATAGAAATTTTACAATTGTTTATGGATATTTAAATTTAAGAGAATATAATTTAAAAAAATACATAAATATTTAGAATAACTAGTACATTAAAAAATATGTTATGAAATAAGGAAAATTTTAACTATTAATTATTTATACTTTTCATTTAAGTTTTTATTTTCTTTGACTTTATCAGGGGTGATTGTGAGCACAAGTCAAAATTCCGGAAAGTTTCTTGAGTTACAAAAAGAAAACAAAAAAAAAAAAGTTTAAATTGAAAAATTAGAAAAAAATTTAAACAAGGTTTTTTTCCTTTTTCTCAATATTTCTTAGTTTACTTAAAATATAATTAAAATTTTACCCATACCTATGATGACCTGGAGAAGTAATTAAAATTTACAAATATGTCTTTCTTTCTTGAGTTTACAACTATTTACTGATAAAAAATGAATATTAATCATGAATATAAGCTTATCAAGTATCTCTCTGGCTCTTACAAACACATAAAATAAACTGTGTTTTTAAGTTCCACCTTTGAAAATTTGATTTCCGGAAATTTCTGTGGTCAATAATGTTTTGAAACGTCTGGACCTTCGATCTCCGGAAACTTCTGGATCACTGTTAGTGAAAAATCCGGATTTTTCCATCTTTTAATTTTTTGCCTACCTTTCTTTTTGAAGTAACGAGGCGGTTTCTATTTAGATGGCGAATTCTTATAAAAGTTCTAAAACAACGGAATAAACTGTGCCGAGAAGAACTTTTTTGTAAAGAAAATGGCAATTTTATTCTCGGCATTGCAGTAGAATTTAAAATTCTAATCGGCAAGCCAGCAAACACTTTCTCATATCATCTTCTTTCAAGAAATGCTTACTACATATTCCTGCATATTTTATATTAATTGGGCGATTTCGTTTGCAACATTGAAGCAATTCTTCACATTTACTTTAGGGAACACGTGGAAAATTACATATTTTCTTTTTGTGTTTCTATCAGAATTTTTGTAAGTTGCAATTGCGCAAACTAGCATTTCGTTAATAATTTTAAATTTTTGTAATCCACTACAAAAAACTAAGGAAAATCATTATAGAAAACAATGAATGTCTTGGAATATGTCACAAAAAGGAATGCTTCCATGTTAGTTAGAGCTAGTTAGACAGAACTTGAATTAAAAGTTCAAGCTTTGCGCCGCCGTGACATCAGTGGAAAACCGGAGGTTTGGCGCAGCAAGAGTTTCTTCAAACGAGTGAACCAGCTGTGGTTAAAAACACAGCCACAACTGATTAGCTTGACAATGTCATACAATACAAGTGTACAGATAAAAAAATTTTTTTCGAATACCGTAAAAAGGGTAAGCACTTTAATTTTTAAACTAAATAAGTGCTAAGATTGTACAAGAATTTAGAAAATATTAGTCTTTTGAAAATAAAAGCCTTTTCACCCAAGTGAGATGCTTTCAGTTTGGTTTTTTTATTTAGCCATCATAAGAACAATATTATGTAAAAATGTCAACAATTAAGTATATTTTTAGACAAAACATGACTTAAACCAATTTTAAAAAATGGCCATTAAAATATAGTCATGAATGTGTACATAATGTCAATATTGAAAGTTATCACCCCAACATCATTTGTTTGCAATTTATCAACAATTTTCACTTTTATGCAGTTTTTATCTACAGATCTAACACTATAAAGAAATATGACGGTATATTAATAATGATATTTTCCAATTGAAAGAAAGAATTTTATTCTATAAAAAAACATTTCTTAAATACTGATAAAAAATAAGAACTACTTTTGAGTAACGGCTAGTTAAATTTAATATTTAAGACCTGTTAAAGTCTTTGGAATTTTTTTAATTAAAAACTTAGCAAGTTATAAGCAAAACACATGAAAGAAAAAACTTTTAACGAAAAATATATCCATTTTCAAAGATATGAGCCATTTTAAGAAAATGCATTTGTGTATCGGATACAGTAAGGATGCAATTTTGTAAAAGTTACATATAAATTACAAATATTAACACTGAAAAATGCAAACACACGGTTTTAGTTTGAAGTTACAGAGCAATCCAATCTATCAAACATATAATTAAAAAATTTTTTAAACTGCGTTTGGACTATGGTGTGCAGTAAAATGAATTATATTGTATTTCTGGCCACTATATCTTAATTAGATTAATAGAAAACGCAATTAATGCTTTTTGCCCTGTCAGATTATCTTTTATCTACGATAATCTTTTGTAATTGTTCTTTTGATCTTATAAAATATTTATTTCTAATAATATATCATAATGATTTCTAGAACTTATAATTTGCTACTAGTTTATTTACCAGAAATATGTGAAAATGAATAAGTGAAACAATAATTTTATGATTATGTAATATTAAAATTAATAGTAAATCATTTACCAAAAGCTTCATTCTGTGTTTTTCAGAAACAATATGTTCAATGATATCAAAACTGGTGCAACAAGCACCACACAGGAAACACTTATATTGGTTTCCTGCACGACCTTGTATTTCATGTATATAATTAAGACCTAAAAAACAAAGTATTCATACATAAAATCAATATCATACAATTAGAATGCCTTATTTTACAATAAACTTAAAACAGAATATGCATTAACACAAAACAATTTAATAGCTAAAAATTCCATTTAAATTTGTTTTTCTTTTGTCTGTTTAAAATTTCCTTCAAGAGAATATGGTACACTAATTTTGTAAAAGTCAAACATAGTGAATGAAAAAAATATTTTTGATAAATTGATTTAATAAATTTAATTCAAATAAGTAAATAAATTTAAAAAAAGTAAAATTTAATTTAATTGATTCAGTAAAATTTGATTTAATTGATTCATACAAATTTTTAAAACTCAACAATAAGCATAAATTAATATTATCTTAATCGTGTACTTTTTAATACAAGGGCCATAATTAAGTTAAGCTCATTTTTATGAAAATAAGAATTTTTATATTTTCCTTTTATATATATTGGAAAGGCATTATTTTTCTGTTTTAGCAAATTTCTTAACTTTCATATAATATTTAAAAAGTGGTAAAAAAAAGTATAATTTTCCCTGCTTTTAAAAGCATTAAAAAATGGAGTAATTATAATTCATAAAATGCCATATTGATAAAGTTAATTAAGTTTAAAAACCAATGAATTCTAAGTTTATGTATACATTAAGATTATTTTATTGACATTCTTAACCTAATTTTTGCATATAAGATAAATAGAACATTTATTTTAAAATCATGTATGTTTAATTTTAAATGATCCCAAATATAACAAAATTAAATTTGTTTAAGTTTTTCAAAAACCCTTCAACAACTGTATAGTGGAAAACTAAAATTCAAAATTTTTCAGTTCCATTCTTATCCTGTGTTGGTGGGCGTGTGTTTCATTCAATCCTCAAAATACTTAATTATTATACTCTCCCTTTTTAAACAAAAGATAATATAGATATCAGTTAATTTCAAGCACTAAATTAGGTTTCCTGGATTGATATACAAAAGAACCCTTAAATGACAAGTCTATCATTAGGTTCATTGGTTATTCAGGTATTTTTCCCCATACTATACGAATAACAAATTCCACACAATGGCACTTTTTCGTCTATTGGTTGAATTAAAATGGGGCAAAATCAATTTGAATATAACAACAACTATACTTCAACATTTGAGACTAAATCAGAATAAAACAGAATCATACCAATTATAGGCTCTTGAATATCCAACAATTCATTCATTAACTTAGGCCTTTCTCCAGGGCAATGGATGTTTTTTATTTTGGAAATTTTTTCTAAAAAATAAAACAGTTCTTAAAAAAAAGAGAACCTATGAAATAAAAAGAGTTCACATTAGAGCATATTCTATCTTAATTGCAAAATTCACATTTTAATACTTAATAATCATATACCTGAATTTGGGTATCAATTCGCAGAACTGAATGAATTATGATGAATATAATTTAGTTCGTTGGTAAAGATACACTAAAACTTGACTTGGATCACCATAAAATAAATTTTAAGTGGTCGCTTTGACAAGCTATAGATCTAAAAATGGGTGGTATGTCATTTTGTTTTTTAGATTCGTGTTTTGGTCTCTTATTTTGAGACCAAATAGAATTTTCCTGCTAGTTTTGAGCATTAGACATACCCTGGCATTATGATTTGTCATTTAAATTTACTTAAACTTAAAAACCCTAATAGGGCTATGAAACTAGTGTGAATGTGTATAGACTAGTAATAGAGTAAAACTTTGATCAATTGTTTTTCAAGGGACCATTCCTTGCGAATGATAGATACGGGAAAACAACAAGTGCGAGTCAACATAAAATATCAAATAATGACTTAAAGAAGTATAAAAAGTAATAAAGAGGTATTAGATTTTTATACTTATAAATTTACGATAAGTAAAAAAGTTTCAATGAAAAAATTTACTTCCAGCAAAGTAAAAGAAATATGAGCAAACTTATTTATTTATGTAATATATATAAACATTTTAGTTTTAACACACTCTTTTCATTAAAACCCAAACAATAATTTTTCAACATTTGAAATTGATTTCTCTTCTTTTTCTGTAAACTAGTAAGAATACGGAAAGTTTCTCATTGCTCTGAAGATTTTAAGGCTTTCTGCAAATTTTGGAACTGACTGTGGTTCTGCTTCATCATCTTCATTGATATCACTTATTTAACTTTTGCAACCATGCAAAAGTTAAATAAGTTTTTTAACCAATATCATATAACAAGTTTCAACATTTTCATAAACATATTAAAAGTTATATTTGAGGTGTTTTCCGTAAAAAATCAACAAACTCATCATGATTAAAAAAAAATTTATAGTATCAAAGTTTAAAGAAGTGGAATTAACAAAATCATTAATCATAATTATAAAAAAATAAGTAATACCAGAATTGGATAAATTTTTATAAAATACTAGCTGAATACCCGTTCTTTGCACGAAGTGAATTACAAAAAAAAAAAAAAATCTATAAATCAGTACTGAGAAACACAATGCAATCATGCTCAGAATTGACAGGCATATACAGACACAATCAAAGAGCTTGATGGAAGAACTAGGTGAATAACATTTTTAAGAGAATTAATGAATTAGAGAAAATAACATAAAATCATTGCATCAATATGGGTATGTTTAATGTAACAGGACTGTTTTTGCTTTCACTTTTATCTTAACATAACTAATCCATATTAGTTTTTAGTAGGCTTGCAGGTTTATTTCAAATTAGGCAGTGGTAAATTAAATAAACCAAAGATTTACTAGTCCCACCTTCTGATAACTTGGTAATAAAATAATTCGGACAAATGCGTTCTTTTTTTTATTCTGAAAATGTCATTTACCTGGTTCTTCCACTTAGTTTTTCAATTAATATAGCTAAATAAATTTCAATTATTTTAAATTTAATGTTATATGTTGTAATCTTCGGCGGCTTAACGTTATTGAAGTAAGCAAAACTCGTTGTTTGTAATTCATCATACCATTGAAATAAAGATCAAATGCATTTAGCATCTCATGGCACATTGCTATTACTCGCGGCCAATTTATGATAGTAGCTAAATTAGTAAGTAATAAGTAATTTTATTAAAATAAGTAATAATAAGTAAATAAGTAATTTTATTAAGTGATTTTCTCAGGTACATATCCTTTTTGAGGGGCTGTGAAACACTTAATTCCAAAGTATCAGTATTTACAATGATTGGTGCAGTTTTAATAATCACCAAAAATATCAATATATTTTATACCTATATAGGTATATTTGGTACTTATTACATAACCCTTCAACATTTGAGTTTACACATATCTGTCAGTGGTAGCCAACTAAAGCCGAACTTATTCTTTTAAAAATAATATTAGAACTTAAAATGGCTTTTGGAGCATGACCATTTCTCTATATGACTTTTAATTTACTGTTAAAATATTTATAAGTAGTGGTGGAAAAAAGTTCTTTTAATACGAATTCATTAAAATATTAAGACACTATCTTAGCTACCACTGAAAAAAATATTTTCTGAAACTACAGAAAACCCATTGTAGAATTTTTATCAAAACCAATTCGCCAATTACTCAATATTAATTAAGCATTAATGTCAATAATAATATGCAGATTTTTTACGGTTACCCAAAATGCGAATAAGTATCTTTTCTACTTATTTTTGCGTTTTAGTACAGAAGTTGCATTTTTTATTTCAATTAATACATATTACCAACATTAAAAAAAATTAAGCACCAATGTCACTAATGATAGTATGACGATTTCTTACGGCTCTTCTAGACAAATAAATACCTTTTGTTAGTAAATAGCTTATTTCTTTTATTTCACTATGCATATATTATATTAATTAATAAATCTTCATTGGCACTGATTTTTTTATATTTTTCCTAAATGAATTAAAACCACTTTCCCATTATTTTTGCTTTTGAATACATAAATATTTTTCCCCATTCCGTTACCATTGGTTTTGAATAAGTAATTTTTTAAAAACATGTTTAAAAGAATTGAAGTAAATAAATAAAAGTGTGTAGTATCAGACAAAGTATAAATTTGGTGACCTAGACCATGCATGCTACCACGTAATATTGATTAAATTTATCAGACTTAACAAATATAAAATAAATACATGCAATAAACTATTTTTGGATCAAATAGAGCTATAAGCTAGCAGTTATCACTGATGTTATCTTTAAAATATGTTAAAAATTGAGTTGTTAAACTTAAAACCATCAGAAAATTCCATTCCATTCGCTAATGCTTAACCAATCAGAAAATTCCATTTAGTTTTTCTCATCCCGCTCGAATGGTTTGTCATAGGATTTTCTAATGTCGACAGTGACCTTCCTCGTGCTTTGTACTATCTGTATACCAAGTTTCATATTTTTCGGTCAGTTGGTTTAAGAGTCCATAAAGGACACACAGAAATTCATTTTTATATACATAGATAATTTGTTATATAGAACAATTTTAAGCCTAATATTAGTGATAAAGCGCGCACCATCATTATACTACTAATATATACTTCAAGAATTTCCTAAGATAATTGAGAATTTCTCTCAGAATTCCAGGTTTTCTATGCTATTTCAAATTCTCTAAGAATTTCAGATTTTATTCTGTTTCCCGACTAGAATAGCCATATTGATGATTGATGCTCTTAGTAAAAAATGAAAGGTTTATGTTGAAATTGAGAGAAACAAATAGGGATGGTGATTTTCAAAGAAATCCAAATGAATGGATTAACTTAAGTATTTCATGTATCTGTTATTGGATTAGATATTTTATAAAATTAAGGGAAGATCTTCTGTTAGTCATTTTATCTCAAAAGAAAAATTATGATACAATTAAATCAGACTGGAAAGGGAAAAATCTAATTTTTATGTAATTACACTACATGTTTGCGTACATGTACATACAATCTTTAAGATCGTTGAATAATTTAAGTATACTGTTTTTGTTCCATCTCACTGGCAATGCTAATTAAAAATATGCAAAATAATATGTTATAAACACATAAACACCTTGTATAATAATACTCATGCATATTTATGTTGCGTTTAAAATTGAAATTTTAGGCAATTTTTAGAATCATTAACTGAAATCATAAGTTCTCAGAACAAAAGTGAATTTGATAGTCAGAGGGGGACACACACATTTACTATTAAAATCTACATGTGAGATGAGCTAAACATTTTCATAAATCTATTATTTATTTAAAATGCTTTATTTTAGTCAGTGAATATTTTGCCTAATCCTAAATAACTAAGCATTCTACAAATAGATTGCTGATCCTCATAAACTTCACAAATTTAAGGTGCTACATTAATAATTTTTTTAACATCTGATAGAATTGCACAAATTATGACAACTTTCCTAAACTGTAATAAAGTACCTTTCTTCCTAGAACCTGCACTTCCTTTTTGCTAATTTCACTTGTTTTCACTTTATTCCTAACTTTTATTAAGTTATGCTTATTTGTTTGAAATAAAAAATATGTATATTTTTTCTATAAATGAGTAATAAAGTAACACTGATTAATTTTATATTATATAAGGTAAATTTTCAGTATTATTTTGATCATGTTTAGCATATCATAAAACTCATTAAGTAGGCACAATATCACGTGAAATAGAAATGAGAAGAGTCAAGTGTGATTAGTATTATATTGGTAATATATATCATTTTGATAATATTTTTCAAGGATGAGCTTATTAATTACTTACTATATGGCTTAATTTATTACAAAAGTTGTAGCATTTTTAAGCGTTTCAGCTGGCCTGACGTTTTTTATTTATAAACAAATTTCAGAGGACAATAAAAAAAATAAGAGTTTAAGAGCTCTGAATTTGCTTGTACAAAACACTGACATATTGGTATTAATCACGTAATCAGTGACATCATTGGGTAAATTTAGAGAATGTTCTAATATATATATTTATTAGAAATAGAAATTTAAATAATTTTAAGGTTCATTATTAAATGTAGTTTACATTAAATTACATGGACTATGGAAAGCATAAGTAAAAAAAGATACTTACCACTAGGACCTTTCTTTTTATTCTAGAACATAGAAAATAACTTGTATTTTAGATCAATAAACAGGAATGTAACATGAATGAACAGGACATATGAAATTATCAAAATTATTTTTCACAAAAAAAACATTGTAAATGCTTATAAACATAAATAAAAAGTGTAAATTATTCATACTTTCATTCAAAACAGGTTAAACATGTTTGCATCTACTTCCCAGTGCCATCATTCAGTTTACTTCATGCAGAGTTAATTTTTTCTGCCAAGAATTGCAAAAATAATTCCATTTGAAAATAGGTTCCCCTTAATAAGCCTGTCAATTGAACCGGTTTTTTTTTAAAATTCCTTACAGCTAGAAAGCTGACTCATTTTTAAGGATAGATGATAACTGTTTCTTTTTTTTTTTTAAAAAAAACTTAGTTGATAAATGGTTTTATTTTTAAACTTTTAAGTATATTGTTTTTTAACCCTGATAGAAATATAGGAACAACAATAAATGAAGATTTTGATTGAAGTTATTGAGACATTTTCGATATCATATGAAATTGTTTTAATATAATATAAAACTAATTTAAATAAATTTTGTTCAAAAATATTTGAATAAGTAGTTTTTGCTTTGAATTCAAAAAGTTGCATAAAATTAGACTGATATCAAAAGTTTATGAAGAAGAAAAAAATTAACTAGTAATTCATATAAGATCATAGATCTTAGTATAAAAAAGAAAGATTTTTAAAATAAATTTCTTTTAAAAGAACGTTTAAGGTATCCGTACACGTTGAAAAAGTGAATTTTAGCCTAAAATGACAATTTTCTTTTATTTTATATTACGAATCTCCGTTTATTCTAGTTTTCAAAACAGTTTAAATTTTAACTGTGCGTCAATTAGAACAAAAGTTATGATTAAAAGAATATTAGTCGATGACTAAAAAATTAAACCGGAAGTGGGACAAAAACAGTTATATTTATCTTTATTTTGGGATAATTATCTTTCTTTGACTTAAATAATTATTATTTTAATGTTGCTAGAAATGAACCTCTCAATTTATCATTTATATTAGTAGCTTTAATGGCATTATTTGGAAATTTGTCCCTAAGGAGGTGTTCGTTGAATTGCAAACATTACAATTTGGTGTGTATTTGGCTGTTATTCAGTTTAATAAGGTTTTCTGGGACTGAAAAGCATACTCGACATAGTTGGAGTCAGCCGTGGCAATAAAACTTTAAAAGATTTTACAGAACTTGATTTTGAGTGTGTGTATTAGTCTCAACGCCATTCATTAACTAATGTAAAAATTGTCAGAAAAAAAATAGGGTTGCAAAAAAACAAAAAATTTGTAAAATTGAGAAAAAGGAAGGTATCACATACAAATCGCGAGAATTTCTGAAGTATTGAAGCATTTTTAAAATAGAAATGATATAATTTATACTTTAAATGCCTTTTTCTCAGAATGTAATTTCACGCAAAAATAGTAACTTTCAAAATTCATTATTAAAAAAGTTGTTGATATATTTCAATAAAAATTTGTATGTGTGTTATATATAATGTTTTCTAGTGCTTGTGCTACAATTGATTAAAAATACTTAATAGTTTTTTATTATTGGTCTAAAATGTGAAATACGACGTAAAAAATTTGACAAAAAGCTCATAAAAAGTTTTCAATTCTCTATAAAAAATTTAATTTTCCAAATATTTTTATGATTGTAGTCAAATCACTAGACAAAATTCAGCTCTTTATTTTGATAATAACACTTTTTTGATACAATAATTTTGGTGAAGTATATCCTTTCACAAGTTTTATGAAAAAAATATCATTTTTTTCTTGTTATTTAGCTTTTAAAAACAAAATATAATATAAATGTCTAATTTCTCTTATTTAATATTAGTTTTTACATATAATAAATATAAAAACATAATTAAAGTGTTCTGAAACTTAATATTTTAAAAAAAATCCTCCGAACGTGTTCGGATACCTTAATAACTCACCAAGTGTTATTTCAAAGGACTTTCTGTTCATGTTTTCTGTAATTTCAGGATTATTATTAACGTCTATTCAAGTAAATAATAAAAATTATTCCATATCTTTAAAGAAAAAAATGAATTATTTAAACTGAAATGAGAAAAGCTGGAGGAAAAAAAAAGGAAAAAGAGTGAGAAAAAGAGGGGAACTTTTTTAGTTTCGGAAATTTTAAAAACAAATTTATCCACTTCATATTTTTGAGACACTATTTAATACTTTTTGAAACATTAAAATTTTTATTTAAATTATGTAAAAAGAGGAAGAAATGGAAGAGAAAGAAACACATTGCAAATCAGACATATAAGGTATTTTTTTCGTTGTAGGAAATGTAGTCTCATTCAGAAATATGATAATAGAAAGAAGGGGTAATTTTTTTGCTAAACCACTCTGGTTTGAAAAAGAAAATTCAGAAAACCTTGACCTACACTAGACTGTAGTGCTGAAGAGAAAGTAAAATAGATTAGGTTATCGACAGAATTCAGTCAGATAACTTAAAACTCAAAAGTAAATCAATCAAAATACCAAACTTTTTGGACTAAATACAAGATATTGTGAAAGAAAGTCTGTACTTTTTTGGACTAAGTACAAGTACTAACTTTTAAATGTCGCCTTCCTCTGACATGAGCCTCCCACATCTGTTCATTATTCATATGAGAATCGCAAACCTAAAAAAAGTATGACTATGTAATACAGTAAAATTGTATTTAGATGATTCTAGGCATAATCAACAGAATGTAATCTTTGATGCTAATTCATAAAAAACAGTTATATGAGACTTAAAAACAATATCAAATGCAATTTTAAGAAAAAACGCTTTGATTCTTCTGAAAAAGAGTATCTTTAACATAATTTATTCCTCACGCAGCAAACATATTTCATTTTTCCCTACAGATTTGGATCTTTAACTCCAAAGAGATGGAGAAGCAGGGAGCTTGGAAGATATGATTTTGAAACTTTTTAAGATTTTTAACCATATTTCTGAATTAATTTGAAAAATCAAAAAAGTTTTTGCATCTAATTTTAAAATTTATTCACTCAAAGTAGGAATAATTTTAAAGACTCACCACTCAGAGGGAAAAGCAAATAATATTAATAATTATTGAATTTAAACCTCAAAAAGTAATGCAAGTAGGTAAATTTATAGTATGCTCTTCTTTTATATATTGCGAAAGCATGATAAAACTGATATTCTTATGAAGAGAAGAGTGCAACTGGAAATGTGACTTTCTTTGTGTAAAACAGACAATAGATTAATATAAAGATTGAAAACGTTTTGATTACTATGTTGAAAAATATACCATCTAATACAATGCAATTTTAAATGTCAAAACAAAACATTTTTTTGAAAAAGAATAAAAAGAGTTTTTGTAATCTTCTTTAAAGGAAGGTTTATGCACAAAAGTATCCTGCTTGTTATAGTAATTTCAAATAAATACCTAAAATTTCAATTTTGTTCACTACTGAAATATAGGTAAAAATGATGCACTTGATTCCTAATAAATAATTTCATGTTTTTGTTATTTTTGTTTAAGAATTAAATACATGCTATATAAATTTTAAAAGACTAACAAAGGAAGTATTTTTATTGACTGAAATGTCAAAATATTTCGATTTTTAATATCTCGAATTTTCAGCATTATGAAATTCTGAGTTGATGCACCTGAGGTCATAATATCCAGATTTGACAGAAAATCAAAAACTTTACAATGAAATAAATTTCTCTTAAATTTTAGACTAAATCATTTAAAATAACATAGTTCAGAGAATATAAAAATTACTTATACTTGGCAATACCAATCCAAACTTTTACAAATGCTATTAAATTATATAATAAAACAATAATTTGTTATTAAAAATTATCTTAGGGTAAAACAAGTTTTATAAATTAGTGCAATACAAGAAATTTATTCCAGAAAAATGCCAAATTATACAAAAAAGTAAATATCTGTATCTCAGTAAATCAGTTGGAGACTAAAAGATACTTTAATTAAGAGAAAATATCTTTTGATGTTCTTTAAAATATAGACAAACGTTTATATACTTTACAATCTTCTAAAAAAAAACTAAATAAAACAATGATCGAAATCTAATAAAAAACTTTCAAACAAAATCACAACTATAGACCCATTTAAAGTCTTAAAAACAGAAATTCTCATTTCTCTCAACAACGCTTATTTTCAACAAAGCAAACCAGTTTTATCCTGGTTAATAAGAAGGGAAATGGTGAATTAAAGATAAACATTCTCCTGAATTGGCACATATGCAACAGTCTCAAAGTTTGTTTTTAATAAGAAACCCATTTTTTGCAAATTTAAACTTCAATAATTTAGGAACGAATATTAAGAAGAATATTCCAAATCAAAAGAAGTTCATAAAACGTTAAATTAGTGTTTTGCATGCCGAAATGCTACTCCAGCATCCAGAACACTTTTTTAAACTAAGATTTCTTTACTAATTCCCTCTTTAAATTCTAGGATACTATTTAAAAAACATTATATTACCATCACATCCCTCATAGTGCACCAAAGAAAAATCAGGACAACATTTTACAAAAAAATGAGGAAATTTTGTGGTACAGTGTATACCAGATAAGGTGAATGACTTAAAAAAAAAAGCATAGTTTACTCTACTTAAGGCAAATTTTATAGCAAAAGAATATTTATTAATCGAGCACTGAACAACTCACAACAGTTTAAGATCAATATAGAACTTTTTTTTACAGTTCTCTTCTTATTAAAAAAAATAGAGTCAGTATCAATTATTATTTTTTCATACCAATATATAATTAATATTTGTAATAAAGCTAAAGACTTTTTAAATAATTCTGAAGTAGGATTTAAACAATTTCGAAGCAAAAAAAATTGTGATTATGCCACTCATTTTTGCTTAAAAGTAATGTATTGAATAATCCTTCATTTCACCATTTAAAAATTCTATGAATACCGAATTGTTGATTAGGATTGATCACTTTTAAAACCAGATGAAAGAGACTAAACAGTAATTGTGAAACTGCACGACTCAACCCTGTAAGATTCATTACTCCATTGACTGAGAATAATAAATAAAACACTGACTCCTAAAACCAACTAAAAAAACTTGATAATGTAAATTGCGAATTAAATTGTTCTCTTTTAATTCACTGGATTGGAGCCTAGTTGGCTCAGGGAATAGAGCGTTCGCCTTCCACTGAGGTGAACCAGGTTCAAATCCCAGAAATGGCTGATTGATATGAGCTCTGCTTGCATTGACTACAGTTCTGATGTAAAAATAACCTTAGTGGGAGTCGGATCATGGGTTAGAATGCCCTTGTTATTATAGCTAACCATAATTAGTTCCATCAATAAGTCTTCCATGAAGGTTAGTTTGTCCCAATGCTTGATCCAGGAGTTTCTTAATTGTTTATGTTGGGTTCAAAATTACAAAGCTACAGAGTTGAACATTGATAGTTGTAAAGTCAGATTTGGGTTGGCTATTCAAGGCTAGTGACAAAATAGAATAAAATTGATTGAATGCCCAAAAGGTTTGAAACAATGAATCCTGTGGGTAAGACTACAAGCTGAACCACATACAAATTAGTGAATTATTAACATGTTTAAACAATCAAATATTGAAATTTTTAGAAGCATTAAAAACAAAAATACAAGATATTGACTGAGAATCTTTCAATTGAAATGGATTATTTAAAGTTTGCTATTGTATTAAAAAAAAAAATAAAAAATAAAAGATTTTGAACACACATAAGGATTTGGAATATCAGGACAAATAAGTACAATAGATTATTTATCAGGAAAACTATGACCTCTGCAATTATTTCAGTCCAAAGTATAACAAATACTTAAAAAACTTACAGTGCAATGGAAATCATTCATTGATGTATCTAAATCATCTGTGACAAGAGAATCTGCCCGATTTTTTCCTAGTGAAAAAAAGATATAGCAACCATAAAAATACACACTTTGTTAAATACATGTTGTTGAATATCAACAATATATTTACTTTACATCTAAAAATTGAAAAATAGTTGTTTTTAAAACATATCTTAACCTTAATTGAAATCAATAAACTGGATTGGCAAAATACTGCAAAGAAGATAAAAACTAAAAGGAAACGAAATTTTTAGATAATTCATCATCTAGCAACAGATTCAGATTATTCAACAATTATAGAATGTTTGAATTTATAATTTAGATGGCAATTTCTTTATCAAATTCATATTGTTTAATAAGATACTATTTTTAAGTTAAGAAAAATAGTCCCTATTATAAAAACGAAATATAATTGCATAATACATACAGAGTTGCGACTGAAATAGAATAAAACTTTGACTTTTCCAAGTTTATACATAATTTAAAAAAATTCCAGTATAATATCGCAATATGTACTGATAGCACCGTAGTCAATATATACAGTAAATCACACAAAAAACTAGGATTTGTAATTTATAAATTACATTATAACACTACAATACAGAGCAAAAATGGCATTAAAGGCAATAGAAATATGTCACATAAAAAAGAAAAAAAAATATTTTTTAAAAAATATTTTAAAAAAACTAAATTATCTTGCGAGAGAAACTAATAAATATATAAACATTCTGAATTCAATAGTAATTAAAATCTTATTTAATCAACTAAATAAAATAATATTTCAAAAAATAAAATATGATAAAAAAAATATCAAAAACCACGTAGGCTTACAAAAAAATGGAATAAAAAATAGTAATTGCTAAAAAACTGAAAGTTCTTAATTAAAATATTTTTAGGACAATAATTTCTATTTTTCACTAAAATGGACCCTAAAAATAAAACCTTGATTGAAACTAGGATATTATAGTAGTGCTTAATAATTTCCGTCAACATTCCCTTACTTCATGTGAGTTCTTATGAACAAGTTTAACCAAATTCATTTATCAAGTCTTGGTATTAGAGGATTAAGGGATTTAACAATAAAAACATTAGTAATCTTTAAGAGATTATAAAACACCATTTATCCAACTAAATTTTTAAATCAAAAATAAGAATACACAATCTGAATCACATCCACTCTTATACTTGTTATGGACTGTAGCAACCAAAAACGCTTTCCTGTTAAAAGAATTTTAAGTCACAAAATCATGCCATATTACGGTTCTGTGAAATTTGGCTCTGTACCAAATGGATGAAAATGAAACTTTTGCAAACAAGTTCTATGGGAAATGTTTTTGGAAAGTTTGCATGCTTAGCGCTAGCCAAATCAAACCCCCTGATTTTTGGATAGTTTCCAAATTTTCCCGATATTCCAAGTAGCCTAGTAACATGGTACGTATCAAAAATAAAGGAAAGAAATTTATAATGAAATATCAAGACTTATCTGGCTACTTATGACGCAGCGATATTTCACAATGAGTTAATGTCAGATTTTAATAAATGTATAAAAGTAGTTTTATAATATCTTAAGGGTGAATGAACCTATCAATATTACATTTATTGGAGTGCAGAAAGTGTTAAATTAAAAAATTACAGAGCTAAGCAATTTTTATTTTCATGATAGCTATACACCAAATCTTTATAATCGTATATGCTTTAGGAATCGCAACACTACTTATGAACACTAGTTTTGAATTGAACAATATGATTTTACGATATGGTAATAATGAAAAAAATATTAGATATTTAAATTTGATTAAAATGGTTAGTTAGATTGATCACTTACTTCTGTGATTATAACCAGAAACCTGCACCTAAATGAAAAAATATACTCATAAATATTTTAAAAACAGACACAATTTTTTATTTTTATTTTGTTATGATAGCATGTGTTAGATGTTTATAGAATTTTTTATGAATAAACAGCATAAATAAATACAAAAGTATTTATAAATCTTTATAACAATATGAAGATTTATAAATATGCACACAAATTTATAATTATTAGGTTAAAGATACATGCCCCATTTTCCTGAATCAAATATTAAAGATCACTGTAATTAATGTAGTAATAGGTCACTAATATAAGTGCATATTACATTATAATTTATTTTTTTTTGAAAGACATGAAAATTGGGCTAAACTATTATTTCAACAGTGATAAATAGTAATAGTAACTTAATGAATAGTTATAGTAACTGAAATAGTAATTTAACTTTTCCCCAGACCATTTAATTTAATTTTCCTAATTTTTGTAACTAGTGCTTAAGTTTTGTAATCAATTTAGTTAAGAGATATTCATATACAAAATCAAGTTGCATATTAGATTTAAAAATAAACTTTTTCTAATATATATTATTATTTTTATTTTTTTAAAATTTGAATTATTAAATACTTCTAACTACTGAATTTTTGCTTTTTTGAGTATTTTAATAAATTTCCTGACATTTTCTTGTTCTATGGTCACCTTGAAAAATTAATTTTTGACAGTATTAAAATTATGTATAGTAATTTACACTTTCAACAAAACAAAATTTTTTGTCAAAACTATAATTTTAAATTATTAAGACTACATATCTAAATTATTATGAAACTAAATTATTTTTTGAACTATTATAAATACGTGTAGTTAATTTTTCCTACCTCAGAGCAGCATGATGAACAACGACAATTGCCTCTGAAATGACAGGAAAGAATTTTAGACATTAACAATATTCTAAAGCATTGCATCCTAAGTAATTGTTTTATAAACCACAAACAAAAACAATATGCTCAATACTTTTAAATGTTCACAGACATATTTAATAAGTAAAAATTAGGCACTTGGGTTCCTTACATTTATCTATGTTTCTGTAATAAAGAAATTAATAAGTTAGCCCACACGATGTAACAAATTTGATGCCATGTATTTACTATATAGGGTTTATACTCAATTTCTTTAGTTTTCAAAAACATAATACCATATGAAATATTTTGATGTGGTGATAAAACAGACAACAGTGCGATAAATTGTTTATTTAAACAAACTATATGACACTGTTGTTTTAATTATGCTTATTAATTAGTTGCATAATTTAGTTCTTTACTTCAGTTTTAATGTTTAAAAAATTAGAAGAGACAACAGTGTTTTAATGAAAACAGCAAAAAAACAAAACCAATGGACTTAGGCTTAAAATACTGATGAAAAGGAGTGTTATACATAAGTCTTCCTAGGATAAGATGCTTCAATTCAATCATGTCTATCTCTTAACTGACAAATTTACAATTGTATAAGTAGGAAAATTTTTAATTTTTGGAATAGCCTACTTTTATGCTATTTAATATAAATGACATTTTCCATTGATTAAACTTATCCTTCTGTAACAACCTTAAGTTTAACATTCTCTCTAACAGTTATTTTCACATTCTTATTTTTTACTTTGGTTCTCATGCATTTTTCAAGTTTGTGGTAGACAAAAGATTTAGAGCTATTGTGTCTGAAAACATTGAAATTTAGAATTATAAAGTACATGTTGCATTTTTTAGAACTTAATTTTCAAAAAGCGAAGATTTAGAGCATACTGTTTAAAGAGAGATATTCCAATTTATTTTATAAAAGATGATTTTTAACAAAAGCAGATGGGATTCTATGTCAGGCAAAACTTCGAAATGATATACTGCACCACTGAAGAATAAGAATTCAGTCAATTAAATATATTATTTCTTTAACCCTTTATATCTCAACATCTCTGATTTTAATAAAAATTACTCATACATTAGAATACATCATTCTAAGCATGTAAAAAATAATAAAAAAATTTACAACATAAAATAAGAAAAATTATTGGGAAAAAATTGATTGTGGCATTTCTGCACCCTTATGCAAAATGACAAAAAGTGCTTGTTGCATTCCTGCAACATTGTGAAAAATGGCACTAAGATTGAAAGATTCAAAAATTTTAATTCATATGAAAATTTTTAAAACAGTTGTTACTTTTGTTGTAACAAAGTCCTACACCACATTTCTCACAAATAGTTTGTGTAAATTCTTTGCATTTTGGGTATTTGCATCTGATTCTTTTGTTAGCCCAATTAGGCCAGTGCCCAATTTCATCTTGGCGCACTGGTTTTGGCCGACAATCGCCGAAATCGTCCTTCAAAATTTGTTGCGGCAAAGACATAGGCTTTTTGTGAATGTTGCAGATATGCAACACGGTGATATAAAGGGTTAAAATAGATATTAAATAAATAAACATAGAAGATAATAAAAAACGTTTTGTTCTTATAAATAATGCATGATCAGAGATTATAAAACAATTTGTCACAATAAACCAAGAATAATGAAAATTGAGAAACAAAAGTAGACAAAATAAATAAATAAATAAAACATCAATTCTCTCAAGGCAGAAGTTTCAAGATCCTAGCTCGGTCATCCAATTAACAGAACTCCAAAAACGCTTAAGAATAAAATAATGCACAAAATAAACTTAACAAATGGTTAATAAAATAAAATTCTACAAAATTGGATAAATAGTCAATATTTGAAGTAAAATAACTGAAAAAAATCAAGAAAAAGCACTGCTTAAAATTACAATAACTTTCTAAAATTATTTTTAATGCAGGACATGATTTTCCCAAACTACACAAATGTAAAATTGCTTTTTTTTTTCTTTTTTTTTTAACTAATGCAACATATTTTTATAATCACAATAATTGCCAGATTGTGAGTTGAATATCATGAATTTTTTTCTTGTGCTAGTTTTTTATTTTTAAAGGCTTAGGTAACAACAATTGCACAATTACTAAGAAACTATGATGAAGATGAGGAAACCAGTTTATAAAAAATATAAAAATTTCTAGTACGAAAATAGTTTCTTTTTCCTAGTATGAAAATAGGTTTTTCCAAATGCAAACTTGTAGGGTGCTAAAACTAATTTTCTGGAACTTTCAGGACCAGCTTAGCAGAAATTCTAGATATCTATTGTCTTCCTTTGTTTATAAGAAAAGATGGTAAAATATTTAAATTGACAAATGGGGTAAAGGGGCAAAAGGGTAAAAAGTTTCAGAACTCTTGGTTAATTAACATAACCTAGAAAATAAAAATAAAGTAAAATATAAGAAAATAATATCAGTTGATTACAAAAGCAAAAATTACCAAGTCAGAAAAATTATTTACAATTTTATTAATGTTTCACTTGAGTAAAAGGAAAAACTATAATTCCAAGTTTTAAAAAATCCTTACCTGTGTGGTGAATAGCTTCTTCTTCCTAATGGAATGTATAAAAAGAGACAAAACTAATTACCAAATTGGATAAGATGCTTAGAAGAAATGTCTACTTATAAATTAAGAATAAAAATTGAAAATACTTTTTACAGAAAACATTTGTAAATGATGTCAAGTTTCTACTACAGCGGATATAAAAGCAATATTTATAAGCAGTTCATTATTGCACTGACTATAAAAACAATAAGTTTAAACAGTTTATAAATTCAATCTCTTGTACAAAAATACTACTACAGTGTAAAGTCGCGTATCCGGAATCGGTGGGACTTCCAGAAGTCCGTATAATAGATTTTTCCGTATAATAGACCCCCAAGGTAAACAAAGCTTAAAATGATTTAATAAACGATCTGAATCTAAGAAGCAAAAAATAAATAAACGTTATTTTTAAGGGGAACAATGTTTTAGCATTAGAATATCTAAATCAAATATAAAATATTAGAAAAAAAATATTATTGCTGAAAATATGGAAAACGAAAAAAATTTAACAGTTATGAAAATATTAATCCGCCATTTTGAACTAGAACGATTCAAGCAGGAAGGGGAAATTCATGTCATTCTGGAACAAAGCTTAAAATGATCTAAATCTAAGAAGCAAAAAATAAATAAACATTATTTTTAAGGGGAATAATGTTTTAGTATTAGAATATCTAATCAATAAAATATGAAATATTAGAAAAAAAATATTATTGCTTAAAATATAGAAAACGAAAAAAAATTGACATATGAAAATAATAATCCGCCATTTTTAACTAGAATGATTCAAGCAAGAAAGGGAAATTCCCGTCATTCATTAAGGTGGGTAGGTGGAGGAGAAAAATTCATTTCCTCCTTATTTGTGAAAGAAAATAAGTGTAAAGAGGAGATCATTTAAGTTGAGGGTGGGGAAGTAACAAATTATTGTTTTCTCTCCAATCATTGGCTATCAATCAAGCATAAAGGCGGGGCACGCTGATCGGGTTCTCTTTATTTTTTCTTCTATGACTGAAAGAATCTGCTAAAGAAAGAATGTTACCCCCTTTTCCCCCCGCCTCCTAAATATTACATGGTATGGGGAAGAACGAATGTTTTGTTTCTCAAGGACGTGTATCCTTTTAGACCTATTCAAATTTTCCATTTTGACTCCCCCTCCACCTTAACGCTTGCCCCGTTTACCCTTTTCCACAGTATTTCTTCTTTCAATAAAAAGGTTCCAGGAAATGCCTCTTTTACTAGCCACCTGCATGGGAAAGGAGGGGGGAGGGGACTCAGTTGCGGTCTTTTGAAAACAAATCTCCCTCTTTTTCCTACATTCCAAGGGAGGAGCGTCACTAACGGTCACTCAATGGTCTTGGTAGATCTTCACTTCCCCTTTCTGGTGATTTATGGGTTCGATGCATAAATCAGAAGTTCAAAAAGAGAAATCAAGCTAGAAAAAGAGAAAATTTGTCAAAAGATTTTTTTTTTTTTTTTTTTTAAGGAAAGGGAAGATGGAGAGATGTTTATTTTGATTGTTAAAAAGTGTCCGGGAAATCGACCCTTCCGGGAAAGGGACGTCCGGATATGGGACGTTACACTGTACTTTATTTGCATCACAGCTGTACAATGAGTTATTAAGGACAGTTTGGAAAACATCCCTGAAGATAATCTGAAGACAATCTCGATCCTCTGCAGAGAGTTTCACTTTAGTTGTCTGATGACTTTCATGCAAAGTAAAGTGTGTTATGGTAGAACAGTTGAACGAAGACCGGCACTATGCACCCTCGGTTCAGTTCCCTCACAGGCACATTCAGGTAGTCACCCACCCCCTCACCAAATGCAATCGGTGATGTTTAACTTTGCTGATATATTGGGAATCATGTCTCACGATCATTTCACTAAGGGACATGTTTTTAAATAAGATAAAACTAAAATTGGCTGAAGTTAATTGGATAAAAAATTAAACTTGATTAATTATTAAAGCGATGAAAATAACCACAGTTTTTTTCATATTTTTTATAAGGAAGTATAGCAGAACCTAATTTTATAATCATACTAAAAAGTGTTACAATTTCATAATCAAATATAATTCCAATAAAGTCAATATATTATATCCAACAAATCCCAAATTAAATTTAAAAAATAGCATATAAATTTTAATAAAATGTAGTTGTGTATGAATACGTGAAGTAATCCTTAAACAATTTGGTGTATAGATATCAAAATTCTCTATAAAACTACAAATAGAAAAGCTGCTATTTTTTTTTAATAAAGTTGATGTGACAAACTTTTAATTAATACTATATTAATCACTTTCTTTTCGCTTTTTTGATATAAACATTTGCCTGTCAAACATTACAGAAGTTAAATTGAATTTGGAGTTCTTTTTATAGATATAAGCTAATATTTAACTAATATTTCTTTCAAAAACTTTAACTGATGCATTACTCAAAATTGGTTTTTACTCTAGTTTTTTAAAAAAAACTGTGGGTTTATTTTTTGAAAAATTTAAAACCTCGGACCAGCCAGTCGCCAGAAAATTTAACATAAATTAAATTATTATACAGAAAATTTAAAATTATATAATAAAAAAAAGACTTACTTTTTCTTACTCTTATTTCATCAACTTCTTCCTCTACTTTTATCATTCCTCTTCCATGAGTTTTATCATAATCAAGTAATATTTTCATCATTTCCTCTTCAATAACTCTCTTTGGCTGATATTCAAAGCGTTCATACATTATTGGGAATTTAATCCGCTGAAAGTAAACAATATTAACATTTTTTTAAAGAAAAACAAAATTAAGTGTTTTATAAATCTTTTGCATCCATAGGATTTTATAATATTATGATTTTTATTTTTCATGAGGATTTTTCTTCCAATAATTACAATTTCTTTAAACACATATTTTACAGAGCAACTCAAAAACCTCTATGCATTCAAGTCCTAAAAAATCATTATTTAACTTTTGTAACAAATAAAAAAAACATGAACCAATGAAATAACATGCTTTTGGAATCTAAAGGTTGATAGTATTACCTTTTGATCATTTATCCCAGTCGTGATAAAATTGTTTAAGGACATAAATCGCTGGCAAAGAACACAAATATATTTAATAAAAATTATAATTAGAGATGTAAAGCAGTAAGCTTTTGAATGTCGTTTAGAAATTTACTATACTTGACAGTTAGTTTTTTTAATTCACTACAGTTGAATTGAACAACAACTGAAATCTCAAGAATTTTAAGTTCATTAAAATTTGTGGCAATACACAAAATATGCATTATATATACAGGGATGAGAGCAGTCAGAAAGTAAAAAAGAGGAAATCCCAAAAATAAATAAATATATATATATATATATATATTTACTATAAGCAAAAATGTGATAAAAAAAATTGCGATTTTTAAACTTGTAAACCATTTGAATATAAATACCGATATGAGACTTTTAAATCACGTAAATATGAAACTCTACATCGAATTTAAAAAATGCGAAAATACAAATCATGATTTTTTAATTTTTTGATCACGATGCATAATTTTTAAATCGCGCGATATTACAACCACAAAAACGAATCACGATATTGAATTTTAAGCTCGCGTGAATACGAATTGCTACATAGGGCTTTAAAAGCTCGTAAATACAAATCGCGATATTGATTTTTTAAATCTCGTAAGTAAGAATCGCAATGTACAATATTTAAATCGCCTGAATAAGAATCGCGACGTTCAACTTTTAAATCAGGTAAATACGAAAATCGAGATTTGATAATAAAATTGCGATTTTAAAAATGCATAAATACAAAACACGATATTGGGTTTTAAATGTCGTAAATAAGAATCATAATATACGATATTTAAATAGCGTAAATAAGAATCGCAATGTGCAACTTTTAAATCAGGTAAATACGAAAATCGATGATTGATATTAAAATCGCGTGAATAAAAATCGAGATATTTGCAGAGTCTGGACTTGTGATTTCTAAAAGGCTTGTTTGTATTGTTTTTGTTTAGACATAATAAATAAAAATTTAAAAGATTAATTGAATGAGCAAATAAATATTTTCACCGCAAATCACCTCTATTTTGTTTGTTTTCACGCCAGAATACAAGAAGCAGCGACGTCTGAATTACGAAAATACGAGCTATCCAGCCGACGGATAAAAAATACGGAAAATCTTATTTTCTGTGCGTGAAATCGGAGAAAATAGCTAAAATAAGTAAAAATGCTGAAGGGTTAGGAGCTAGGGCGTAGATTGAATATTCTGTTTATCTTTGAAAATCGTAAATAAATATAATTATTTTACTTCAATGACTGAATTTAAAAAAAAGAAGAAAAAAAAACGGGATATTTATTAAAAAAACGAAACTTTTAGAGAATCGGAGTTTTTGATAAAAAGGCTGAAATTCGAGAGACAAAAAAAATCTCATCCCTGTCTAAAGGTCAACCAGTTTTATCCCAAGGAAATGATTTTTAGAGAAACTTCAGAGGGAGGAAAAGGGACTTCAATAATTTCCCTCCGCGGAAAATTAAATTCCTCATAAAACATTTTAACTTGTGCAAAAAAAACAATTTCAGCGGAAATTAGCGGGAAAAATGGAAAAATCTGAAAAAAAGCGGAAATCCGCGGAAGAATCTCATCCCTGTATATATATATTTTTTAAGATTGACTGCCTGCTTACAGCCTTTTGTAATGTTTCATTGCAATTTTGTTAAGTAATTTATACTTTTTGATACTATACATACATAATATCTAAAAGCAATTAAATACAATTGAAAGTAGCAAAGATAATATTAAATAGTTACCAATATTTGTATTGAGCTTAACAAGTAGATAAAAAACAAATCAACAATGCTTAATGTTAAAAAAAAATTAAGATAAAAATAAAATAAAGCTTTTGGGTCATATTTCACAAATAGTCAAACATTTTAAGTTTTCCTAAATACAAATTCTATTTCTATAAATAACATTTTAACGCTAAATGATAAAAGACAATGCATTTTTTTTTATAGAAAACCACATATGATAAACACTAGACAACTTTCTTTAATAAAAGTGTTTATAAACTGAGCAAAAACTTTGTATTCTGAAGCTATTAAAAAAATTGACCCTGTATTGCGTTTTATTATTTTGCCTAACCCTGAGCTAAAATAACAAATAAGAATGTTTGACATAAACTTACAAAGAATTTCAATTTATGTTTATATCCAATAAGGTGGCACATGATATTATTTGGAGCACAGCTTGAATCACATAACTCACAATAATATACAACTTCATTAAGCAAATGTATTTCTGTCACAAAAGTTAAACCTGAAACAAAAAAAAATTGATTACAACACAGATACATATGCTTTGAATGTTCAGTGAAACTTCTCGAGAGCAATCATTCTCTGTTATGCGAAAAATTTTCACTAAAGAGGTGATCACTCTAAAAATTTTCAACATTAACAACTAACCCAAGAATGTATGCAAGTTCACAGCTAGATTTAATATTCATAAATAAAAAAAAAATTACTGAAAACAAAATTGGTTTTTATTATTCTCTGCTACTGCTATTTATTACCCTTTGGACTAAATTAATTGCTATTTGCATCTGTTACACGTCAAGGTCAATGTAAGTTTCTTACACTGATTTAGACTATGTTTTAGGTTTACTTACCAAAGAAAAGGGCAAGAAAATCAGTCACTCATGGAGAGAAGCCTAGTTTTCACTATAGAACTTTTAGAATTAAATTGATAGAACAAAAAATCAATGCCTTAGAAATGTGGCTGCTGAAGGAGGTGTTAGCTAAAACAAGTTTCAACAGAAATATAGATTTAGAAAATTTTAAGAGCTTGAATAATTTTCTAGAACTAAAGATGACACAGGTATGAGAGGGTTTTTGCTGACACATCATAGTCCATCAAATACCCGAAAATTGAAAAGTAGGACGCCAAAGTCTACCCATCTTGCAGTATCTATAAATTTAATCTTGAAAAAGATTAACAAAACAATTTTTTTGAAAAGTATTTATTTTGCGCTGAAGGACAAACAAAATTCAGATTCATAAAAATAAAATTCCTAAAAATACAAAAACAAATTAATATAGTGATTTAGTTTACACAAATCAATCAGTATAGGATAAAAGAAATTGTCAAGTAAATAAGGCATAATTTTACTGGAAAATTCTATATGTAAAAAATAACAAATAAAATTTTAATATTTAAATTTAGAATGTTTAAAACTTTATGTTTTTTTACCGCCTGTTCATTCTATTTTCAATATTTATGAATGCATTAGTGAAATGATAAATTTTCTGTAAGTAAAATGAAAATTAGCAAATAAAAAAGAAAAGGTTACATTGATTTTCACAAAAATAATCAGTGCAATAATATTAACATGAGAATTACTTTAACTACCTTGCTAATTAAATTATGATATATGAAATAATAGAGTTTTTAGTGTAATTATAATTGAGAATAAAAATAGTGAGAGAACAACTTATAAGAAATCGATACCAATAACTGGATGTTTTCTGTAACTCTCAGCAATAGTCTGAAGCTTTGCTCTTTTATTTACTTTGATACGAGTCACGCCAGCAGCAGCTATAAAATTAAAATAATTATTCAATTTTATTTTTAAAAATAATTCACAATAACGTTATTATACATTACACAGTCATTATCTAAATAAAATTAAGGACTAAAAAATTAAAAGTAATATATAAAAGTAATTTATGCAATATATTTATGCATATAGTTCTTGAAACATGACACATTTGATGGCTAACATGGGGAAATTTTGATTTCATAAAATCAAACGCAACACCAGAAGTATAAAAAATTCAGAAGTGCAAAAAAATAGGAAGTTATCTAAACTTGAATTAAGTATTTAATTTTGTTACAGGAACAAGTAAAATATTGTTAAAAAGAAAATGAAGCAAAAACCTTTTGACAAGAGAAATAATGAATTTACATGAAATTTAAATATTTTTAACTAGAGTAGAAATCTCTAGACAAGTAAATGCTTGTTTAATGATTCAATTGCAAGAGGTCAGAAGTTACTCAATTGCAAGAGGTCAGAAGTAATAAGTTGAATAAACAGAATTCTGGCTGCCTCTTTCACTACAAAAAGGAAAGAGCTCTTTAAAGAAATAAATCCTTTCATTTTCCCATACTAGCATCATGATGAGTATAATATCATTTTTAAATTTAAATAATGAAGTTTTAGAGCATTATAATACTGAAAAGGATGATCACAATTGGAAATAATTTTTTCTCTTAGAATAATTACCATTAAGACTAAAGAATTTAGAACATACATTTAGATTTTTGTTTACATACTTTCTAAGTGTGTCTTTTTTCCATTTAAATGCGTTTTTATTTGCCTTTTCAGTAATTATAACACTTCTTCCTTGGAGCATCTAAACAACAAGTTTGGGGCAGGCATTCATACGCCTCTGCATGTTACTTCTTTGCCATACCCCATGAAAGAAGAATTGCAAACTATTATTGTAATATCTATATTTTAATTTAGGGTGATACAATATGTAAGAAATTAGCATTTTTTCAGAGTAACAATCGACAAAAGCCTTACAAATCTTATACTTTTTAAATAGGGTTGTCATAAGAGCTTTAGATAAGGGCTTTTGCTTATAAAAATAATATAATTTTGATGTTTTATTATCTTGAAAAGGAAAATGCAGTGCAATAGAAAATATTTCATGCTATCTCAAAATAAAAATTAATCTTCAGATAGTTTGATTGTTTAATCAATAAATTACTAGTCTATAGAAAGTCATCTGGGCGGAAAACAGGTTCTGGGCAGAACCTCTTAACTCTTTTAAAACTAAATGTTAAACTCTGCAACAATCATCTTTGCCAGGAAAAAGGTTCAACTAGTATTTTTATGTAATGAGGTCTGTTTATTCTCTAGTGGGAGGAAGAAAATTTTATTATTTTGATGTTAAACAAAATTGAGGCACATATTTACATTTTAAAAATAAGGTCAACTGCTCATTCACTCTGCAATGTTTCAAAAATAAAAAATCCTGAGTTTTCTAACATCACAGAGGAGGAAGGTTTTGTTAATTTTTCACAAGTCTTTAAATTCTTCGTACTATTAAGTAATTTTCTTGAGAGAAACCATCTTCTGAAACTCGCAGTTATTTATACCTCCTCCCAAAAAAAATTTGACAGTTTTTACAATTGAAGCTCAAAAACTGTTTGGTAAAAACAAAAATCTTGTAGAAATTTTACCATGAATCATGAAAATTTGAAACTTTTAATAAGATTAACAGAACAAAATTAGTCAAACAAACAGCCACTTATTTACTCCCTTACCAATAAAAAAATTTTTTTGTCAAGATATAAACCAAAATATTTCTTTACAAATAATTAAAAAATAGAAACCACTAATTATCTTTCTTACATTTTTATTTTCATACATCATTTAATATTAATTTCTTCGAATGACAAATTTAAATTATGGTTATCTTTCGAATATCACAGAATAAATTAGTACTAAGCATCCTCAGAAATAAAATTATAAAATTTTTTTATGCAAATGAGTATTGGGAGAAATTATAAAAATTTAGAAGAGTGTCACTTACAAAGAGGATAATGAAGTAGCTGATTTCCCTCCTGATAAGATACAGAACTAGATGGCTGAAAAATATAAATAAATTCAGATCAGTCCACAGTAATCATTTAAGTCTATATTCCTTTAAAGTTTAGATATACAGTGAAACTTATTTTGTTTTACTTTTTTAACCGGTATCGAACAGCTGACCCAATTCTGAGTTTACAACTATTAATATTCAACTCTGTAGCCTTGTCATTTTGAACCCAACACAAAATTTAAGATGATTCCCAGATTGAACATTGGGACAAACTAGCGTTCATGGAGGACTTTATGATGGAACTAGTCCGCATTTATGACTACTAGTGTTCAACTCCGTTGCCTTGTAATTTTGAACCCAATCCAGAAGACAAGGGAACTCCTAGATCAAGTACTGGGAAAAATTTGCCTTCTTGAAGAACTTTTTGATGGAACTAACCCGCATTTTCGTTACATGGAGATGAAAACTACGAAAAACATATTTTAACCCATGATGCGTCTACCCATGAGGATATTTTACGATGTCAGTGTAAACAGTCATTCTCGTTGGTGCGAACCGGGAGTAGAATTTGCATTTAACTACCATTGCGGGGATTTGAATGTGAGTTAAAGAGGAAATCAAATACTCTATACCCTATGCCACCCCGGTACAGTGAAACTTATTGGGAGTGGTCACTCACTGCTACAAAAAATTATGGATTGTTAAGAGAGATGGTAGAACAAAGATTTGTCAACAACTAATTGCAGAGTAAGTTATAAATAAATAAATATTTAACAAGTCTTTAATTTATTATTTATTTAAAATGCATACCATAGAAGGAGGGTTTGGTTTAAACCAAGTGGCTTTCATGAGAGGGGGAAAAAGCTTTTTTTAAAAATTATTTTATAATTTCTGTCATAAAACTTTTTATTATTAAAAAAATCCAATTATTTTGAAATTTAATATTTTTTAATTTAAGAACACAACTTAAAAATATTAACATCGAAACTTGTTAAAAATTCAACGAAAAAATAATAATGGAAATAGAATAAATATAATAAAAATAATGGAAAATTTAAAAAATAGCAATTGAATTTTAAAACTATAATAGATTTCTTTCTCTAAAAAAGTTCCATGTTATGTAAACATATTTAAAATTTTAAATTTGATAATTTCATTTTTTATACTTTTGAACAATTAAAGACATTTAATAGCCCAATTTAACATATAAAATGTCATTTGAGCTTTTATTTAGAAAAAGAGAGAGAGAGAAAATGTTTATCTTTCAAAGCTGCATTGTATAGTTCAATATGCCTTATTTCCATCATGATACTTGTTTTAAATCTTTTAGAGACATTTTTCTTCTTATCCTAAAAAGTTTTATTTATTTGAGACCTTTTAAAACTAAAACTTTATTCCTACTTGTCCAAATTTATTTTCGTGTGTGCTTGAATCACTTGGACATTATGCTTTTTCAATTTTGAAATTACTAATTTCTCAGATATGTTTAGAGCACTAGCTAACAAAAATTGCTTCTGGGTCTGATCTGCATAAAAGTATGTCGTTCATTCTTTGTACCTCCCTTCAATATTTGTCTAGAGGTTCCAATTTTAATATTAATATGGGTCATATCTTTTCCCATAATTTTTTGATGAGAATGAACAATATAAGTATAGGCATAGCTGCCAATTCATACAGACGTTTGGAAAAATTTGTAAAAATAAACTAATTAAAGTAGGAGGAATTCCTAAAAAATGTTACTTTACACATACTTAATATGCTTATTTACACATGTTTGAATTACTAATTTGTCATGGGAAATAAAATTATTTTTGAAAAATATATATGATTTATACTGTAAAACATAAATATTACTATCACAAAGAAAAAGTTTCCTCAATGACAAAAGCAGATAAGTATATGTAAGCCATTCTATTTATTTGGATAAGAGTATATATTACTTGTTTTTTAAGGTATTAGACTAGTGATGACTAATAAAGTCAGAATAATTGTTCTTTGCACCCCATTTCTTATTCATGGGCAGCACATACTGACAAACTGCACAAAAATTTTCTAAAAAAAATTATATTCATGTTGGTAGTAAGTTCACAATAAATAATGAGAACTAAAAATTCCAAATTTATTGTTCCAAATTTAATGTTATGGAAACCAAATGTTAATATAAACATGCAAGCAGTAGAAGCTTGGATGGATGAAAACTTACTTTACTTGAAAACTGCTCAAGAGACTGTTTGGCAACTTCTGGTATAGCTTGTGCCATTAAATTCTGAAATTACAACAATTTTAAACTTAAGAGTAAATATACATTACTAGAAGTAAAACTTTTTTTCTGGCATAACACGATAAGTTCTTGATAAATTACTGCATAAAAAAAAACAATAATTCTTTACTTAACGATAAGACTTTTAAGTATTAAGAAGTTGCCTTAATGGTTCAAAAAACATTCTTAAATATATTAATTAATCAGTGTTATCAATCAATTTACAAAATCAGACAGAATTTGGGCTTTTAAATGGTAACACCAAAATCAATGTTTTTTTAATTCAAAAGAAGACTGTATCGATATGTATTTACAGTTACAATTTTTAAGTGTTCAGAAACCAAAATTTTTTAACAAAACAACTCATTGCCAATCTGCTTTAAAAAAAACATATTTTCATAAAAATATAAGCATTAACTATTTGCAACAAAAAAAAATAAATAAATGTTAATACAGAAAAAACAGAAAGGAAGATGTTTTCACTAATCTATATATTTAATAAATTATAATTATTTATTATAAAATATATGTATATGTGGGGAATAGCAGTTATCAACAATGTCAACCTTCATCTATGAAAAGGTACCCCCGGCATAGAGTCGAGTTAACATGTCTTATATACTAGTGAATTGTAGTTGTAATTTTGTAGTGGTAGATACGCTACAGTACTCCCCCACCAGAATTATATCTGTGATAGAATTCGATGAATGGATATCCACTAGTTGAATCATTGCTATTTTTGTGCGAAGCTGGGAGAGCTGTATTAAGATCAACGTACTTTTTGAGTGCTGAATGTGAGAGGTGTATTAACTTCATGGTCGTAGTCGCTCCTGTGTTGCCTTTAGCAGTCGAGTGTATGCCGGCCAACGTTGTGTGTTCGAAACTGAGTAGCAACAGTGCGAGGAGGTGGATAATGTTGCAGGCACAAGTAGCAAGTCAACTATTCAATGTGGACCATCCAACGAAGTAGACATATTCAGATCGAAATGGGCGTTACTGCCCAGGTAGGCGTGTTCACATCACGTCCGAAGGTCACCAATGTGGGGAATAGTAGTTATCGACAATGTCAACCTTCATTTATGAAAAGGTACCCCCGACATAGAATCTAGTTAACATGTCTTATATACTAGTGAATTGTAGTTGTAATTTTGTAGTGGTAGATACGCTACATATACATAGAAATACATAATAATTAAAAGTGAGATACTCTTATGAAAGTGGATTTTTAAGACATTTTAAACCTCTTTTGTTCATTCTATACTTATAACGTTAAAATATTAAGGATAAAATAATTTTGTGCTCTGTAAACAACATTCAAACAAGAGTTAATATGAATTGAGCTGTACTGCGAAAAAATATTAATTTTAACTATTTAAAAAATCAAATACCCTTAGATGTTTCCTACCCACTAAATGGGTTTGCAATGTAACTTCACTATGAACTTCAATATTACAAACCTGAAAAAAATATAGAGTCAAAATCAAAGTAAAAAAAATAGTATGAATCTTACAATTAGTTATTTCAAACATTATTTGCTTTTCAGAGTAATGACTATTCAAATTCAAATTAAATTTATTAACTTTAAAAAGAAAATTTACTATTAAAAATTTAATTCCATAATGTATGTACCAAAATTTAATACCAGCACAGTATCATATGCTTAAGACAGATTGGCTGACTTGTATTTTTAAGAAGATATGGACAAAAATAATTTTGTCAACATTACAAATTTTGATGGCTGGTTTGTTTTAAAATGAATTAATAGTACAATAGCTAAACACATAAGAAATGTGTCTAACTAAAACAATGCCAAACTAAAAAAACTTTGCAAAATGAACAAGTACCTTCTTTTTTTTTTTTGGTCAATTAAAAAAAAAAAAAAAATTTAAACTCTAAACAAGATTTTTACACAGTTTTGCATATACACAACTATGATATATTTTCAAAATCCTTGAAGATCTAAGATCTATTGAATAATCAAAATTTTATTTTTCTGAAGAAGATTGGTGGAATGTAGAGTTTAATGCGACATAAGCCCAGTAATGACTAAACTATGTGTTACTTAAATAATAATTGTAAATTGTATGCAAGGTAAAAAAATCAAACAGTATTTAAATAACGTCTGACTGGAAAGAGCGGAAAAAAGATTATCATCAGCTTGTATTTTCTTTAAAAATTACCTTCAAGAATTTTTTTTTTTCTTGGAAGGTTAATTCTAAAGTTTTTTCTTGTTCTCCCAGATTTTTTTTTTGTTCAGTGACCAACAAGTTACAACAACATCTTATAATTGAAAAATCCATCTCTTTCTATAGTTCTAGGTAATTGTTAAGAAAGTTTCAATAATATGTTGAGTTTAATGTTCATTTCATAATTTTTCAAATCATGTTATAAAGCTTGATAAAGTAACTCATATCCCTTTTTAGATATGAATTTCTAAAAGATATTTGCTCTTCAGAACGAAAATTGCTGAAAAACCAACTTCACACATGTATGAAGAAGCAATGGCTATGCATAGAATATAGTTAGACTATCTAAAAAATAAATTGAAAATTTGTGAAATAAAATTCCACAAAGCAAATAAATGGGCTTGGCACAAACAAATTAAATAAAAAATTTACTCTTAATTACAATAAGGCCATTTAAAAAATATATTAGTATTTTTAAATACATACCTTACATTTAACAGCATAAAAATGAATGCTTAAAAGGAGAAAAAATATTTTGATTAAAATATTTAACAAACACAATATTTTTAAAGGCATTTTCATATCAAAAGCAACACTAATTTAAATAAATGTTTCACAAATGTGTAAACTTCACTTACTCTGCATCGAAAATCACCAAATGCTTCTTCGACATCATGGAAGGCTTTTCGTGATGGTTTGTTATACAAACATTTTGTAGGAGATTCAGAATATCTTTTAAACTTTCTATCAGCTACTTCTCTGATTTTCTCTCTTTCTTTTCTATGCCTGTGTTTAGAGGCATATGAGTCACTAGAATCTGCTTCATATTCTTCTCTTTGGATCTTTTTTCTTCTTTGAGAATGTTTACAGTAATTGCAAGTTTTTTCCGTTGTATCAGAATCTTCTACAAAAAAATTAGATACGTCAGATCTTTTGGGAAATTTTTTTCCTGATGGTATATTTGGTGATATTCGTTTCAGTGGTCTTTGTCTTTCTGGTACTTTTATCTTTTGTACCTTTGGCGTTTGTAACTGTGATGTTTGTGCTATTGTTTCTGTTTGTGCTGGTGTTAGTGCTACTGTTTCATTTTCTTCATCACTGTCAAGTGTTAGATCTATTATTTCAATAACTCCTTGTTTAGAAGGTAAAGGCTTTTTCATCAAGGCTCTCATCAACTTTCTCTTTTCTTTTTCCAAATCTTTTAAACTATTAAGAGTACCTAAAAAATATAATTAGTACTTATGAAATTAAATTAAATAATTTTTTTCTCTCATTCATTCAGGTCAATAGCAATAATCAGTAACTCAGAGACAATGAAATTTAAACTACTGAATAAAATCTTAAATAAAAAGTTTTCAGTTTGTATAACTTTTAAACTATTTAAGCATACACAAGTGTGACCAAAGTTAAAATTGAGATAACTGGTTGAAAATCATTGGTTTAAAGATTCATAGCTATCTCCAGGAGTTGGCACTTGGCTCCACCTCTTCGGACGCAGAGTTCATTTCAGTGCGGGAGTAAAAAGAGAAACATCTCTGCTTTTGAAATTGAGACAACCCTTAATGCGCGCCAAACACAAAAGTGAATTTTTTTCCAGTCACTTACTTCGCTTTATCATCTGCTATTTTAAATTTAAAAACTGCTGTTTTCCCAGCAAAAAGTCTCAAAAAGGACAAACTATTCACTCAAAAGAGAGAAATACCATATAAAATGGAGCGAAATATCATCAAATTTACGAAATATTTAATGTTAAAAAATGCAGAAGAAGTTTTGCGAAATAAATATTTTTGCCATACGATCGCCAAATAGCAACCTTGTTCAGGATTGCTCACAATCTTCTCACGAAAATAGTGAAATAGTATCTTCACATACCCGTGATGAAGGCGGAGCCAAGTGCCAACTCCTGGTGAACGAGCTATAAAAATGTTTTGATTTGAGATGTTAATGTTTTGAGAAAAAAAAAGCAAGCATAGCTAAAATTTGGAGAAGGTATAGTTAGAGAATGATTTAACTACATTGAAAGTTAAAAAATCATTTATAAGAATGAAAAAAATTTAAAAATTTTTCAGCTATATAAAAAACATTTCAAAAGTTGTTAAGCATATTATTTGTTTTTATTATAAAAACAAGCAGTGAACATTCTTTAATACACAAAATAAACATCACATTAATATTCTTTAATACATACCTCTGGCTTTAGGTCTCTGTGTTTTTTTAAATTTAACTGGATCCTAAAAAAAGGATAATAAGTTAAATAAAATCACAATTTTTTAGTAAAAAAGTATTTATTGATTAATTAATGATGATAGAGAGAGAAGAGGATGGATACGCTAAATTTTAGAACAGTGTGACACTTGTAAAATGTTCTATCACATGAAAAACTTGTCTAATAGAGAAATTAAGATACTCTTCCTAAATTTTACGACTAAGGGAATTTCAACTGACAATGGAAAATAATTCCTCATAAAGAATTGAAGCAACAAAGTACAGCTGATTAAATCAGTCAAAAATTAACCCTAAAAATTTAGATACAGTACAGAATCCATTATCTGGAAATCAGAAAACCGGAAAACCAAAAAACCGGAACGAAATTCAATAAATTTTCTCGCCATTTTTAAAAAAGAACATTTTTTTTCCTCATAAGATTTTACGATTTTTCTTTCTTTTTTTAAAGATGTTTACCTTACCATCATTTTGGAAATAATCATTAGTGTATTATTTCATCGTTCTTTCTTATTTTTAAGATTATTTCCAAATATTTTTTTTTTTTTTTTATAGTTTGGTTTAACTATAAGAAAACGGCTTTTTGTAGCGATTCAGAAAACCGGAAAAATCAGTTATCCGGAATAGCGATGGTCCCGACTGTCCCGGATAATCGGTTCCCTACTGTATTACAACTTTCTCTATAACGAAAGGAAAGTCTTTTAATGCAGTAATCATATTGTACCTGTCAAGACTGTGAAAAAGCTAATTGCAGTTTTATATATAAAATGAAATTTGTTGTAACTGTTGGTCTGCTTCATCAGAAACAGCCTGAGTATGAATATATTTGAGAGGTGATTTAATAATCAACTCCACTTTTTTGGGTGACAATTTCAACATAATATTAAAAAAACAATATAGTCCAGGAAATATATTTATCTTACAGACAGTAGTGTAGTCAGGGTATCTGCTACATTTTAGATTTTCAAATTCATGACTTTTCATGATTTTCCATGACTAATTCCAAGAGTTTTTCATGACTTAACGAAGTTACTATTTTCTCGAACAAAAACGCAACAATGAATTAAAAAAAGCATTATAATAACATTAATTGAAATTATAGGTATAACCAAAACTGCTATACTCTGCATTTTTATATTTATAGATTTTAAATTTAAAAAACAGAGTAAAGAAAGAGTTGAAACAATAAACTAGCTGAAAAAAATACAAAAGCAAATAATTTTTTTCTGTAGAATTATATTATAAAGAAACTTTTCTTGTTCATCTGAAAGGAAAGAAATACTCCTGATTTTTCTGTTCTCATTTTGGAATAAAAGAAATTCTCCAATGACTGGTTTGCTTCAACTAGAATTTTAAATTGATAAAATTTAAAAAAAAAAAAAATAGAAATTTTTAAATCACAGAAGAGTTTAAAAGATAATTCCCTCTAGAAATGATAGTTTTTCTTTCATTTTTTTTTTAAAGAACACCATAATTTTTAAAGAACATGATAAAATAATTTTATATTCTTATAAAATATGCCTGAGTGGAGATTTTGTTAGGAATTCAGATAGTTGGAATAGGATGAAATTAGGGAGGGGGGATTCCATTTTAAAAATTTGATTTTTTGGAAGTGGTGCAAGGGGCAAAACATGGTTTTGGAGCAAGAAAAAAGCAATTTTGGAGCAGCAAAACAAAGATTTGGAGCATATTTAATAAAAAAAAATTAAAACAAGAATTTAATAATAAGAGTTTTTTGTTCATTAATAACATATCTAATTATTTACACTTTTTTGAAGGTCCTTGCATAAACAAATTAAGTTTCTTTTTGGTAGCCTCAGATAAAAGGAATAGAATTATTAGGACATAGAATTTTTTTCTGAAGAAGATTAAGATGTCATCGCATTTGTGGCATCTAGTCCAACTATTACATTTGAATTGTGCCAAATTTCTGCATTTTCTACATCCAAAGATTTTAAGTCCTTTCCTGTCAAACTAAGAAAAGCAGAACTCTTTTAAAAAACGCCCTAACAATGCTTAAACTAGAGACACCATTTTATAATACAGCAAGTGAATCAATGGTGTCTCAGTTTGGAAAAAACCTAAACATTTATTTAATATAGGTGAAATATTACTTAAAAAAGAGCTTTTGGCAAAAGCAATTTAAATAAATTCAATATTGAGTGGCTCATACTATTTTTTAAATTAATAATTACTTTATTTAATTCTGTAAAAGGTAATTTAAAACTCTAATTAATTTAACTATTATTTAACGTTATTGAGTATATTTTTCTTAAAATTTAAAAAAATGTTATTTGTAATAGTATATTCAATAAAACATTAACAAGATTAATATTGATCATACGGAATTTATAAAAATATGTAAAGAATTAAGCAAACTTTAATAAATTTATATTACAAATGTAAATTAGTGAATGACCCCTAATTTTTTTAAAATTAAAATTGGTTACCCAGTACAGTATTTCATTAATGAAATGATTAAAAAAAATAATTTTTAAATGCAAATTCAATGAGTATTGAAGCTATAATAAAATGCAATAAGTATAAAAAAAAATATTAGTAAAAAAAAGTAATAAATGTTTAAAAACAATATGCAATTAGTGGATGGTCCCTCAGAAAAAATTTACACTTAAGAAACTCAATTTTTATCTTTATTAAATTAAATGAATAAAAGGGAGATGGAAATTTTGAGGTTATGAAGCTTTTTGATTCTTGACTGCTCTGAGGATCAACATGAAAATATGTACTTAGTGAATGGTCCCCAAGTTAATTCCAAGATCATGAGTACTATTCTATAAATAGAATAGAGCAAGAAGGCCATAAGCTTGCCATTGACGAAGACGATGGCACTTCAATAACAATGAAATTAAACAAGAGAAATAAAATTTTCGTTTGCTATTAAACTTTGGCAATGTTTAGTCGGTCCCCGAAAATTCCTGGGAAGTTTCGGTTCCATTTCAGAGAGTGGAAAATGAAACCTGAAATTGAGAATATCTTGTAAAATGAAGCAGAGTTGTACATGAGAGTGCAAGAATCCTTCCCACTGAATCCAGAGCAACCCATCACATAGCAGTAGCTTGGTTGCCGCAAAATTGTGACTTGGCGATACCCAGGGGAAAATATCCCTTTTGGCTCAGATCGGGGCAATTTAAGCCTACTACTTCAATTTGGAGCATATAGGCCCAGGTTTCCACAATTGGCGCAGTACTTGCAACACTGGAATACCAAAATCCATGACTTTCCATGATTTTTTTCAAAAAAACAGCAAAAATCATGACTTTTCATGACAAATTTTGTTCAATACTGAAATTCATGACTTTCCATGATTTTTCATGACTTTTCAGGTGCGCGGATACCCTGTGTAGTTTATTGACATTTGCTCAAGAAAAAATAAAATAAAATAGAAATTCACCAAATTTTGAATGCCAGGAAAATGACATAATTGCTTAGAAATTAAAAAAAAACTGTAATTTTAAGCTAATTGTAAGTAACTCAACCTAAGCCTTTAAGTTAGACGGACCATGAATTGCTTAAAATAATTCTTTTATCCACTGTAGAAAGAATCAAAAAAGATTTTGTTGCTGATATGAACTGAATAAAATTGTGTATAATGATCAATCATTAAATAAAAAATATTAACTTTGATAACATTCTCAAGCACATTGCAATCTTACATAAACTTGGTATTAGGTTAATATTTGCTTTCCTCATTTAAAAAAAATTCTGGTAACTGTGTCAATGTCCTGGCATTCATAAGCCAGAATAATGACAATTTGCCATTTTATAGCATTTAACTTTAATTTAAGATTTTGGCCTAAGACGTTTACAATCCGCAGAAAACAACAGGATTTCTTGAAATAACTCAGGTAAATTTATGTAGTTTATGTTATTAATGATTTCAACAAGACACAGGAAAATAAAAACCTACTCACCCTGAAAAAATTTTTGAAATAGATTTTGAACCAGAAAGTTGGTTCTTTATTCATGCAATAAGACATGTTCAAATAGGATGGAATTCTAATCGATCTATTAACATAAGATATTGATTGCTGGCGCTATATAAATCACTAAATAAAAGAAGTCAGGGAAATGACTGATTTTCTTGTGACAAACAAATTATTGACAGAAAAAATTATTTTCAACAAAGTTTATGCAAATAATATCCTCTGCATATATTCTAGAAAGGCTTACAACAGTTGAGGTAGGTATTGAAAAATTTGTGGGAAGCTTTGAAGCTAGTTATCGTTGGAAATATTGTTAGTGACATACCAAGAAAATGACATTTTGAAATTCAATTAAATTTTTTAAATATACAAAACAGTCAATGCTAGTAAAAGGTCATTTTAAAATGCTAACAGCAATGCTTTTTATTAAAACTTAAAAAAAAAAGTTCTTTTAGTAGTATAGTATTAGATCTTGGAGCAAGAGACTGTAAATTGTCATATTTCGTGAAGATCACCCATATAATATATTTGTGGGGGAAAAATCAAGTTTTTTGGTATATTTTTTTAAGTTTAAAATAGAAAACTTCTGATGGCATATTTGAAAACTAGAAAACATTTCCTTCATGTGTAAATAGGATAATAAATTAAAGAATCGTGAGTATAGAAATAATGACCACAACATTGAAATGACATATCTCTCAGTGCTTCAACGGAAAAAAATAGAAGCAAATGGAGGTTTGAGATTTATAAAAAGTTCACTTGTAAAATCTAGCAATACAGTGGTACCTCGATATACGAGTGCCCTAACATACGAGTTATTTGAGATACGAGCTGTCGAGTGTGCGAAGTTTTGTTTTGAGATACGAGGAACGGCCATGCAAGCCCTTCTCGTCCTCGACAATGCTCCTGATCCCCCACCGAGCCTCAAACATGACATCCTCGAAGAATTTAAGTTTATAAAGGTTATCAAGTTTACAAGAACACTACCTAACACCACTCCTATCCTGCAGCCCATGGATCAGCAGGTGATTTCTAATTTTAAAAAGTTGTACATTAAGCACCTGTTCCGGCTTTGCTTTGCGGCGACAGAGAACACAAATCTCACCCTTTGAGAGTACTGGAAGGATCACTTTAACGTGATATGCCTTAGAATTGTTGATCAGGCCTGGCTGAGTGTTACAACGAGGACCTTGACCTCTGCATGGAAGAAGCTATGGCTTGAGTGAGTCTGTAGCCGTAATTTGTGCTGTCGCCTGAGTCTGTAGCTTCGAAGGATTCGAACCCGATGAGCCAGTGGAGGAGCAGATTGTGTCTCTGGGAAAATCCATGGACCTGGTGATGGGTGAGAGAGAAGTGAACGAGCTCGCCGAGTAGTACTCTTAGGAACTGACGACCAAGGAATTACAAGAGTTACAGTCGCAGCAACATTCGGGGGTTCCACAAGAAATTAGTTTCGAGGAAGAGTCAGAGGTGGAGGAAGTTATCTCTACAACTGAGAGAAAAGAGTTCTTGGGAATGTAGGACAGAATTTCACAGTTTGTGGAAAAGAAACAACCCGAAAAAGTTGCAACTGGTCGTACATCGGAGCTATTTAATGACACTTGAACTCATTTCTGCAGCATTCTGAAAAGGAGGAAGAAACAAACCTCCTTGGACAGTTTTTTTTTTCTTCTTGAATCCGGCTAAAAAAGCAAAGATCAGTGAAGAGAAAAGCAGTGACTAAAATTAAGCATACAGTAGCATTTACGTGAGCAAAATGTATGTACACTTTATAAAACCAGTTTTTTTTTTTTTTTTTTTTGCTTTACATTCACTTTTATTATGTTTTTAAACAATATTTGTCACTTATAAATACATTTTTCTTATTCAAAAACACGTAACAAAAACAATTGGGGGTAGCATTTTTGGCGCTGTAACGGATTAATGGCATTTCAATTCATTTCAATGGGGAAAATTGCTCTGAGATACGAACAAATTGACATACGAGCAAGGCTACGGAACGAATTAAACTCGTATCTCGAGGTATCACTGTATATCCAAAAATTCTTCCACACTCTTCTCCCTCTTCCCCTCAACTAATAGCCATTATTTTTCCTACACCTTTTTTATTGAACTCTCCATAGTTTTTAAGAGTCTTTTCCATTTTGATTGTTTACTTATCTTTTTGAATTTTTAAATAATACTCAGGTTAGATTTTGTTTCCACTTCATCAATTTATTCCTAGCCGCTGTTCAGAGGATTTACCCTTTAAACCCCCTCCTCATGCAAAGGTTATCCTTTCCCTCCAAATAAACAAAATTTTCCTTTCAGAAAATAAATCTGAATATCTAATCCTATTCCCCTAAAAGGAAACATTGGATATTATTATTTCAACTTTTAAGAAAACATGCTATTTTTGTTTCAATTAGATTGTTAGTTTTGCTTCGCTAAAGCTTTTCATTAGCTCCGAAAAGCTGAGAGTTGCATTCTAAACATTGATGCTTAAAAATAAACACAAAAGACAATTAAATATAAAAAGAGAAATACCCTTAGAAATTATATGATTTTGAGTGATTAGTCACACGGAAGGGTGGACAATGTGAGAGACTGTGTTATTTAGAGCAAATGTAAAATTGGGTAAAAAACTCGTATTCTAAAATTTATTTGTAATGGCAATTAAAAAGAGGGATAAAGGACATTAGGGGAGTTAATTAAATTATGTTAATCAGAAGATGGGAAAGTTCTAAGGAGTAAACTTTTTAGAAGCTAAAAATAAATTGAGGAGGAGCATGGGGAAACTCGCAAGAGTATTGTTATAAGTCTAAATTAAGTGCCATATAGTAATATATTTTTATTTAATTTTTAGTTTTGAATAAGCAATTTCAAAACTAATAATCTTATAATTGAATAAGGTACATTTTCATAGTTCACTGTGCTTTTGGGCAATCGTCTTATCCACATTTTTTTTTTTTTTTTTTACAAAATTTGGTTACATTGAATAATAAATGTTTTGATCAATTGTTTTAATTGTTAATAATCAGTTAAAAACTATCCCATTTCTTCTTTTTAACCTTACTTGAGCAGTGTTATTAATTACATGAAGTTTGGATTGATAACTGATATTTGGATTCACTACTGACACTTGCGTTTACAGAAACTACTGGAAAAGGAAAGAAATCGGAAAGTTAGATATAAAAAAAAAAGAGATCTGTTTATAAGAAACAAGTAGGAAAATAAAATAAATAACATAAGACAAACAACTACTAATTTTCATTAATATTCTTGAGTCATAATGAATTTGTCCTTCACACAATTTACATAAAAATTAACGAATTTAATCAAGTACATCTTAATTCATAGACAACTTACTGCATTCCGCAGAATCAAATATTGGCAATCGTCTCCAAGTTCATCATAACTCAGAACTTCTGGTTTATATTCATCACCAAATACAGAAGATTTTAAAGAGCAATTATCCTCATGAGCCATCTGCAAAAAAGTAGTAAACAAATGATCAAAATCTGAGAAGAGTTATGTCTAAGTTTTTCAACAAAACTTTTAATAATTACAAAAGCTTGCTAAATAAAACTTCTTGTCGTAAAAAAATTAACAAGAGAGTGCTGTTTAGTACAATATCAACTGAGCATTTGTAATTATGTGTTACTGGAAAAAAACAGCTGTCACCAGTTATCAATCTTGTTATCATTAATTTTGCATATTCAAATTTTATAAGTAACATTAATTTGTTCAATTTAAAATTATACACAAATTTCTACATACAGAAACAAACTATTAACATCTCATAAAATTTTCCTCCTTTTATATAGACTTATATAGACTGCACAGATCTGGACATAAATAGTTTTGCACAAACACAGGGTTGATGGTTTGAACCAATATGGATTAAACACACCGAAAGTGTACTTAAAACATTTGAATTCTACACAGAACGATTTATTTATAACAAAAGAAGATCCCTGTGGCAGAATTTTTTTTGGGCTTTCTGCGACAAACATTTCTAGCACTAATATTTTTCTGCAAGATACTTTGAATAATAACTAATATACATGTTAGTAATTAAATTTAAAGTAACAGAAACATTGTATTTACAAAAAAAAAAACCTATTAGGATACATAATAAAATTTTATGTATTTTTTTTAAAATGAATATGTAATATTTTTTTATTCTAATATCATGGGCAATATTCTCACATTTTGTGAAAGGAAAACACATGAATTATTTCTTTTTTTGCATTTTGTAAATCATTATCACATAAGAAAATATATATATATATATATACTATATAGTTAAAAATCGTAAAATCCGTGAAAGAAAAGAAAACCAAAATTTTTTCATTTTTATTTTTCCCAAGTAAGAATAAAATTATGAGCATTTCTTCCTCTTTGATGCGTGAAAAAGGCATCTTTTGAATATAATTATGGAGGGAAAAAAATCTTTCAAACATTTCTGCAGAAAAAAAATTTTTTTGCTTCAATATTCTTTATTTTTCATTCCTCTCAAATAAGAATCAAAAAATTACGAACATTTCTTTCCTCTCCGATGGGCAAAAAAGACATCTTTAATATATAATTTTAGAGGAAAAAAGAAATCAAAAATTTTTGCAGAAAAGAAAACCTAAATTTTTTACTTTCTAAAGGAAAATTCTTTCTGGAAGAACTTTGTAACGTTCTGCGACAATGTCGAAACGTTTTTGGGCGGGGAAGAAGATATTTGCCTTCTTGCTAGTGGGCTATAATCCCAATATATGTAACACAGATGAAACTGGTCGTTTCTTTAAATGCTTACTAGTAAAGACTTTATCTTTCTAAGAGGAAAAGAGTCATGGGAGAAAAAGAAGTATACAGAGAATTATTATTATGGTTGGAAGCATTTAGCTTCAGAAGTTAAAAGCAGGGCTGGTCCGAGGTGTAAGCCTGGTAAGCAGCTGCGTAGGGAGCCACATATTTAGTTTAAAAAAATGTTTAAAAACATACCTCTTTTCCTCTTAGTTAGTATAAAATAATGTGAACTTGTTGGATTAGTAATTGATTTTTTTAATTGAAATTTTTCATTTTATTGTGTTTCCCTTTATTTTTGGTGATTTAAAATATTTCCAATTAAAATTATTAGTTATTTATTTTTCAATTTTGTTTGCTAAATTTGATAAAACAGACTTTAAAAAAATAATATGTATTACCTTGCCATTTCATTTCTTTAATGCTGATTTTCAGGTTTCAAAATTTTACATGCTTCAATATATTTGTTACTTAGTTTTCCTTTTTTAGAATACTTTCAACATTAAACTTAAAATTTGAAAAAAATTTAATATTATAGCATTGCTTGTTGCCTCTACTGTTGGTAAATTATAATATGAAGTATATAAAATTTTTCATTCAAGGTATATATTATATAATTCAAGTATATAATTTGGGTGACCTTTATTCAGTAAATTTTACATCACAATTCAAAACCATACTGTGCAAAGCAATCCAAGAAAAAAAATATGAAGTGGGGATGGAGTTATCCAATCACCCATTTCTTGCCTGACATCGCAACATCAGATTTCCTTATATTCTGATCAGTACATTACTTTCTGCTTCACAATAAATTTTAAAATATGGATGATATTTGAGTTTGGCATTTAAATTTTCTGCGCTAGGTGAATTTGTGAGGCTGAGAAGCATTTCTAATATTAAATCCTTCTTCACGAAGTACAAAAACAACAAAAAGGCCCGAACGACGAGTACAACACGTGTAGCAAAACTTGACTGTAAATTTTAACATGAAAGAAGAAATGTTCTATTATTCATGATATACATAACATAACATCAAAACTTCAGCCTATGGACTAAGGTATTATAAAAAACCTAAAGCACATTTTTTAAAGAAAAAAAAAAATCTGTCCAGTGACTAATCAGAAACATTAAAGCAGAGAAAGAAATTCTTGATATCAAACTTCGTGAAACCATTGCAATGATTCAAAAATCTAGAGAAGAATTAAAAGAATATACAATTGTAAATCACTTAAGTAAAGCTGGATTCCTTTCATAGATTAAAGTACGAAAATGATGAAAATCAAGAAAAACAAAAAAATTGAACCAGAATTCTGAGAGAAAATTTCAGAATCATTTTTGTTTGGATATTGATACTTTCGTCAATGTAGAAAAAAAAAATTGAAACTAAGCATCCTTTTGATATGGATATTCTTCTGTCCATTAACAAAGAAAAAAAATAATAACTCAGATGATGAGGATAATGACAATGGAGAAATAGATCTTAAAATTACTTCTCCTACAGATCATCAGGTTCTCACAGCTACAGGAACTCATTGCTCATATATTCAGACACACATACATTCAGATAGTCAAGTATAAAAGATGGTGTATTAACAGCACTGAACCTTTTAGAGAATTTCTTGAACAAATGAATCGCACAAATTGTGAAGCAAAAGAAAATTACAAAAATCTTTCAAAAAATTTCAAATGTAAGTGCTAATATTGCCACTGCTTCAAATAATGAAATCGGAATGTTGTATATATTTACTTTAAATATTAATACATTCCTTTTTCGAGGGTTTGAAAGAAATATCTTTTAGTAATGATGATTTTAGGTTCGTGCTTTCTGCATCGTAATATATGGCAGAAAAGTAAATTTCGGATAAAGTTTTTTCAAACAGAAACTAATTTATTGAGCAAACTGTCTTAAAGAATAGTAGGAATCAATTCAACATGCTAAATTATTGACGCAAACTCTCTGAATTGAGCAAAGCATACAAAAAATAAAACAATTCATGATTATTTCATTAGAAATTTTTTTTGATAAATATCTACTGCATTAAATGTTATAAGAACTATTAAAATATAACCTTTAAACTACATAGATTTGCAAATAACAATTACATGGAAAAATTAGTTAAATCATTAGAAATTAACAAGCGTTTTCTAGATTTGAGATTTTTTAATACCATTTAATCCTGCCTAGTATTGAAAAGATTTATTCAGAAAGGAATTTTAATGATAGCAAAAAGATTTTATTCCATTCCAACCAGCAAGCTCTTTGAATTGAGCAAAGCGTACAAAAAAAAAAAAAGAAATATAACCATAAAACTATATAGACATTTAAAAAAAAAAAAAAATACATGGATAAATTAGTTAAATCATTAGAATTTAACAAGCGTATTGTAGGTTTGAGATTTTTCAATAATTTTAAACCTTGGGTAGTGTTCGAAAGATATTCTGATAGGATTTTCAACTATAGCAAAAAGATTTTATTCTATTCTAACAATAAAAGTATAAAATTCATAGCAGCCTTAAAGTAAGATTTACTTGATTGTAAGATTTAGTTGATTAATATTTAATATTAATTTTATTTTTTCCTGTAAATGAAACTTAAATAAGTTTGCTTTCTACATTTCTTTTTTTCCAAGAAAATTAGTAATGCAATCAACGGCCTTTGAACCAATTTTTCCAAGGAAGTTAGAAACTTCCAAATGTGAAGTCATGTTATTCAATTATAAGTTTGAAGATTTTATTTTTTCATTTAAAAAGCGTTTTCAATTACTCTTTATTTCCTTAAATTAAATAAGAAAAGAAGATTCGCTATTAAATCATATTCAAATTACTAGGTATTAATATTAAAATTTCATTGAAGTTGAATAATAATTTTTTCAACATGATCGAACTTGTTATTACCATCATGCACATTCCGAAATACATCCCCCAAATTTACAAGATGACTACCTAAGACATTATGGTATCCAAAAATCGTCTTAAATTTGATATCATTAAGACATCTACAGGCCTAACATGCAGAATACATCCGTTGGACGTCGAGAGATTTATGTAGAGAGATCTCTTGGATTCACAGATTCCTAAATATGAGAGCATTAGAGCGTGTTTAAAATAAATAACTATTATTTAAACTGAAAATTTTTTTAAAAAAAAAACATAAAAGATACAGGAAACATACAGTATTTGAATAATTATTATATAAACAAACTTTTAATTTAAAATATTTATGTTCTATGATAATATAAAGAATATTACAACTAAAATTACATAACTCTGCAGACTTACGTTGAAATTAGTTAATGCATTTTTAAAAAAGAGAGATTTATATTTCTCGCATTATAGGTTTATCTCTCAAAATTTCTTGAAAGATCATAAGAACACAAAAACGAAAATGAATACACCGCAAAATTTAGAATTGCGTATGCACATTGCCATTAGAGATTTTTAAAAGTGTCTCTGAAAATCCTCCTTAAGATACATTCTTGCTGCAATTCACGCATTGCGTGTGCATGCATAAATATTGATAAAAATTCGTTTTGAAAAGTTGGCAACTAATTCTCTAATATTTCATTTGTATTTATTTTGTGTGATGGTTTCGGATTCGCGATGTTTCAGTTGTTTTTTTAATTTTGACGAACCTTATTTTATAATTTATTTATATTTCTTTTACTTTTTTTCATTTCACTCTTAAAAAAATATTAGTTAATTTAAAATGGCTGAAAATCTTGTTGAATTACTTGGAAGGATATTGTTATCCCATGGTGATACAATTGAAACACGAACTCTTTCTGAAAAGAAGTGTGTTTTAGGACTTTATTATTCTGCTCATTGGTGCCCATCTTGCATAGCGTTTACTCCAGAATTGATTAAATTTTATAATTTATTAAAAACTTGTGATCGCCAAGAGAAATTTGAAATAGTATATATTAGTTCAGATTCCGAAGAAAAACAATTCAAAGAACAATTCAGCTCAATGCCATGGCTTGCTATGCCGTTTTCAGAGAGAAATCGCCAAGTAAAGAAATCATATTTATGTTTTTTTCCTGTTTTCATTGCTTTGTCTCTCAGAATCTATAGACACATGTTACTATAATGAGTCACATTACGTGGTTATTTATTCTTTTTTACTAATCAAATTGCATACTTAAAGTGTTTCAATTTTACTACCAACCTTGAATTATTTTTTAATCTTAAGATCTACAATTTTTAAAAATTTTATTGAAATTGTATTATTTTTAAAAAGAATAAGAAAAATTTCTTTTTCTATTATGGAATTTTTTTAAATATTTAGATAACTATCAAATTTTATGTTCACAAGTTTATTTATTCAGCATTCCAAAGCAAATTATTTACTATGCCATGTGTTCCTTTGGGGGTATTTCTGTATCTATCTGTATTTGCCAACTACACTCGTCAAGGTATCAAAGGGATTTTAAATTTACAGAAATTGTAAAAAAAATTATGTGGAGGATTATGGGGGTGGCTATTAGTTATACAATTCACATTGCCCCTTTCTGTGATATTTCCTTTTTTTAGTTTCTTGTGCCTGACTGCTCAAGTTGCCAAATTTTTTCTCACAAGTACCCATGCGGAAATTTCTTCACCTCTTTTGCTCCACACCAGTGGAGGATATTTCTGTATCGTGCCCTGCCACACCAACTACAATCACCAAGGCACCAAATTAATTTTAAACGAGAAAACTTTTTTAAGAAAACCATGTAAAGGTTTGCCCGGTGTTGGGTATGAGTTATACCTTTCGAGTTGGGCACTTTCTGTGATGTATTTTTTACTTTCTTGTGGGCAGCTACCCGGAAGTTGCCAAGACTTCGTAATTATACTGCCAGAGATCACGATATGGAAATTGTGAATCCTGCACGACAGAGAAATATCCCTGCATCGGGGATATTTCTGTATTGTGATCTATCGTGCCAACTACAATCGCCAAATAGATTTTAAACTTACACATTTTTTCAATTAAAACATGTAGATGTTTGCCCGGGGGTGGTTACAAGTTATACCTTTCGAGATGGTCCCTTTCTGTATTTTTTTTTTTTTTTAAGTTTCTCGCGAACCATTGCCCGTAAGTTTCCAAAGCTTGGCAATTAATCTGCCACAGATCAGGATACGAAAATCTCCCCTCTACATCAAACTAAATAGATTTCTTTAAAAATATATATCGTTCTAAATATATATGTATATATAAAAAGTGTCATATATATATGTCACGGCGAAAGACCGAAATCGGTGGTTGTTGACTTTCACCGGTGAATGTCGACAAACACCAAATACGTCGGTGAAAGATCGAATATTTCATTACATTCTTGTACATTCGGACTCTCACTGGTGTATGTCGACAATCACAGATATGATTTGGTGAATGTCCAAAATATTTATTACATTTGATTTGATATGAATTTATTCGTGGTTATAATTACATTTATTCGATATTTTAACCCTACAATGATGTTTTTTTAAGGTTAAGTGCCACTTCCCGGTATACCCTACAGTGATGTTTTTTTAAGGTTAAGTGCCACTGCTCGGTATACCCTACACTGATGATTTTTTAAGGTTAAGTGCCACTGCCCGGTATATATTTGCCCGATACTCCAAACACTGATGTTTCTTCTAATCTATCGTCAGTAAGTATTTAAATATAGAGTAAATATAAATATATCAAATAAATATAATAATATTAACAAATAAATTAATATAAAATTGGATATAACAAATATTTCGGACATTCACCAAAGCGACTATGTGATTGTTGACATTCACCGGTGAGAGTCAGAAATAAGGGTATTTAGCAATTATTTCGGACATATACCAAGCGACTATGTGAATGTTGACATTCACCGGTGAATGTGGACATTCTCCAGATTTCGGTTTTCACCGAAACATATATATCAAAGAAATTTTTTCCATTTATTAGTGAATCCTATGCATTCTTCAATATAGTATATTTTTTCAAATTATTATTATAGAATTGAATTGATGAGTGCTAAGAAAAAAGCTATCTCCATAAAAAATTTATTTAAGATAATTTTTTTTAAAACCTATATGCTGATTAAATGATTACATTGTTCTGTTTATCATCATTAAAATTTCATAATCAATAAAGTTAGTTTGGCCTATCTTATCCATGTTTAATAAAGTGTATTAATCAGTATGGTTGTTCTTAATATTATAACTACTATTATTGCATTATTTATTTTTGTAGATGGAGTTAGCTAGGAGATATCGTGTACAGAGTATTCCAGCTCTTGTTCTTATTGATTCACAGTCATTAAATCTCATCACACCATATGGCCGTGCTTGTGTAATGGATGATCCTTCTGGTATTTCATTTCCATGGAAGATGAGAGATCCCGTAGAAGTTCTTTATGAATGCTCATTGGTATCATCTTCTGAAACTATTTCATTTGAATCACTTTCTACTCACATCAAAGGCTTGTACTTTTCTGCTCATTGGGTGAGAATGTTATAGATCGAAGCTACTTCTATTAGTAAATAGAAAGTTTATTATAATTATTGAGTTGGTTTTTAAAAGTTTATTACAGTTAGAACTATTTATTAATTTAGCTGCCTCTAGATCAGTGGAATAAAAAGAATTTTTAAATTTTTTTTTCATTTGCAGGCATTTTATTTTTGATAATAAAAAAATCAAGTACTCATTTTTCTACCTTTGTTACAGAGTTTGAAAAATTATAATTTAAAAAAAAAAAAAGGGTGCTGGATAGCTTTTTGATTTAAATTGGGCTAATATTTTTTATTTAAATCAGATCATTTTTTTTATTTTAATCTGTTTTTTTTTTTTGTTTTTTTTATTAAACTACTTGTAATTTTATAAAAATATTTAATTTTTTTACAGACATAAAACATGCAATTTTATTGTAAAATAATAGTTATAATTAATTTTAATAATGTAATAGAATAAATTTTAATGTAATGTAATTTTATGCATTAATGCAATTTATATGTATTAATAATGTAATTTTTATTTAAATGTGTAGAATAAGTTTTAAGAATGTTAAAATATATTGAGAACTGTTAAATGCTATTGAAATATTAAGGTAAAATTTTATCTAAAATCTTTAGAAATAATATTTCATTCCAATGTGCTCATATTAAAACCATTTAAATATCTGACTAGGAAATTAACTCACTGGTTAAATGAATCATTGTGCAATTTATAAAAATCTTACGCACACTTAATATTTTACCGTTTTTTTACAAGTTTAAGGCACATATTTTCAGAAGAAGAAAGAATTATAAAATGAGTAAAACTGAACATCTAGAATGGATTTTTTCTAGCTGGGCTATGGTTGTATGACATTTAACAGTTTATCTGAGTGGTAAAGAACAATTTTTAATTCCAAACTAAATTCTGGGTAGAGATTTCACGATCACAACACTCAAAGATGCCATCTAGGACGAAGATGTTTTATGTTTTAACCCTCCTCTTCTCAGTTGTATGGGGAATGTACTACAATATTTTTTTCTTCCATAATATTTTTTGCATTTAATTGTCAAAAATATTTTCTAAATTTTCCACTACGCCTTCTTTTAGAATCATGTTTAATGCAGTTTTCAATTCCATATAGTTTCCTAACTCAAATGTTTTTAATCTATTTGAAAATCAAGAGAGAAACTAATGCACTTCCTTCTCCTATGACTGTCCACACGCTAATGGTGACAGCATGCTAACTGTTGCCATAGATAGAGAGTTCTGCTCTGGGCCACCTGTTACCCATTTTGATAGCCAATATGAAATTAATTAATTTTTAATACTTTTCTTAAATGTATGTGAATGATAAACATTTTTAAGAAATGAACAAAAACTTATTATATTTCTACTTAAATTTCTTTGATTTTCATTGAAAGAAAGTACAGCAAATCTTTTATTATCCTTAATAAATTAAAATATTTAGATTATAGCGATAACATAGGTTTTTAATAAATTTTTATCTATTCTGAAAATCAGGGTTTTTATAATAATACTGCTATATACTATTCAAATTCAATTTTAATATGACTAATTAATCTAATATCCCTCTCTCTCTTTATTAATTTAGCCACTTATTTGTGTAATTTTATTATGTTTTATACTAACTTGGATTATCAAGGTTCTACTGTATTAAAAATTTGAATGTTCTATAAAGTATGTTTTTATTTTATTTATTTGCATAATAATTTGTCAAAAAATATATTTTTCTGTTTCTTTTCTAATATAAGTTTTGTATTTTCACAGTGTCCACCTTGTAAAGCCTTTACTCCTTCGCTTGTGAAACTATATAAAAAACTGAAAAGCAGTGGTCAACATTTTGAAGTAATTTTTGTAAGCTCAGATCGTAGTGAAGAATCTTTTAACAAATATTTTTCTACCATGCCATGGCTTGCTGTGCCTTATAAGGAAGAGCAAAAAAGAAAAGAATTGGCCCATTTATATGGAATTGGGGGTTAGTTGTGGAATGATATCTTAGATTAAAGCTATCAATATAAATTTATAAAAAAAGGAAAAAAAACTTACTCTTAATTTAGTGTTAAATTTTTGAATATATGCTAAGTGTTTTATTTTTACTCTGTGTGTTTAAACGAACTTGAAATCGTAACAAGTTCTAAACTTTTGTTTTATCCTTATTAATTATGATGCTGTGACAAGTGATAGTATGCTTGTACTATGGTTTCAAAACTACATCTGTTTTGAGGTTTTAGGAATTCAGTGTATATGCTCAAACTTCATGCAATTGAAAGAGCAAAGAAAAAAGTTAATTATTTGTAGAGTTATTTATGTTATAAATATTGATATAGTCCCCCCTCCCCCCCCCCAAAAAAAACAACCTAAAACTAAAACCTAAATTTAAGTAGTTTGTATATTTTAGCCTTAATTCTTTTGCATTCATTTATGTTTAAAGCCAGAATTCTTCCTAGGTATAAAAAAGGGCACTCATTTACCACCATTAAATTTATTAAAATGTGTAATATTATGTAATAACTGAATTTGATTCTCAATTTTTAAATTACTCTCTTATACTATTTCATAATATATATTTCACAAAGTAACTCACACTCATTATCAAAATAACAGAAAATTTGAAGCTTTTGGAAAAGGATTAATTGATTCGCAGCTTAAAAGCTTTTATATATATATATATATATATATATATATATATATATAACNAAATATATATATATATATATTTAAAACTGAAAATATGAGAAAATAAACATTTAAAGATGCATTTTTAAATAAAAGGTATTTATTTAAAAAAAATAATTGTAAAATTTAAAATGATTAAAAAATTTATTAATTTCCTCCCTTTGAAACAAAAAATGTTAATATCTCTGGGGCCAAAAGTGTCAGGTAAATTTTAACTTTATGACTAGAGAACATAAGAAATATCTTACTAAAATGAAGGAAGGAAATTAAAGTTAAGTAACTAATCAATAACTAAATAAATTAGAAGTGAACTTTTCATTCAAACTGGTTTTGAAGAAAACAACCTTTTCCTGAAAAGATAAAATCAAAAAAAGGGTGTGTTTTTAATGGATGACGGTTTATCTTTGCAAAAAGGCCAGGTAGGATGCACTTGAAGGGATCAATTGGCAGGAGAGCAAGCTGTGTTTCTAGAAATGCTTTGGGAAAACGCTGTTTAAACTTTAAATAATGTATTTAAAATCATAATTATATTTTTTTTAAAGTATTGAGAGAAATCAGAAGCTTTTAAGTGGAAAATTCAGCTAATGCAAGCTGCGTGTTTAAAAATAATTAGTAAAAGTTACTTTTGCTTGTTAGATTTTATTAATATTTAAACTTTTTTTTTTCAAACATTAAATTTGATGCAAACTTAAAGAAATAATTTCTAACCAATTGAAGATTCTACTAAAATTCTCTTATTTTCATTGACTTTAAATTTCCAGAGGAGGAGGTCATCTCTGTTAAATATTAAAATATTCTTCGAATTATGTCGAAAATAAACTGTAAATTTCTTTAATTAAAAGATGCATAATATAAAAATGAAAGAGTAAAAACCAATAGATTCAGAGTAAGAAACTAAAGCATATCTTCACAAGCAGTTGTTAGTACATTCTGAAGGGAATGTCAACTGTGGAAAGTGTTGCCTCCAGATTTTAGTTCAGTTCCTTATTTTTATGTAACTCAATTAAATGAAATTTGCACTTGAAAGATGTTGAGCTTTTGAACCATTACTTTTTTATTTATTAAAAAAATTGAGATACATTGGATAATATGTCCTTATCATACAAAATGTAACATTCTAAGAAATATGAGTAGAAATTAGAATATAGATTTCTATGCCATTTTTATTCTACTGTTAGCTTATATAACATATTTTTATCCTGCATTAGTTAAACAATTTGAGTTATTGTTCTATATTTAGTTAGGAATTTTAACAATTTAATTTAGTTTTTGTTTTCAGTTCCTCTTTTTTTAAAACTATTTCTGGTTTATTTTAGGAATTCCTTGTTTAGTTATACTTGATCAAAATAATTCCATCATTACCAAAGAAGGTCGTTTGGAAGTTAATGAAGATCCAGAGGGTGAAGTATGTTTATTTCAATTTATTTTTGTTATAAGCTCTTAAACATAAGCTATTGCTGCTTATTTTGTTTATCTTGTAAAGCTGTCGAAATATATATGCCTATATATTTTTCTTCAGGAATTTCCTTGGCGACCAAAACTTGTTGATGAACTTGGTGAAAAACATATATCCAAGCTGAATGAGGAGCCTTGTTTAATACTCTTTACAAGTAAGATTTTAAACATTTCACCATTTTTCATTTGTTATAGCTTTATGTATAAGAACACAAGGATTTTTATTGTTTTATATTTCATATTTTTTCTCTCTCAACTACTGTGGTTTGTTTCTTACTTTTATCTTTCCATTTTTTATCCGCAACTTTATGCTTCAAATTTCAAATCATTTTTGTTTCCTCTCATTTACAACTAGCAAGTCTTGAAAATTACCAGCTGTTTTTGAGTGCTTGAAGTATGCTGACTGTATGACCATTTGTATATTTTTTTAGCAAATGAAGTTTTTAATCAAGTAATTAAATACTATTGTTATTTTCTAGTCATGGCATAACAGCTGATGTTAATTTTTAGCCCAAGCATTACACTTTCTTATTCTTATTTAGCATTTTAATATTATTGTCAATAGAGATCATAAATTTCCACTTTTAATTTCAATACTTAATTTTCTACTCGACGTTGTCTCTTTATATATTTTAAATTGTCGAATTGCTCATTTATTGTTATTTCTTTTGTTTAATATAGATACCAAATTTCCACTTTTAATTTCAATACTTAATTTTCTACTCGACGTTGCCTCTTTATGTATTTTAATTTGTTAAATTTTTCATTTATTGTTATTTATTTTGTTTCAGCTTGTGAAGATAAAGAACTTGAGCTTGCGCATTATGCTTTACTACCTGTCTCAGAAGAGTACCAAGCACGAGTAAAGAGGGCCTCTATAGAAGAGACATCAATACCGAAGTTAAATTTCTTTTATGCTGGTGATGTGAGTATTTAATTTATTTTTTCCTGAGACAGGAGGCAAAAATTGATTTCCATATTAATTACTTAGATCAAAAAAAATTAGTAAATAAAATAGTTTACATTTTGATGATATATATGTGTATATCAGCGATTTCCAACTGGCGGCCCATTTGTCGCGAATGGCCCACGAAGCCATTTTTTGTGGCCCGCGAAACTAAAATATAGTAGTTGTCATTTTTTTGCGGACAATTTTTTAGGACATTTCTACTGACATTTAAAATACTTTTCTCGTTAATAAAAACCTAATTTCTTCGTTTCTGTGAAATTTATCATGCCAACGGTGCAAAAAAAATTATTTCTCAGGTTTTGCATCCAAGAAAATATTTATTCAAATACAAAAATAATCATGTATGTTGCTCTTTTCTATTTCATTTTTTTGGTATTTTGTGAATATAATTTAGCATTTGTGTATCAGAAATTTTCTCGAAGAAATTCTCCGATTTAACTTTTTGAAACCACTCATTTTGGACGAAAATATTTACACACATATTTGTAAATTTTAAATTTGAAATGTAAGTATCTATTCTCTGGTGGTTGCAGCAGACAAACCTTAATTTTGTCATTGAACATTTTGTGTGCTACTATGTAAGTTTTAATACGAATCTTTTAAAGTTATCTTAACAATTAGATATCTGTTGCACATTAATTGTTTAATGCATGAGTGCACATTAAAGTTATTGTAACCCGAATTTTTTAATATGCAATTAAATATTTTTAAAAATCTACTTCTTATTTTAATTTGTAATTCAATACTTTTGTTTTGTACAACTTGGTAAAAATCTGACTAATATTTAATGCACCTTCAAACATAAAAGAGTCCTATATAAAATTTTGATAAAGTTGCGACTCGCCATTTGATTTGTGTTTTTAATTGTGGCCCCCGGCCCCATGTAAGTTGGAAACCCTTGGTGTATATTAAGAGCTTGGTTTCAATGTAATGAAAAGCCACTTCTAAATTGTTCAAGAAAGCATTATTTTATAAAAGGTTTTTGGTAAAAAACATTATGTTGGCAATAAGTTGTTTCAGGATAGTGTGCTAATATTAGTGTAAATGTCCGATTTTGGTCAATACGTATATCTAGAAACAATGCTAAAAATCATTCTTGAGTGGCAAAAAAATTTTTTTGACTTACCACTATTTTGCCTTGAAGTTTTCTTGCTTACATATATAAATATTTGATTGTTAACTAAATATATATTAAAATTTCTTCATGATATTATTTTGTTCGGTAAAATATTTCACCATTATAGGCTGACATCTGTGATTCTGTTCGTGACATAATTGGTTTTGGAGAAGAGTTTCCTCTTCTAGTCATTTTAGACATCCCAAATGGGAAGAAGTATATTCATGAAAACTCAGATAAGATTTCGTCAGATGTAATTGGAAAATTTGTACGTGATTTTATCTCTCATAAATTAACGCCTCTTATAATCAGTAAATGAACATTGTACATAAATATTTTTATAGTTATAGCAGCTATTGCTGATAGTAGAAACATTGTGTACGTTCAATATGCAATCATTTAAAAAATCTATATCAATGAATAATTTTCTTTTCCAATGTTGTATTTTGATATTAATTATAAATGTAAAAATTTCTTATCAATGCTATTTTTAGATTTTTAAGTATTATTCTGGATATTATCAATTCAATATATATATTACTACTTACACTATTATGAGAAATAATAATTGTTTTTAGATTTTTTTTTTAATTGAAAAATGGGAAAACCATTAATCTTCATCAATATTTTCATTCACTGTTAGTCATAATTCTTTTGACTGTGTGTCTGTCAAAGAAAGACATATGTATTTAGTATTTGCAATTTTTACCATATCATTTATTTTATTTTATTATTTTTGAAATCTTTCCTACTCTCCTTATTTTTTTTTTTTTTAATTTATAGCCCTCTCTTTTATTTATTTTATTTTTTCAATTTCTTTTTTTTTTCTCCAAAAAAGTTTGCATGTGCTATAGTCTTATTATCTCACCAGATCTTCTAAATTGAAATTCTCCTTTTAAATATTGTTTGGCATTGTTATTAGAAAATTTCCATGTCAATTGTATTTAAAAACGAATATCTTCTGACTTTTAAACGATAAACATTTACTGGAAGTTGGTCGTGAAAAATTCACAAATGAAATATATTTACAGTAGAAATCTGATTATCTGACATCAAGAGTATGTCGAGAAACTGAAATAATTGAATGATAAGATATATTTTCTAAGAATAGTATAAATAAAATTGTTAAAAGTGCATTGCTAATATCTTAAAATAAATAAATATGTTAAACTCTCTTTTTATACTGTGCCTCTTAGAGAACAAAAAAAAAAGTGATATAACTAAATCCCATTAAAATAACAATCTGATACATGTTGACTCTTACTTTTTAATCAATGTATGATTAAATGGTAGTTTTCAATGCTACATCATGGTTCATATATTTGTAATTTACAAATATGACATCATAATTGAAGATCTTATTGGATAAAAGCTCAAAGTGTCATTTTGGAAAAAACTTGTGACTTCTATAGGAAAGATCTCATTAGTCTTATTTTGTATATCATCAATTCGTTTTTCCAAGTCTTTAAATTTCTCAGACCTCAATGGATAAAACTGTTAAGTGACAATTTACAAGTATTTTCTTTGTAGAAGAAAGTTCCAAGTGCATAAGAAAGAAAGCCTCTCTCTTAGCTGCAAATTAAACTGTCAAGAATGTTGGCACGATGGTGCAAGCAATTTGGAGTTTTATAGATTTCACTTGTTGGAATCTTGTGAAGAATAAATAAAGACAAAGCATAATATCTATTTCTTATTGCACATGTGTAAATTTTAAAACTAATTTGCTCATACATTATCTAGCCAAAAGTATCAGCACTCCCACTTAAAGCATTTTGATGTGGGGGTGTTTTTCATGGTTTTAACTGAATCTCTTCGTTCCTGTGGTCAGAAATAGGATCTGTGAGATGTATATGGAGATTTCGAACAATGCTGCTCTTTAAACTCCATATTTAAGGAAGTTAGGCTAATATCTTTTCCAGTAGGATAACTGTTCCATTCACACATGGAGACTTGTGCAGCTAGGCTTTAACACAATTGGTGTTCAAAAACTGGTCTGGCCTTCTTAGAACTCTTATCTAAATGATATAGGACCCTTTGCAAGTGAATTTAAGCGCAAGACAAATTGTGGCCAGCTGAGTTGACCATCCTCACTGCCAGTACTCACTTTAGATGTGATGGATGCTTGAAAGTCAATCCGTATTGCCACCTACCAAAAGCTTCTCATATCTTCTCACGTGTGCAATCTAAATGCAAAAAGGGAACCAACTTTGTACTATTTGTATACCTCAGTACTCCCAGAGTCTGTAGCACTGGTTGTTCAGATGGTATATTCACTAAAATGTCACTTAAAGTTTTCATCCACTTTGCTTTTCAATTCAAATTCATTTGATATATTTACTATGTTTTTAAAACATGCTACATATGAATCAAACAAGATTATTATTGCTGCTGATTATATGGAATCTTGATGTAGGTTAAAACATTTTCAATTAAATAGCAAATAGTTAAGTTAATTAATTTTCAAAATATTGTTTAATATTTATCATTGCTATGTTCTTGTTTTACTGAATATTATATCAATATTTATTGTGTAATGGACATCTGTGATTTTTTTTATTGTTTCGTTTTTGGAGCAATTGTACAAATTTTGAACCTCTCTATTTTTATGGTGATCACAATTGTTGTAAGTGTATGAAAATTCTCCATTTTTGTGAAAATATTTAGAAATTAATATCTATTTTCTAAAACATCAGTTATACTAATGCTATAAAAGAACATGTTTTATGCATTAACTGAACTTGCTCATAATGTTGAAATTAAAAATATGTTTAGCATCAAATGGAGCAAATTTCTACACTTCTGAAAACTATTTTGAACTGAGTAAAACATATTCTATTCTTTAATTAGTAAATCATTTATCCTTATGTTTATAAAATTACTTTTTTTCATGGTGGTCAATTTTGTTAATATTTTTCTAAAACTATTTTGGGCAATCATTTTCAATTACCAAAATTTGCATTCATACCTTTGGTTATATTCCTGCCTTGCAAGTGAGTTATGGACTATTTATTTATATTTCACAACATGAATAGTTTCTTAATACCATAGCTATTACACCTTATAATATCTATGGGATCATCATCATCATTGGCATGACAGCCCAGGGTGAGCCTTAGCTTTCTCTGGAACATTTCTTCATGTTGCCAGATCTTACCAGTTCAGTACCCTGATTGTTTTAAAAACTGCATTAAAAATGTCTAGCCATCAAAATTTTGTATACCTACCAATTGCTCTGCTACCAGTTGGTTTGCGTTTGAATAATTTATGTATTGGGCTTGTTTTATTTAAACGGTTATGTGTCTTACAAATCTCATTCAGTTTAACTTTATAAATTTCACTACACCAATGTCCTTATAAAATTTTTAAATGTCTTTATTTGTTTTTCTTCTATTTATCGAATGGTCTAAACTATTGTACAAATTAGAAAAAATTGAAAATGAGACTTTTAACTGGACTTAGAAAATAAGCTTTACATTTATTTTAAATAAACTTTACATTTTTTTAAGAAGAAATTTTTATGGTTTTTTATTTTCTTATGGTTAAAAATTGTATTATGCAACAGTAATTATATTAACCCTAGTCATTTATTGTTAGGAAATTTTTGAGACACAAAATGAGAATTTTTACTTAACTAGTTTGATTCTTTTTTTTCTTCTTTTCTCTACATTGAATGTTTGATTACTATTCTTATTTAATAACAAAAAAAAGATATAAGCAGTGCCTGTTAAATATTTTTAGAAAATAAAATACATTTTAAACAAATGTGAAGTAGTTTTAGTGATTAATCTTGTAGCTTTTGCATTTATTCTGTTAAAAAATAGATGTTGATTCAAAATGATTTGTTCTTACTTTAATTATACTCGCCTTTCTGCAAAATTTGCTTTTTCTAGTCATTTTTGTAAGCAATTGTATTCTTTTGTCTATTGTGTGTTCTTTATTTCATCAAAGTATTATACCAAAGATTTTTTTATGTGTCTGTAAATCATTTAAGCTTTATTGATTGTTTTGTTAGTTGTTTTCGATATATTTATACATAATATGTTGTATGATTATAAAATTTATTTATGAAGCTTTTTGACATGCTGGTCTTACTCAACTTTTGTTTCTTATCTATAAATTAACTTTAATTTTAATAATACAGTCAGACCTCGATATTAGGTCATCTGCATATAAGGTCACCCCGCATATAAGGTCACTTTTCCAAAGTCCCGGCCCATTGAATAGGAATTCTTTGTTGTAGATTATCGGATATATGGTCAAGTTTTAAAAATCGTTATCGCTTATAAGGTCATTTTTATTTGAGGCGAGGGGAGCTCTTTTATCACAAAAGCCTATTTAACTTCCTTACAAAGCAATTACCCACTTCTGAAGCTACAATTTCTGAATTTTTTTCACAAGTTGTGGACAGTGAGGACAATGACAGTGATCCTGAGACTGTAGCTGTAACCCAAGCGGAAGCCTTCAATGCAATAAACGTCATACAAAGTTTTTTTACAAACCATGAGGGAGCTGAGGAACATTTTGAGAAGTTACAAAATCTAGAAAACATTGTTCGATAAATGAAATCAAAAACGAGACAGACCTACATAAATGATTATTTTAAATAAAGTAAGATATAATGAATGTATGTACACTTTGAGGAAATTTGTAAATAGCTTTATTTTAAATTATATTTTTTTTAAAAAAATTTGACTTTCTTTAATTTTTTACTAATTTTATTAAAATTTATTGACTTAAATATTTAATCAGCAGGTCGTTTTCGTTTGTATTACCATTTTTAAAAATCATAATGTGTACGATTTGCTTGCTTAGTTATGAACTGCTAATGAATCGGTTAAAAGGTCACCCCGCTTATAAGGTCACTTTTGCGATTTCCCTTAGGGTGACCTTATATCGAGGTCTGTCCCGCAGTGGACTGATCGTTAAGACACGGTTCTCAGCAGATCACCGAAGTCAAGCATCACTGGCTACGGTCAGTGTGCGGGTGGGTGACCACTTGGATCAGTCTGCGTAGGGACCGAGGGTGTGCGGTATTGGTCCTCGTTAAACTGTGCTACCGTAAAGTGCTCGACTTCGCTCGCAGGTCGTCGGGCTACCGAAGCAGGGGTGCCATCCCCTCCGCAGAGGATCAAAATTGTGATGGCATGTCTTCGGATCATCCTCAGGGATGTTTCCCAGACCGTCGCCAATAGCCCATTGTGCAGCTCTAGTGCGACGTAAATTAACAATAACAACAACAACAACATATATCGAGGTCTGACTGTAATATTATTATTAATATTTATAATATCATCAATAATAAATTATATATTATTAAATAACAGCTTTAAAAATTTAATTATGTTTCATGAGTTCAAGATATAATGGTTTCTGTAACAGAAAATTGTATCATGAAATGTGCACAAATTTATGTAAAGTAAACAATTTCATTTCACATAATTATAAGAAAATTTGTGATAAAATTTTTCTGTCTTAGTAATTCAAAATCTATTGCTTAAACTTTTTACTATGTGAATATTTGTTACATGTTGCTGTATATATTCTCTATTAGAAGTTTTAAAATTCATTCTCGTTTCTATTTTTCATATATTACTGTGGTTTTCACAATTATCGTTATCATAAGCATTCTTTTTGATTCTTGGCGTGATCTAGCTGTGCCAGGTTTTATTCAGAATATGACATCTAAGTGCAGTGATTTTTTTAATTCTTATTTAAATTATATTAATTATTGGCACTCTTTTTGATTCTTGGCTTAATCTAGATGTGGTAGTTTTTATTAAAAACATAATATGATCAGATTTAAAGCATTAAAAGTTGAACATTTTTACCTCAAAAGAAAGTTTGTTTCGACTTTGCAGAGCACAAATTTTGCTGATGTCTGCTTTTTTTAAGCATATTTTGGTTGGAGTTCATCTACTTTTTATTCTAATATTTTGTGCTTTTTATTTATTTAATTTTTACTTCATTTGTCTGAAAAATGAAAAAGTTGCAGAGGTCTTCATTTTTGGCGACTTTTGCTTGCACCCAGCTAACCAAAAAGTATCCTTTTTAATTTTTTTATTTATATGTATATTATTTTGTTAATTTGTTTTACTCAATGCTCCAATATTTTTTCCTAAAATTATATATACAAAATATGCAACAATATATAGGGCAAAATTAGGAAGTTTTGTACTGGCCAGTTGTTTTTTCAACAGAAGCCTTTTTTACTATAAGGTTATTTTTTTCAAAAATTGAATGATTAAAGAAAATGTTGTTATTAATAAAGGAAGCATTTCTTGAAAAATGTTAAGAATATAAGCTTGAAGTAAAGTAATTTTCAGAATATTATAAAATATTCATAATTCCATATTTATTTTCTAAAAAATAATAATAATAAAATACAAATGAAGTACTTGTTCAACTAAGAATATAATGACTAGCAAGCAGTGTTTTAATCGCCATTCGCTGTGTTTAATCGCCTTGTGGTATCCATTAATTTTGCCCTATATCACAGTGATATGTATTTTCATGAGTGTACATAATGCTCAAAACATTAAATGTTATTAATGAAATATTATAAGTGATGGAACTAAATGCCTGCCATGTTTTACTTAGAAATCATTTTTATACGCAACTGAATGCATAAAATAAAAATGCAAATAGAATTGTATATTTTACATTTATGTATGGTTGATATAAGCAATAAACAGCAGAAAATATTTTACTGCATTTTATTTTTTGACATTCACCATGTTTCTGAAACAACGACAAAAATTAGTTTAGTTTCAGGTGATATGAGACTTGTCTAAAATACTATTTAACATTTAAAATTACTTAAGATTCCAAGAAAAATAATTGTTTTTACTAAAATATTTGCTGAACCTATATAATTTAATCATATAATAATTACATAAATTTATTACTTTCTTCTGGACTAAGAGGCAGAATAGGCTTGGAAACATAAAAATGTCTAAATTTTTGAGCGAAATATGTGATCTGTGCAGAAATTGATAGACGTTAACATATGAATAAATGCTACAAAGCCATTTCTGTAATAAGTTGAATTCTATGGTGTATTTTGGGAACCGGGATGGACTTAATCAGTTACATTTGTAATGTTTAGAAGAACTGTTTTGCTTTACCTGCAAAATTCTATAAAAACCTTTTTAAAAAAATTATCTAATTGTACACTGGCTGAGTCACATCATCAAAAATACATAACAACTGAAAATTTTATGAAAGAAATTTCAGGCCGTGTCAGCCCAGTGGTTAGAAAATCAGGCTCCAATCCTTCAGGAGGGGTTTAATCCTAACTCTGTTAAGACCCACCGAGTTTGTGCGATTAATATACATGCTCGTAAAATCTGTGGAAGTCTTGTGCTTGCTGGCGGAGCAATGCCATGAGTACAGGGTTCTGGAAAAAATGTCCATCCTCTTTAGTTCTATCTCTAAATTCAAGAAGTGCCCTTTACAAATGAATGGTGCTGCCATCTATCCGTGGAGTTATGAGGTAAGACGTATATTCAACTTAGCGGTGCTCTTTTTATCAAACGAAAGGCACTCATTGGTTTAATTCACAAAAGGCCAATGGATGGCAAGCTTGGCTTGTTCAAGTGACGTTAGAAACAACAGAAAGAAATTTCACATCTTGTATATTTAACAGAATTTGCTACTATAAAAGTTTGTTGTCCTATAATTTAGATAAAATGAATCTCAGATAAGTTTTTCATTCCCAAGTTCTTTAGAAGAAATTGTTAATCTGACTGCTAGATTATTCATGTCCCTAACACTTTCGTTGCCGATCACACGATAGAGGGTGACAAAATTCTTCCCTACAGTTTGTGTCAATAAAACATCTAGTGGTAGTAAGAGATGCATATTGTTATCCAAAAATTTTTGGCAGAATATTTGATTTTTTTCTCATGACAATAATACATTGTTTATTAAAATAAACTTATTGTAAAATTGAAAAACTAAAATGGTTGAAAACTTAACTTAGATTTTGTCCTTATAGATTATCACATTTCAATGATAGATATGTACTATATATAGTATAACCTCCTAAACATACATCTGGCAGTAAACGCTTTAACATGGGTACCGATTTAGCATATTATGTGTATCACTTTATGATTTGTTAATTTATGGGGTTTCATTATTAATTTATGTGATCAATTTGTCTGATCAGGGTGCGTAGCGTTTTTAAAAAGTGCTTAAAGGTGCTTATTTTCTTTTTTAAAAGCCCTTAAAGGTGCTTTTTTCATTGGGTGTTTTTAAAAAGTGCTTAATTTTCCCTTTTCCAAATTGAGATTTTTCCTTTACCATGTTGATTTTTCCTACGGATTATGCAGAAAGACACTTTTCACATTGTTCTATCCAAGGTTTTCACACTTAATTCAACCCCAATCTATTCTGGCGCATCGTCAGTCCGTAGCGTATGAAAACACCATTCGATTTACATGATTCAAAAATTTTGACAATTGTCAAATACAATGCCAAAAGAATTTATTTTTTTTTTGTTGACATGATGGCTAAAACCAAATAAAACCGTCAATTGTCAAAAACTTGTCTAATTATGATATTTTTTTAGAGTGCTTAAAAATATTATTTGAGTGCTTGAAAAGTGCTTATTTTTTGTTGAATAATTTGGCTACGCACCCTGTCTGATTTATTATCTATAACATTTGTCCTTTATATATTTGGAAAAAATTTTTTTTAATTGTTTTTGTTCTTAGATCAAAGATGCAAAATTCTTAAAATTCGTCGTATTTGAAGTTGAATTGAATAAAAGGAAAGGATTTATGAAACACTAGAAAATCTTCAAGATGTATGTAGTTTCAATTCGTATGTAGTTCACACTATCAATTTTCAAGATGTATGTAGTTTCGACTTTTAAATCATTTGTATGTCTTAAGTAGTAGTAGCAGTTTTAAATTTTGGAAAAAATTTAAAAGCAGTTTTCAAGCAGTATATCTGTATTGGCTGAACCCTATCACCAATTTTGATAGAATGCTAGAAAATGTTCATAAAGTGTGATGTCTTTCCTTTTAAAGGGGAAACTTGTTCCCGAAAAATCAGGATGTATATTGCACAAAATTAAAAAGATATTGTGGGAAGAGGAGTTATAGACAATGTCAACGTTCATCTATGATACCCTCCATAGAATCAAGTTAACATGTCTTATATACTAGTGAATTGGAAATATATTTTTGCAGTGGTAGATACACTACAGTACTCCCCCACCAGGATTATATCTGTGATAGAATTCGATAAACGGATAACACTAGTTGATTCATTGCTGTTTTGTGAGAGGCCGGGAGAGCTGTATTAAGATCACCGTACTTTTTGCGTACTGATTGTGAGAGCTGTATTAAGTTCACGGTCGTGATCGCTCCTGTGTTGCTTTTAGCTGTCGAGTGCATACGTTGTACGATGTGTGTGATCGAGACTGAGAAGCAACAGCGTGAGGAGGACAATGTCGTAGTCCCAAGTAGCAAGTCAGCTGTTCAATGTGGACCATCCATCAAAGAAGGCGTGTTCAAATCGAAGTGGGCGTTTCTGTCAAGGTAGGCGTGTTCACATCGCGTCCAAAGGTCACCAATGTGGAAGTGTTGTTACAGACTATGTCAACCTTTATCTATGAAAAGGTACCCCATCATAGAATTGAGTTAACATGTCTTATATACTAGTGAATTGGAATTATATTTTTGCAGTGGTAGATACACTACAGATATCACTCTGAATAACTTTTGTTCTAATTATCGGATTTTCACATTCTAAATGTCAATCATAATGGTGCCTGTAGGACTGCAGGTGATTTCAAATATGCTAATTAATTAGTGCTAACTAGTTTGAATTAATTAGTGTAATCAAATTTACATAACTTAGTTATACACAATATTCTATATTTATTATAATTATATGACGTACAATAATTATATATAATCATTCATTTCAGAAATCATTACGAATCATTTTTATAGCTTTGACCGAGTCTAAGCAAAAAAATTTTTAAAAAAGTAAAAAAGGTGCCTGAAAAAAATGCAGAGTGTATGGTAATTCTAAAGCACATTTACAAGGTTTTATATAATTTATGATATTTCTTTTTGACTATCGATTGCGATTTTTATTTTATTATGATTTTCCATAACTAAAGAAATTGGTGAATGTTAAGTGGAATTTTAAAAACATTGAAATATGTTATACTTAATAATAACATTTCGTAATAATACGTTGTACATTTTAGAATTCATTCTTTAAAAAAAATCTCTTCATTCGTCCAAATATTTAGGTCGCATTTTTAAAAATAATAAATTTAAAATTTTCTCAGCTTCTAATTAATAAAAACAACTGGAACTTTAGATTTTACTATTGAAAAATTTGTAGATTAATATTATGTAAAAACATTTATGGCTTATAATTTAAAAAATTTTCGGCCAGTATTAAATTAAATAATAATAAAACAATAAATAATTATTCAAAATTATTTTTTTCGTTAAAGTACCTGTGGATAAACGAGTTTCATAAATGGGTGAATTTTTTTCTTTTTAAATGCGCTTTTAGTTTTAGAGATATGATTCAAAATCCAAAAAGTGAAATTAATATTAAGGGGACCAAACTTTTAATTGGGGCAAACTTTTAAGGGGACCAAGCTTTTAACATTTGAATACAAAGTTACAGCTCGACGTCTAAAAGTGTATGACACCATTTTAAAAAATAACTTTTATATCAAAATATATAAGTATTGCCACTCAAATATGTGAAATTAGTTTCTTAATGTATTCATTAAATGTTTTAATATTCATTAACGTTAAGCGTAAAATTGTCCTTGATTCATTTATTATTTGCGCAATAAAAGAAACTAGTTTTGTTAAACGAATTCAAAAATATTTTTTACATTTAATTTATATAAATTTTTTTAGTTCGGGTAAATTTGTTCCTATATTCTCTTCATGTTCAGGAATCTAGCAAAACATTTTAGTTTTTATTTAAACAACTGAACTATTTTGATTGGCTTCCGTTTCCTTCAATGTTGACACATCCGCTGAAGGCGCAGTTGTCTAGTTGCGGTTCCATAAGATGATTTGTGATAAACACTGCTGTATACATAAAAGTTTTAATAAAGGGATTAATTATCGATGAAGGTAAAAAAATCATTTAAGTTCTACTTAAGCGCAACGTTTATTATTTATATTTTTCTAACTCGGAAATCAAATGATAAGATTTTTAAATTGATTTGATATTTACCTTACTATTCATATCATATAACTTCTATTTTATTCATAACATATAACAGTATTCATTAATCATTTAAAAAAGTTTATATCCTAGTTCGTTTTATATCCTAGATTGATATAAGTAAATATTTTCTACATTTATTATAAGCGTGTTTGCATCTTTAAGTTAAAAAATATATTAACTAAAAGTTTGCTCATTTTTGAAATTATATTCTGCTATCTTGTAAAAAAAATCGTACATTTAAAATTTGATATATCAGAAACTATTCAACAGATTTCGTTCAAATTTTGTATTTTGCCATGCAAAATTACTTTCTTTAAAAAAACGTAACAATTGTATACACAATTTAAAAATATTTCGATAGTAAAATATATTTTTTAAATAAAATAATAAACATCTATAATAATAAATTGTAATTGTGTGCAAACATTTTAAAATTCGTTGTCGATATTATTAGGTGAAATAGACAAAAAGTAAAATTAACATTAATGGGTTCAAACTTTCATCCATTTTCCTGACCGAACTATCGGAACCTTATTTCCCAAATTACGGCTACCCCCTATATTTTGAGAGTCAGAAATCCGAATCCGTCGGAAAAACGGTATATTTGTTCAGAAAAAGTACGTTTTTGTGTTTGATTTTGTAACCTAAATGCACTAATCAAATAACATATTTCAGTTTAACCCTTGAATAATTAAGATGGAGTCCTAGAATGTAAAGATCCGATCATTAGATCGAAAGTTATTTCATGATGGTCTGTTTATTTTTTTGCGCACTGTACACGATTTTTTTTTTTTTTTACGATTTGAACTTACTTTTAGTATGTGAGGGTGGAATTTTGCAATCTTTATTTCGACCACTTTCCGAATAACTAACAGACATAAAACTAAAAGGAAAAAGAAGAAGAAAATTAAAAACTGAATTTTTTAACTATTTTTTTTTTTGTCAGACCTAAAACTAATTTATTGATAAAATAATTTTATTTTGCCTTTTAGCGAAAATAATTTTCGTCATCAATTTTCATCTCCACTAAAAGTGGTGCGCTCTGAATTTTTCACTTTAGGTCTGACAAAAATGAAAATATTTTACTTTTTTTAGACTACTTAAAAAACACAGTTTTTGATATTTTCTCTTTTTCCTTTAAATATTCTTTTTTCTTTTAATTACTTTTCTTTTTTTTTTAAATTGCAAAAGTAATGAACTTAGGTGATTTATTGTTGATTCCATTCACCTTAGCTGCTGCAACTTAATAGCATTTTTCAGAATGTTTTGTTAAATTTATTCTAGTCAATAATTTTTTTCCGAAATAGAACTAAGTGCAATATCTCAGCAATAGCTGATTGATTACAACTTTCTACTTCCGGTGACAAAAAAAGAAAAAAAAACTCCCTCCTCAAAAAAAAAAAAAAAAAAAAAAAAAAAAAAAAAAAAAAAAAAAAAAAAAAANAAAAAAAAAAAAAAAAAAAAAACGGAACACCCTGAACAACTTTTGTCTTCTTAAATCGGTCGATTATTAAGAATGATCCAAGAAAAACCTTTTTTAATAATATTGTTAATAGTTTTATTTAAGTAGTTAGAGAAAATGGTGTCAGGTTTAGTTAGGTAAATATTAGACTCACATGTGATTATTTAAAATTTCATAGGAATTTTATGAAACTTAGGACTGATAATTAAGTAAGGAAATTGTATATTGCTAATTTTAATTTTTAACCTCTTATATAGAGCTAAAATTTTTTAATGACAATATTATTATTTAGTACTAAATTTAAAATTTTTACTATATTTTAACTCCGTATTTAAAAGTTCAACATAAATTTTTTTACAGAAGATTGCATAATTATTGTTAACTTTGTCTATGGGGATAATTACAAAATTTTTTTGTAGTTGCCTAATTTATTGAACAATTTTAGAAAAATTTGTTGAATTGTTACTGTTATTTGAATTATCCTTATTATTGAAAACAAAGTTTTTAAAGTAATAATAAACACCCTATTTCCATTCTGTTCGCATACCTAAAGGTAAGGAGAATCTATTTGATATATTTAAACGAAAACTATTGAGATCATTAAGAAAGTATTTTAGAATTTTATTATTTGATATATGGTAAATGGGTCTAAATTTTGTGCCTTTTAGTCCTGAGTTCTAAGTTTTCTACAATATTTAAATTACCAGTAATAATATCTTTATGATGTTTATCAACGAAATCAAAATATTTCTCTTCTTCACCGTGACATTCATAATCAGATACATTAATCCTCCCTAAATTTTTGCTTACATCATTATAATTAAATATAGTTCTACCAAGAGATTTATTATATTTATGGAAATTTAAAATATTTTAATGGAAATAAACTTTTAAAATTTTCGAGAATATTATTAAATTTGATCTTATTGAAAATGAGGTTTTAACAGTTACTAACAAAATATAAATTATCTGAATTTTTCTTTTAATTTGGAGAAATTTTACTTATTTTAGCTTTTACAAAGAATTTTGAAGTGTGAATTAATACGAGAAAAGTTAATAATAAGATCTTGAAGCTTATATACATCATTATTTTTAAGCGGAGAAGACAAAATCTTTAATTGGTTTATTATTATAACTAGGAGGCTACGCCCCCTGCTCGCCGGCGCTCACCAACCCCCGGAACTGCTTTCGCAGTTCATTTCGGATTGCTTCGCAATCCAATGCTCGCTTTGCTCGCTCATTGGATACGTTCTTAACGTCTAGTTTTTGTATACTTTTTTGAATACTGAAGTTCCGAAAACTTTTCACTGTAGAAAATTCTAAACCTGTACATTTCAATATTAATTTGAAATTGCAAACAGTTCACATATTTTTCTTAATCACACTATTCTAAATTTCAGTTGTTGAGAAAAGTAACTGTTGTAAGTTTTGTTTTAAAGTCTTTCCCACCAGAGGGCTAAAGCCATGTGTTGTAAAACAATATGAAATAGTAGTCTGCCACTGAACGCCGGATGTAAAGCATCGGCTTTGATGAAGATAATTTTGTATTTTTAATTCTCTGAAGGGCGCCACCTTAATAATATGGAATTTGTAAAATAAATGTATATATTTTTGATTGTTGATGAAGCCCATCATTTTGTGTTTTCATCAGTGTTCAGAAGCAGAACAACTATAAGTTTTTTATTTTATCACAAAAATATAAAATGTATAAAAAACAAAGAAAAGAGTAAGAAAATGAGTATAGTCATAGAAAAAGTTAAAATTATAATATAGTATTTGTCAGTTAAAATAAAACTTTTTGTTTAAGTCATTGCTAACAATTCAAATTTCTCCGAGGCAATTCTAAAGTATAAATTAAGGTAGTATTGTTAAGTTGAAACACAATATTTTTAGTTTTGATGTCAACAATACAATTCAATTTTTCACAAAAACGATTGTTTCCATTGTTAAGTTCAATGTCAACAATTCAAATTTTTCTGAGGCAACTCTTAACCTCTAAATATTATTTTTTTTATGTACACATTTCTAAATGTCAGTATTCAACCACAAAACAACTTAAAGTCCTCAAATTTAGCATGAAGTTGTAAAATGTAATGAAAGAGGGTCATAGCAATAATGAAAGTAGAAGTAAAGTTAGTACTGTAAAATTAAAACAATATTTTTAATCAATGAGCCAAGTTCTTCAAGAAGCAGTTGTAGAAGTAGGTTGTTTATTTAAAACTTTTTATAGAATTTCTTTAAGAACACAATTGTTAATTTGGGCATTTGGCGATACAACACTTTTAGAATTGAAGGATTTGTTACGTCAAGCGCTCAGGTATCATAATTTTGATCTAGTTGCGCTTCTATGTCATTTTGATTTATGTTGCTAAGTTAACTTTCAAAAAATTCTATGGCTGGCAACAGCATTTTTATTTTTTAAGTTGTTTATTTTTATTTCTTTTAGAATTCGTTATTTTTTTAGCGAAATGTTTTTTAACCTAACAGAATTCTTTGCCGACTGTTTTCTCTATGAATGAAGAAAATAAAGTAAATATTTAACTGTTGTGAAAAGAATCTTATTTAGTTGTACAAAGTACTTCAGCCAAAATTTGGGAGCCACGTAAGAGAATTATATATATTAGATCAGAAACACATCATTAAAAGGCAGAATGCTTTGGTGTTTTCAAAACAAAGCAAACGTTGCCACCGGCGGAAAAGAAATACAGCCAAAATTTGGGAGCCACGTAAGAGAATTATATATAATAGATGTTTATTAAAATCTTTTTCCATATATATATATAACAAATTGATCTCAACTACAATTACTGATCACCTAATTTTCAATTCTTTTTTTTTCTTAAAGTAGTTAATTATACGTAATTTTTTTTATATTTACATTCTATTTTTTTCTTTTTATTAAGATGCATGACAATTAGTGTAAAATGGCTGCAGCAGTAGATGGAATAAAGCGGTGGATTTGTCCAACTGATCGAGAGCTTTCCCTGCGGGCGAAGTTAGTTTATAATTTTACACTTTCTTTTAGTTCTGCATGTTCTTTGCTCAGTTATATACATATATTTTATTTTATATTTTATTATCATCGCTGAACAGCCGACCCAGTTTTGGTTTTTACGACTATCAATGTTCAACTCCGTAGCCTTGTAATTTTGAACTTAATCCAGAAGACAAAAAACTCCTGCATCAAGTATTAGGAGAAATTTACCTTCGTGGAGAATTTTTTGATGGAGCTAATCCGCATCTGCTTTACATGGAGAGGAAAACCAAGAAAACCTCCCACGGTTAGCCTGACGGCAAGGTGACCCTAATCAATGATCCGTCTACCACTAAGGATATAGGGTGTTCCATGAAATTAACCTTTCATATTTGTTTTCAAAATCCTTATCGAAAAAGAAATTTAAAAAAAAGTATGCATATTGGAAGTCGTAATAAATTAATCTTTAGACGAGGGAAGAAAATATGTGATCTGACAAATTATAGTGCAGGAAAGCGAATGTAATAAAACTTCAAAACAGGTGTAAATGGAAGTTGAAACTTGAAGATATTTCGAATCTTTCTACTCCTTTCTGTATCATCCCGCAATCAAACCTACTGTCTTGTTGCTTATTACATTCGCTATCTTGTACTGTAATTTGCCAGGTACTGGCAGCTTTTTTGTTTTTCACTCGCTTAAATATCAATTTTTAACCCCATGTGTATACTCTTAAAGATTCTAAAAATACATATTAAGAGCTGTCTTTACGGAACACTCTGTATTTTGTACAGCAACGTAGTGCAATGAGTTGGAGAATGTCTTAAAACGTTCAGACTGTGTCTTGAATGTCCTAATGCTTTCTTAGATTGTAACTAGAAAGTTTTGTTTAGACACTTGAAAAATTGTGCAGTTTTCTAAGACCATGTATTCAATTTAAAAAAAGTCGTATATTTAAATTTCGATCTCTCAGATTTTGTATTTTGCCATGCAAAATTACATTCCATAAAATGATGTAAAAAATTGTATACCTAACAACTCAAAATCTTTCCGACTATTATTAAAAAAATTTAAAGATAATAAATATTTACTAGCATTTACATTTTGCGTGGAATTATCTTCGGATAAACAAATTTTATAATTGGGTGCAAAATTTTTTCCATTAGCTTAAAAAGTTAAAAGAAAAAAAAATTAACATTAGGGGGACCAAACTTTGGGTCGCTCTCTTGACCAAACTAATTACACCATATTTTCCAGATTACTATTATTGACCCTATATTTTAAAGTTGAATTTTGAAGTAGTATTTGAAGTTTCAGATATCTGAATCCACCGAAAAAAAAGTATGTTTATTTAGAAAGTACGTTTTTGTGTATGATTTTGTAACTTAAAATATAGTCTCCGTCTGCAATAATTAATCAGCATATTTGAGGCCACCCACTGGAATCATTAAGATTGAGTCGTAAAGCATGAAGATCGGATTATTATATCGAAAGTTCTTAAAAATCTTTCTTTTTTGCGCACTGTACATTCAAAATAAAGAAGTTTTAATTTTTCTCGTTCCTTTCAATACTTTATACCTGAGAAGATACAGGTTCGTGGAAAATACTTCTGAGTTTTTGGAAGATTCGCAAGTGGTGCTTTTGGCGCAACTCTGTGTTGGTTTCTATAACTCCTATAAATCTCCGATATTTGAAAAAGCATTTTAACGCTTTATTTTATACTATGTAATTTTCAATAAATTCAAAAAGAAGCATTCTACTTAGGAAACAGACGAAAGTGAAAATATACGTTTCACAAATTAAACTAGTGGGCTGCGCCCCCTGCTCGCTGACGCTCGCCAACCCCCGAAAATTGCTACGCAATCTTTTATGGTTTGCTTCGCAAACCAAGCTCGCTTCACTCGCTACTAACTTAGGTACATTGCAAATGCAGAAAATTCTAAGAATTCAAAACAATCATTCAAATCCATATAACAACTTTTTTTTAAATAAAAATTACATCTTTTTAGTAAATACTAAGTCATTAAAATAAATTTGAATTCAAATAAAGACTCATTGAATGAGACTCATTTTTCAATGAATAACTAATAATAATAATAAAGCAAATAAATTCGTGATATAAATCAAAAATCGTCAAATAAATTCGTAAGATTCGTGAAAAAAAGCACTTTCGACAAAATACTAAAATAGAGATCTATCGTCAAAGACTACTCACTTTAGCTTAATGGTATGACATTGCCACAGCTGAATTGTTATTTCAGTTTCCGTTTTTAAAAGCGCTATATGATGTTGAGCCACCTAAGCTAGATATGGCATGTGACATTTTTAGCGACAATCATTGGTCGATTTTTTAGCGTTGCCATTCGGGGAGTTGTAATGAGACTTTTTTTTTGTCGCCGTGTAAGAGAAATATATATATAGATATCTAACAATGTTTTATTTCAATATTGATGCAAGAAAATTAATTATTATAGATTGAATGCTGGCTGGTCAATACATAGTCAAGACTACTTTCATAAACCGGAGCCAATATTAGAATGCGAGCTTCGAGCTATTGAAAATGTCATCCTGCGAGCAAAAGAAATTGATATAACAGATAAAGATAGGATTAGGTAAGATCAATATGACTCCAATAGTTCATAATTTTGCTTATTTAGAAATGTTTTGCCCCGATGAGAGGATGGGTAGTTGGACACAGTTAAATCAGTAGGAAACAGAAAACGATTTTTACCCCATAACAAAAAATTAAAAATCATAAACAGAAGAATGTTTGAAAAATCTTTTTTAAAAAATGCTGCGTTTTGTTTAGGAAATGAGATTATTTGATCACAACAAAATTAAAAACTTCTTACTAAGTTTGCAAAAAGATGAAGCAACTGATTGAAAAATTATAAAAAAGTATTTTTAATCGTGATCTCCCGAAAACTGTTCAACCGATTGACTGAAAATTTTATGTTTTCTCTTCTAAAAATACATACTAAATACATTTTTAATGCTTTCCAATAAACTATATAATGAAAGTTGTAAGTATTAGTTTTTAAATTCAGTCCCGCAGTGGACTGATCATTAAGACACGGTTCCCAGCAGATCACCAAAGTCAAGCATCACTGGCTGCGGTCAGTGTGCGGGTGGGTGACCCACTTGGATAAGTCAGCGTAGTGACCGAGGGTGTGCGGTATTGGTCCTCGTTAAACTGTGCTACCGTAAAGTGCTCGACTTCGCGTGCAGGTCGTTGGGCTACCGAAGCGGGGGTGCCATCCCCTCTGCAGAGGATCAAAATTGTGATGGCATGTCTTCGGATCATCCTCAAGGATGTTTCCCAGACCGTCGCCAATAGCCCATTGTGCATCTCTAGTGCAACGTAAATGAACTACTACAACAACAACGACAGTTTTTAAATTCAATTTTTATAATCAGTAAAATAAGGCTCATCATCGTATTCCTTAGATTTTACCAGTTGCCACGAATATAATCGATAATTTGAAAAATCAATTAAAGAAAAATGGAAGGAAATTTACGATATTTCACACACATATATAAAGACTTCAACTCTATAAAGTGCGTCTGGAACATTCTATGTAGGGCAACGGGAATTCGAAATACCCTTTCTCCCTAAAATCATAAAGGATTTGAAAGCAGCATTGCTGAACGATTGATTCAAATTATTGCAGGTCCGTATATCTGCAAGGGGACCTATATTCAAACAAACCTATTTTTGTGGTTCAATTCCATCCATGAACATGTCTGTGCGTGTTGGTTATTTATTTAATATTATGCCAACCTCTATGTCCACACTAAATTTTTTTAAATTCTAACCATTAACTCAGGTGATGATCCAACATATATCTTTCTCATCATATGCATTATAATTTACAAATAATATTTAGAAAACTTATACAACTTTCTATCTTGTTCAAATTGTAGAAAAATGATCTGTAAGTTAGAAAATATGAGAAGGAACTCTGTTGGCGATGGAAAAACAACTTGTTCCATGTGTGGAGTAACTTTTGGCTGGTTACGTTCCTCTAGCATACAATGCTCTGACTGTTCTATGGTAATTGAAACTATTTTCCCATTATTTTAATTTTTAACCCTACACATTTTGCATTAACTTTACAGCGGTTGTGATAATGAATGTTAAAAGGTAAAATTTCAAAACAGTTAGACCATTTAAGAACTATTAAAATTTAAATTATTCGTTAAAGATTTAACTGAAAGTTGAAAACCTAATTTTCTTTCCTAATGTTATTGGATTAAAAAAAAATGAAATTTTGCCCATTAGAAGCAACATTTTGTATATAGAAGTGTTTATTACGGTTAAGCTATTTAATGTCTGAATGAAAGATTGTTTTTTCACCGTGCACTTCAGTTTAATGACCAAAACTAACATAGTACGTAGTAGAGTTATTATTTTTTGCAGCCGTGAACTTATACGAGGTTTTTAAGTATGAAGATAAGTAACACTTCTGTTTGTTTAAATTTCTAATTAGTTTTAGAGTAATTAAATTAAAAATGTGCGTTTTTTTAGTTGTTAAGTAAAGAAAAACTAATTGCAGAAATATATTTTTTTACAGTCACGTAATCTCATATCCAAAAATAAAATATTCTTTTTCTTATTATGTTTTTAAATTAAATTGAAACGTTTTGGGAGTTATTTAATTTAAAATCTTATTTTTACCTTTTTGTTTTTGATGAATATCGTTTATATAATCCCGTAAGGTTAACAACATTTTACATTTTCCCACGTTTCTGAGAATGTTATTGAGAGCTTTCATTTTCTTTAAAAAAATCAGATTATTTTATTTATCGATATTTATATTTCGACCCGATATTGACATTTATGGAAACTAATAAGGAGGGATTTTTGAAATCCGACCAGTGTTCTTCCCATAAATTAGGTCTCAGTCAACTCGTTTCCCTTTGGTGAGCATCTTCGTGGGATGATGATGTAATAGAGAGCAGAAGGCTGAAACCTATAATTTTGTTTTAAATTAATGATCAAATTATTAAATAATTCTCAATTTTTATTAAAATAAAACAATCTTTTATTTGTTTGTAGGCCGTTTGTGAGAAATGTCGAATAGATATACACAGTGCATTTGAAGAAAGCATTCTTTGCAAAATATGTTCAGAGCAAAGAGAAGTAAGTATTTGTGTGTAAATATGAGCGAATTTGCTTTTCATTTTCACTTTCAACACATAGAATATCAATAAATGCAGTGTATTCACACGATTGTTTTATAGTAAAATAATAACCGATTTTCGGAGTTCAATTAAAAAAAATCAACGCACTATACGAGTTGCCCAAATGAATAATGGCAGAAGTGCACTGTAAATTCCGTATGCTTATTAATTAGATTACATATAGCATTTGAAGTGAATTTAAAGTAGAGCTAAAAACGGACGTGTCTAGAACCAAACTACACGCTGTAGTACGATTTTCAGTGGCAGAAGATAACAGTTCCTTTACTCAGAGTAATATACACCACAGATACACAGATCATTATTTCATATCCGTCTTTGAACAGCCGACCCAATTTCTGGGTTTACGACTACTAATGTTCAACTTGTAATTTTGAACCAATCCAGAAGACAAGGAAACTCCTGGATCAGTACCCCCAGAGGTGTTGATTTGTTATGGGAACATGGTGGACTTTGGGACTCGACAGATTTAACGTGCATCAATCACCATTTACTACACGGGGAGTCTTCGGCCGGCGGGGATCGAACCCACGAACTCTTGGACATGGGCCCAGCGCCCTACGCATATCATTAGTCGTAAATCTTAGTTTATCTCTAACCATTTCATCAACTACAGAAATAGACCCAGTTTGCAGACCAATGTCTTAGATAATGCTCGCCATCGAGAGACACAGTTTTTACAACAAATGGCCTTACACCTTCCTTCAGGCATTAAAATGGCCTTACCTTCAGGCATTAAAAATCGTATTATACTATACGTTGATCTATTTTGGACGCGTCTATCTTCACTTTTTAGTTTGACTTTATTGGCGTATCTAGGGTATGGAAAGTGGGATATTTTGACATAGGCGCATTTAAAAATTAAAAAAAAGGGAGCCAAATCGACTAATTTCTTTCATATTATCGTTGTTGTATTTAATCATTATTCATTGTTATTACTATTAGGAAAAATAAGATATTTTGCATCAGTTTAGTTTAGGCCGTTAAGTAAATTAACTTTAATATTCCCTAAAATGAATAAATTTGACCATAAGTCAAATGCTTTCCTCTAGACCAGTGTTTCCCAATCTTTTTTGAGCCATGTCCCACCTAAGCCTTTCTAAAATTCTTATGCCCCCCTATGTAACATATACATAATTTTTAATATTAAAAAATAGAATTGTTCACTTAAGAAACTTAAATGATAGGTTTCAGGAATAATTCACTAGGAAATTGTTAACGAAACACAGTAAGTAAATTTTCAAAACATATAAAGAACTAAAATTCGAAATAATTTTAGTAAAGATTTTTCTATAATAATTTAATATTTTAATTTATTGAGATCCTTGAGCTTGCTGCACAGAGATTTTATGTCAGGTTCCAATTTGGTTAGCTTCAGTCTCAAGTCTCCCCGTTGTATTACATCCAGGCGATTTTCTTTTTCTTTTTTTTACCAGTAAATCATTTACAGAACTAAATCCACATTCAGCTAAATATGAAGATGGAAACTGTAACAATAGTTTTCGTGCACATTTGGTTGAATTTAGGTATTTGATTTCTGTTTTCTCACAAAGCCATGCCATCACTCCTTTTATATTAAATAAAATTTTAACTGACTCATAATTTTGCATTTCTGCGAGTTCTTCTTGATACTGCATATTTTATATATCAAACAAATTCAGTAACATTGACTGTATCATCCGTGTTGGAAAATCAATTTGTTTTAAATCAGAAAATCTTTCTTGTAAATCAGTCGATGAAATTTTCAGATGATAATTTTCAATAACAAGTACAGAGGTATCATTTTTGTTGTTAATATATTTCTGACATAACTCAATATGGGTAATGAAACCAAATATCTTCGCTTTTGCATCAACAAGAGTTTCATTTGTTGCTTATTTAATATATTTAGTTTTTCAAAGATATCGGCTAAATAACTCACAAATGCTTTACCATCGACTGTTAACAGATACTTCATTTCAGGTTTGTCGCTTAAAAAATCGCTAAGTCACATAATATTTATTGGCCGCAATTATTTTAGAATTTGCTATTTTCTTTCAATTTTGGCACCCAAGTCTAGCATTGCATTTAAATGGCCCGGAGTAAAAGGGTTAAACTCGTGTCGAGTTCATTTTCGAATTGCCCCCCTTAACAATCAAATTGCCCCCCAATGGGGCGTGGGCCCCACGTTGGGAAACACTGCTCTAGACAAATCTCTATCTTCTCTTCCAACACCCAGTGGCGTAGCGAGGGGTGGGCAAGGGGGGGCATCATGCCCCGGGCGCTACTCACAAAGGGGCGCCAAATGGTCCGCAAAACAAAAAAATTGCTGGATAATTTTTTTTATTAGAATTGATTTCTGGAAAATATATTTTAAATTATTGCCAGTGTAATATAATAAATGTTAATTCATAAATATTATTCATAATATTTAATATTTAATTCATATTAAATATTATATTAAATTCATATTAAATATAATTCAATATTTAATTCACGTCCTTGTCATCGCGCTCTGCTTAGAATAAAAATGAAATGTTATTAAATATTAAATGTTATATATAAGTTTAATGTCAGCATAAATTATATTGTATATTTCACTATGTTACTACCTTTCAAGTTCAAGGCATTCTTGGTAAGTAATAAATCAAATAAGATTACTTACTACATCTACTCGACGATTCTATTATTAAGTGAATAGAGTATGAAAAAATTTGTTAACAGAAAAATTTGTTGTTCTCATATTTGTCACCACAGATTCAAAATGAATTCATTCATCTTCTGGCATCTACAGTTCGAAATCAACTAATAAACGATATCAAAAGAAATAAATATTATGGACTTTTGTTTGATTCAACTCCTGATATCTCTCATCGAGAACAAATGTCCCAAGTCGCTAGGTATGTAGATGCTGATTTTATCAATAAAAAAGTTTCCATCAAAGAATCTTTTTTGAGTTTTATTGAAATACATGCTAAAGATGCAGCCTCGATCGAAAATACAATTTTAGAGAAATTAAATTACGATGAAATTTCATTAACAAACTGCAGATCACAATGTTACGATAATGCTGCCGTGATGGCAGGTCACACATCTGAAACGCGATGGAGCGCCAGAATACAAGCGGTTATCGTTATCATCTATGGGCTAGAGAATATAAAAGAACTAATAGAAAAATTAGCAGAGCACACTACCACTACAAGTGACAACAGAAGTGAAGCTACAATTCTGTTGCAAAATATACTAACCTTTAGTTTTATAACTTTAGTTCATTTCTGGTATGAAATCTTAAGAAGGATTGATCGTGTGCAGCTCAGATTACAAGATCCTAGAATGAATTTTAGAGAAGTGTTCCATGATCTTGAATCATTAGCGACTGAACTAGCCGAAATTTGAGACAAGCTCTGTAAAGAGGCAATAGAAAAAGCAGAGTCTCTTTGTGAAAAATGGGATATGGATACAACAATACGTGCCTGGAGAATTGGCTATGGTGGTCTTTCCGCAGAAAGTGAAATTTCTCGCGTTATGAAAAGCACTCTTGATCGTCTCCAACAAGAAATGTGTACACGATTAAGTGACCTTAATTTCAAATTTGGATTTCTACTAGACGTTGAAAATTTATTAAACAAGGATAATGTTGATAACGACCTTGAAAAAAAATTTTAAAAATCTGGGTGAATTTTATAATACAGATTTCAATGTAATAGAACTTTTTATCAAAATATGTGACAGCAAAATGTTACTCCGCAGTAGAAAAGAAATTAAACCTAAAACTCCATTAGAATTTCTTACTTTTATAATCAATCTCGAATGGAGAAGATGTTTTTCCAAATCTGAGAGCGGCATTTCAAATACTCCTGACTATCTCAGTATCAATTGCTAGCTGCGAACGTTCATTCAGCAAATTAAAATTAATTTTGACAGATCGCCTAAGTGACCTAGCATTTTTAAGTGTGGAAAAAGAAAAATTTTAAATGAACAATTTTGATGATATTATTGATACATTTGCTTCATCAAAAGCACGAAAAATTTAGAGATAGTAATTAGTTTTATTAATGTATTATAATCATATGATTATTAATCATATGTATTATTAATTTGCGAGTATATTTTGCATATAATATTATATGGTTTTTGAATAGGGGGCGCTAAAAGGGTATTGTGCCCCGGGCGCGAGTTAAGCTCGCTACGCCACTGCCAACACCCAATGCTAAAAGTCAAGGCCAAGCATTTACCTCTTAGTTTTGGGCTACTCATTTTGCGCATCTTCATTTTCTATTGCAGCAAGCTGTCTTTAATTTTGTTTCATCTGATAATAATCGTGAATGGCATAAGTATTTTGCAGTTACTTTATGTTTCAAATAAACAACGATTTCAAAAACGCAGAAATGCAAGATTATTAAAATTAGAATTATAGTTTTTTGCAATTTTTTTTTTATTATAGTATATAATACAATATTTTACTATGTTAACAAGAGGATTACATTCTTCAAATAATGCTTTTATTTTGCATATTTAAAAAAAGAAAATATAATATTTTTTAAAGGGCACCAATTCGAGATATTCAACAGGCACTATTCAATATCTCCTAGAATAGAAAAAGCCTCAGCACGAGTTACCATAAACAAGAAATTCGGTCCTTCAGTAGTCCAAAATTAAGGACGTCTTTCCTGTTAACCCCCACTGCGCAGCTCAGTAGCCCGAACTTAGTGACATCTTTCTTAATTTCTCCCCTGTGCAGTTTATGTTCGTTACGTCGGACTGCTAAATTGATCCGTGCTGAGGCCTTCTTCTAGGAGGTGTTGCACTGTTTCCCTTAGATACGCCTCTGTGATTTCATATTGTCAAGTTTTTTTTTATTACAAACTGATTAATCAATTATATGCTATCTGCGATGCACCTTCTTCTACCTTCCCGTGCAACTTTGGATAATACAGCTGTCATCAATCGTGTTGCTATCATAGGCCATTAAGGAAAGGTGTGCGATTATTCTTGTTTTCCAGAGGTGCTATCTATGGCCAAGAAATCGACTTCTGCCACACTCATACGTCCCACCCTTTTATAAAGCGGATCCATTCATCTACTGATTGTAATTTTGACCTGAATCGGAAAACGATCAATATTCAACTCAGTACCCCCAGAGATATAATTTGTTATGGGAATATGGAGGTTTAGCAGATTTAACGTTCATCAGTCACCATTTACTACACGAGGAGTCTTCACTCAGCTGGATTCGAACTTCCGTTTTTACGAACGTGAGTCCAGCGCCCTGTCAACCAGGCTATCCCGTGTCCACTCTTTATTTGGGCACACCTGATTCAAATTTTTCTGTTGAGCGTTGGAATTTATATTAATTAACGTTCCAACAACTTTCTATTTTTTCTCTTTTCATATTTTAAGCATAATGTTTATCAGATAAATTTATTTTAGCTGTGGAAAAAGTCGGGTGGATGGTTCTATGGAGCACTTCCCCACGTTGAAAACTTGAATTGTGAAGATCTTAAATGTTACCAACAAGGTGGTTCAGAAACTTGGGAACACAGAGCCAGGGGTTGGTCAGGGAGTATTTTTAAACTTGTAAAATATTTTTCTTTTCCTTTAAGCTGGTTATATTTTGGAACTTTACTTTTCATTACTTTATGACTTAAGGTAATGAGTTAATAAATTCCATTTAGTGAAGAAAGCAACAGATGGCGAGAAAAGATTTGCTCTATGACATTCAAACTTTCTGAATTTAATTCCTATTTCTTAACTTCACCTTTAATTTTGATATTTTTGCCAAGGAATAATTACACTGAAGAAGAAATTTTTTATTGCATTTATACATGCCCGGAATTGTCGTCGTACGCCACTAGGAACCTATTATAACCTGCCCTATTATAACCTGTCCCCTATTATAACCTGTTCAGAACCACACAAAGAAACAGTTTATAATACGGTAGCGCCCTTAGCTTTGTGTGACGATATTTCTGGTCATAGGTTTCTATGCAATTTTAATCCTGATGTTGCCCTCTAACTCCCCTAAAACTTTGTCACCACAGTTATGCAACGTTCTGTTGCACATTTCGACAAAAAAAAGAAAAGAAAAAAAGAAAAAAAACTAAAAATGTCATTTAAAAAAACCGTAGCTTGGAGAAAGAAAACGATTGCTGATTTGAAATCAGCAACGTGAAAATACATAAGATCCGTTAAAAAAGATCATAAAAAGCAAATTTTTTTTTCCCTCAGCGTTATTATTAATATGAAGTCTAACTCTTAGCTTATAAAAATACTTAACTATTAAACAAGATTAAGCATTGTAGTACATGTGTTTATAATTTTGTTGTGAAGGGATTAAATTGTATTATTTACTGTAAAACATAGGAGTTTGGAACATTTAAAAAATTACATATGTTTTATGAAAATGATTTGTTATGATAAAATAATTTTGAGATTGCAATTTAACAAATACAAGAATTCTTCATTATGTTACAGGGAATAAAATTTTAAATATTGAAGATAAAGAATTATAACAATTGGTCGAGTTACTAAGACAAGTTAGTTTTCTGTCAAAAAGGTATCTAAAGGTTCCAGAAATATTTTCGTATACAATTAATCTTCAAAAACACTGATTTATAAGAAACCCTTTTAAACTTATCTTCTAGACCAGGGGCCCAAGGTTCAGTTTGGTTGTCAAGGAATCATTTAAAAATGATCTGAGTTCACGTTAACCATATACAGAGTGGTTCCGAATTCATGGTACAAACTTTAAAGATAGATACAGGACATTGTAACAATCATTTATTGTATAGGAATGTATGGGCGAAAGTGACGCAGTGAGGCACAAACACAAAAAATGAGAGACGGAAGGAAAGACTAAGTAGTATTTACTGAAAGCGTCGTTGACAGGTGTAATCTTTACAATAACTGTTCAAAATTGCGTCCACCCGTAGCGATACATGCTTGACAACGTCGCTGGAGCGATTGGCGTACTCGTTTATAGTGCCAAGTATTTCGTGCACACGCACATCAGCTTCGGATATTTGATCAATGAGACCCTCATATGAGTAAAGTGAAATAGCATAAACAAGATTCTTCAGTTGTCCCCATAAAAAGAAACAAATCGAGGCCAAAGGACAGGTCCACCACGCGCAATCCATATCGCCTAAAACGTGGTATTCAGGTAAGTGTGCACACCAGTGCTGAAGAGGGCTGGCTCCTTATCATGCTGAAACCACATGCAGCTACGAAAGACAATCGGATCACCCTGCAGTAGTTCTGGAAACAACAGTTCCAGAAATATAAGATAACACTTGCCATTCAGTTAATACACATGTGGTCGCGTTGCTTGTGGATTCTCGGTTGCCCACACGTTGGAATTGCGCGCATTAAAGACACCCTCGCTTTAAACGTCGCCTCATCTGCAATTAGCACATGAGTCATAAAATCCAACTGCAGCGCACATTGCTGTACCACCCACTGGCAGAAGTTCAGGCGGATAGAATAGTCTGCCGGATTCAAAGTTTGTACTCCCTGAAAACGGAAGGGGTGAAAGCGATTTACGTTTAACACTCTACAAATCGTCTGATGACGTCTTACGTGACGAGCAACAGCTCTTGACTCGGCTCTATCAGCCACAACGTTCAAAATGCTTTCTTCCAGACTTGGACTGGCTACAGCTCTTCGTCGACCAGCTTCATGTCTGGTGACGTGGAACGAACCTGTTTCACAAAGTTGACGATGTAACCGCAGAAAAATTCTGTGATTCGGCATTCGTCGATCAGGAAACTGTGTGTGATACATTCGTAACGCTGCTGTGCCGTTGCCATTTGCACGACCATCAGCATCATACATGTCTGCTTATTCGCCATACGTAAAGTCTCCCATCATAGACGTTAGCACAATTGCGAATGGAACTTTCCCCTACTGAGATGCATCAAGTTGAACGGCGCCTGGACATCTACTGTCGCCGTTTCTCTTTTCTTTTCCCTGTTTGCGCCTCACCGTGTCACTTGCGTCCATACATTGCTATGCAATAAATGATTATTACAATGTCCTGTATCTACCCTTAAATTTTGTTCCAGGTATTCAGGACCACCCTATATTCTCCCGTGCAATTGAAAAATCAACTAAGGTGAAGAAAAAAAATATTCAAAATTGAGGCTTTTACATATTTGGCATCTTTATAGCATCTTTGAGGCGTTTATATATTTGACATTTTATCATATTTATATATATTGCAACAAAAAAAAAAGTTTAAAAAATAAATTTTGTTCTATCAGTTTTTTGAAATTCTATTTTAGCGTTTCATAGCATTAGAAATAGAAGGAGAAAAAGTTGTCAAGCCACTTTTCTCGGAATCATTCGTGAAGCACTTCGTTGTTTTTTCAATTGCAATATTGATGTTAGTGTCTATTATCTGAAAATTTTATCAGCTGATTCAAAAGATAGAATTTTTGATTCAAAAAAAGTTGATTCCCCATATTGGATGGTGCGGCCTACGTTATTGGATTTGTTATACATATGAGGGCGCATTATACTGACAAACTTCAAATTTAACATAATTTATTCGAAATTGGTGTATATTTGCAACCAAACACTGGTGTATTATTTCGGATTTTGTTTTAGTAATGAAATAGTTTCAAAAAGAAATTCCTTATAAATAAATGTAAACTGCAACATAATAATTTATTTGAATATTTTCAGACATTGTACGCTTGGAGAGTTTTGAAGCACCAGAGCAAACTGGCAGTAAAATGTTTTATAAGACTTGGGCAATTAACTCTAGTCCAGGTTAGTAGATTAAAATATAAACGCATGCAATTCACTTTATGTCTTCAAATTTTGTGTATTCTCCATCTAAATTCTATATCTAAAATTGCACTCAAAATACTTTAAATAAACTTGCATGCGATTTTTGAAATTTCTGTGATAAACTTTAATTTATGGTACATAATTTTGTTTAGAGACTTCTTGGTCAAACATTAAAATATCTAGTCTACGAATTTTTTTTATTTTACTTTCGTATAAGCATGCTGAGATTTTGGCATCATATGAAAGCTATCACAATATCAGTATGCTTTTATTTAGAAAAGCATTTAAGTACCCGTTGAAGTCACACGCGGTCTTCTCAGAACGCTCTGGTGGCACATACGGTTGAAGCAACGCTTACCGCTGGTGGAGGACTAGGGGCCGTGAGTTCGATCCTGGCAGCCGACTACATAACAGGCACGTATACGCAGCAAAGTGCGTACTGAATCTGTCGTGGCTGAATGTCCTCTCTTCATTGGTTGTGATATGGAAATTTTGAGAGCTGAGGCGCTGTCCACATCATTTGGCCGGTGTCAAAATTACGTGGCGTTCTTTTCATAACCATTAAAAGATAAATCTCTGAAACATGAGACTAGGTGCTTGACTATGGTTGGATGGTATGTGGGGTCTTATCCACTTTAATGAATGTTTGATTTTACTGAATGTTCCAAAACAGACGAATTATCAGAAAACTAATTAAAGAAGATAAGGTATAAGGAGATAAGAGTGTACAGTTTGCTACGTTCTGCTTAGGGGACAATGTTTTTGTCTCTCCAAGTTTCAAAATTACTTAAAGAGGACGTCAGTAGGTGGCGCTAGTATGTAAAAATTGTTTATAAAATAATCACTATTTGCCGTAAGTACGTGGTGCAGTTTGACGATAAAATTAATCGATGCCTATGCAAAAAATTCAATTGGAATGGTCAGGCATGCAGCAGAAAGCATTGTTTTATTGTTTTTCAGTCATTAACGACATCATTTCAAGAATTTCGCAACCAATTCTTGATGTAAAGACATTTCTGATTTCCTAAGCAGAAAACCATACATTTCTTCCGTTCATATTTTAAATAACTATTTCAAATCGCTGGACTTTTTTGGGACCCTAGGCAACTTAAGTATAACAATATTTAAAAGTTATTACTTTTAAAATCGATTTTCTGGGCAAATTGAAACTGTAATCAATTTTACTACATAGTTGAGAAGTGAAAGATGTAAAAATAATGAAACATTTCTCAAGCGTACCATTGTCTTGTCATCAATATAGCTTCTACCACCAGAAAGATAGAGTTACTTAAGTAAAGGTTGGTAACCATACTATTACTGAATTTCTGTAACAAAAACATCTTTTGCTCAAGTTCGGCTACTATATTAATGTTTTATTTTCATTACAGTAGTAAGTGAAAGTTTTCACTTGTATACTGTTACTATCAGTTTTATCTTTTTCTTATTTTCAAATTTAAAAAATAATTTTTTTTTTCTTTCCATGTTTTTTTAGATCCCACGTAAGTACTATATCGAATTCAAAAACTTCCCTTATCAATGAGCCTCAAATATCCTTCTTTCATCTTGGTGATCATGTGACTATCTCCACAGAGGTACGGATTCTGAGAATCCTGAGGCTTATGGTCTTAATATGATGTCAGCCCGCCATAGATGGCAGCTTGCACAAGCATGGGGAGGTTTTTCATGAGTTTTTGATAAGTGACCTTAGGAGTTGACGTCCAGGCGTTCATCACAGTGTAGTGATGAACGCTTGGTGTGAGTGCTGGTAGTAATTTGGTAATCTCATGGGATTTAGATTTGGCATCCATTTTTGAACACCCATCTTTTCACACGATGGCTGCGCAAGTATCGATGCATGAATGGAGCAGTTATCCTGTTGGAAGAGAAATTGGCTTTCTACCAAAATATTACCACAGATCTGGAACAACAGGATTGTCCAGAGTTTAAGAACTAAGGGACCCAGGCCAAATCCTTGAAAACTCCCCTCCCACCATGGTTTTCTTTTTTAGGAAGGGAGGCCAGATATTTTTGGCCAGTTATAGTCTATCCCTAAATTAAAATGTTTGTCTCAATTGTTTGCAGAAGGCATCTTATTCATCTGCAAAAAATCTCATAATTCTTATCCAATGGAATACAATGCATATATGTAGTAAAAATTGATGTACAGACTTTAAAAAACATGTTTTAATTTCAAGACCTTATTGCTATGGAGGATGAGATTATTCTAAGAAAGTTCAAGAAAAACAAGTTTAGAAAATGTTCAGAAGGTGCTCAACTGGCAAGTATTTTTAATTATTTATAAAGAGTTTTAGTAATACTATATTAAGCAAGATGCCCACTTAAGTTCTGCATTTCTCAATAACTTAAGAGTAGGGACAGCTATAGTCATAGAACTTGTGCCCAGGTATAGCATAGCGGCTAAGAATGACTTCACAATGCTGCTTACAGAAGCCAACATCTGTTAAAAGAAATAATATTTCGCCCGAATTACTTTAGTAATCATACGTAACGAACATAAACTGTGCAGTGGGGCGAAATAAGAAAGATGTCACAGCGTTCGGACTTCTAAAGGATCAGATTTCTTGTTTATAATAACTAGAGTGAAGGCCTTCTCTCTTCTGAGATATTTCAGAAACTGTCAAATTGTTAGTTTTGAAGTTAGTGCATTTCTGTCTAAAATGATAAGAAAACAAACTATTTGATGGTCAAGAACAAATTTACTAAATTTCTCTTTTTACTCTTAAATTATTTACAGAAAGTACATTGTCAGCAATATTTTCTCGAGCGACGAGTATAAACTTTCAAATAGTTATCTGTTTTATTCAAATAGTTAGTCTTGGCAATCTTTAAAGGATGCCAGGTGTAACAACTTTTATTTTTTTTATACTCTTTCACATCAGAAAAAGAGAGCTATGTATTTTGATAGTCCAGGCCTATTAATGATAGCTGATATCACAAAATATAGGCTATTTAACATATGATCCCAAGAAGTATAGTTGAATTTTTCTCGTACAATTATATTTCTTCAGATTATATGATAGGACATCAATTCCAAATTTAACGAGATGTTGGCAATGGTTTATTCACATAGTACAGTAATTTCTCAGCATTGTTTATATGACTATAGCTCTGTCATATTTAATAACTAACAGACGAGCGTCCACTACAAAATTTTAAGGGATGATAATGAGTGAAGACTTTATGAAAATTTCTGAAAACTTATTAATTTTCATATAAAATAAACTATGTTCATGTAAACTAGTAAATCAAAGCTTTTCTAGTGATGAAACAAACCATTTGTAATTTTACTTTGCTTCTTTGATAAGTAAAGTAAAATTACAATGTTCTTTAATAATAAATATTTCTTAAGGAAAATTTTAGCTCTACAGGATGGCAAAATTAAGGATAGATTTGTCTAGATTTAACCATTGCTTGTTATATTTTACTAAAAGCGTGACACGAAATTATGGTAACACTAAGATTAATAAAAATTTATTTTTCAGGCAAATCACTTAATGCCAGCCCCACCAGGATTAAATGCTTCGAAAATTTCAGCGTCCTGCCCGTCTCTTCAAGTAGCACAGGAAGAAGAAATAAGAAGTTTGAAAAGATGCAAAAAAATGTCTACAAAATTTAAATTCTTGAAACCTACGCGAAAAATGATTGAAAAAATTGTTAAACGCCGTAAATTAAAATGAATCCAGTAATTTTTCTTTCCTGTGTTTTTTACATAGCACAGAAACAGAATTTAAAAAAAAAAAAATTTTTTTTAGCAGACACACTTCTTTAAAATTTTGTGCGGTTAAAATCTGAAATATATATAATGAATGAAATATGACGAGTCTCTAAAGCAGCGGTTCCTAATATTTTTATCTCGATATGTAATTTTATATGGAAAAATACGAGCGAAATCGGTCAAATAGTTCTGAGAAATTGAATTTTAAAAACAGTCATTCATAAAATTCGATTTCTCAGGAACATTCAGCCAATTAGGCTCAAAGTTTGTATTCTGACACGTAAAATTTTGTTCTTCAAAAAGATATTAAAAGTATATACCTTACAATTCATGTTTTTTTTCGCTTGTTATTAAATAAAAATATTTATTAAAAATTATTTTAGCTTGGAATTATCATTGAATAAACGAATTTGATAATTATAAGTAAAATTTTTCAATACGCCTAAAAAGTTCTCGAGATATGGCAAAAAATTAAGGAACCGTTCTTCTGACAAAATTATGGGGACTAGATTGCGGCTACTCTGTATATCTTGGAGGGTCGTGGTAGCCCAATGGTTAGAGAATCGACACCAGTCTGGAGGAACCGGAATTCGATTGTTGACTCCGCTAACACCGACCGAGTACATGCATGCTCGTAAAGTCTGTGGAATAGAGAGACCAGCGGTCGGTAGCTGCGCAGTACCATGGGTACACGGATCTTACAAATTTTAAAATGATAGCTGGTTAAAATAAGTCCTAATTCTCGGAACCTGAACCCGTGACACTATGGATAGTTAAATGATTATCCATATTAGATTGCCTTTCAAAAACAGCGCATTCTTGGTAGAAAACAAATCTTCAATGCAAAAAACTGAAAATAAATAAATTAATAATTATTCAGTAACACTTACTAAAAATGCAATAAATTGAAAACAAAATTGAACTAATAATAATAAAATCTTATGGCATCTAGTAAAAAAGATAAGATAAAACATAATTTGCAAAATTCGAAATATTGTATTGCTATTACAAAAAACGCATTCACACAATATTTATGAGCTCTAGTAAACCAAGAAATGAAACATTCATTTGGGGATTTCACTTTTATAAACATGAAAAGAAGAAGAAAAAAAAAAAGATAGTCAAAAGGATATTAAAATAACCTTAAATTTACACACAAGTTTATGAGTCATTTACTAGTTGGTGAACTATACTACAGTACAGAACCTCTTATCCGGAAATCAGAAAACCAAAACAAAATTCGATAATTTTTTTTCTTCTTCCTCATAAGAGTTTTCTTTCTTTTTTAAAAGATGTTTAGCTTACCATCATTTCAGAAATAATCATTAGTGTATTACTTTATCGTTTTTTCTTCTTCTTAAGATTATTTCTAAATTTTTTTAAGTTGGGTTTGACAATAAAAAAACTGCTTTTTGTACGATTCAGAAAACCGGAAAAATCATTTATCCGGAATAGCGATGGTCCCGATCTTTCCGGATCATCGGTTCCCTACTGTATCTGAAATGAGCAGTCACTTTCTGATTGGAATGTATCAAGATCTTCGAAATGTTTCGACTGTCTCCAATTTAATGTGCTATTGCATTTTATGATTTCAAGTACTGTTAAATTCAAGAAAGATAACACAATCAACGTTCTTTTTACAATTTTATTTCAATGGCATAGTTTATTGTTTGTGTGTATTATTTAACAGTGGCAAACTATATACATCTAGTACAATTCTTTCCTTTCATACATCTTACTTGCAAGAAAGCTGACATCGGGGAAAAATATATTTTTGATATTATAAAAGTTCACACATTTTTGTATTAAAAACTAAACATCTTCACACAAACTTTTTTTAAGCTGAAAATTATATTATTAATCAATAGGTGTTAAGAAATAAATTAGCTAGGAGAAATAAAGAACATGGGTCAGATATTATGAGTTTTTTTTCCTTCATAAATATAAATTTTGATAAGTATTCTATATACCTATATCCAGCATTTACATTAATGCACTAACTCAAAAAACATTTTATAAAAATTCTCTATATCAGTTATAATAAGTGCTACAGATACAGCAATGAAGAAATATAAACCTAGATGGGAACTTTCAATCCATTAAATCATTAGCAAGCTAAGCCATGTCTAACCTAAAGTTACGTTACATACATCCAGAAAGTAATACATCATTAGGTAATACATATGTAACCTAGTGCTTTCGAGTCTCACACGATATTAGGATTCACTACAAAGTTGAGCTTTTTAAAGGTTAATGGCCATTGTTAAGATGTATGTATTATGGGCTTCACACTTAAACTGACTAGTATTGGTTAGACCCAGTAGTAGCCTGTTAAAAATGAAAGTACTGGAGATTCTTCAGGCTTTAACGAACTAGAATTAGTAACCTAGGATTAAACAAGTAAACCTAAGTTTTTTTTCTTGCTTGCTATATCTGTATCACTCAAATTCAAAATAACATTTAATTATTGGATAGGGTAGCAGGTTTTTAAAGGTTCGAACATATGAGGCCCTATATTAAATGAATCTTATTGCATCATACTTAGAGTTAAAACAAACAGTTAATACAATAAATTACCAACACAACACCCATGATGATATAAATAGGACCCATGGGTAGGAAAATAATTTTTGAGGCTATCTACCTAAGCTATCTTGAAAAATAAAGATTTTTTTTACATTCTTTTACATTTAGCCTCATAAAGATATCATATGGTTATGTTGTATCTATTATTTAATGAAAGAAGTGAAGTTACCAAGCAACTGATGTCTTTCATAGCCTGAAATGTTTTTTTTTTTTTAAATTGAAAACTATTAGAATAGTTTAAGGTTAAAAAAATTACATATATTTTTTTTTTTCAGTTTCATAGATCTCCAGCATTAAATCAGTATATTAGAGCATAGTAATTATGTTTTAAGTTACTTTGAATTATTATAAGAAAAAAATTAATAACAAATAGTAAAGACAAAAATTATCTAATTGCAAGTGAATAAGCATATGTTGCTAAAAATTCATAACTATATTTTCTTGTAATTCTTCATATGTTATTATGCATAAATTTGCTTACGTTTTTTTTTATCACATTATAACCAAGTATTGTTCCTTACTTTAAACTTAATAAAACCCCATTTTTATGCTAAAAATGTTCAACAAATTTAGATTCATTTATTTGAGACAAAAGCATTTATTTTTTATTTTAATTTCTATTTATTCTTTTCTCTTAACATTTAAGTTTAAATTATGATCACACAATTATTGAATGTTAAAAATTGCTTTTAATTATTGTTAATTATCGATATACTATATTTAAAAATAAAGCTATTTTATGAAGATCAGATAAATTATCATCTGACAGACACCAATTTATAATGAACAGTGGTAAGATCTTTTAAAAATATGAAATTCTTTTTCAAGATCCAGAGATGCCAACTTGCATTGAAATTTTTCTTAAGAAAAGGTATAATTTTGAAAAAAAAAAAAAAAAAACATTTTTTTTTTTTTAAAGTTGTAATTTACAGAAATTACAACTAAAGCAAGCCTTCAAAACCTTTAACTAGAATATGAAAAAGAAGCCGGCTGATAACAGCCCACAGAAAAATGACAACTAAGCATAAAAAAAATCCTGGGATGGCCCAGTTGGGGACAAGCAAGGGAAGCGACCTTGGTGCTGCAGGGTTAGTACAGCAAACTTTTGGCTTCATGCGCTACTAAAGAGAATTAAGTCAAGTCACATACAGACATATTGCTTCCACTTTCAACTATTATATAAAGATTTATTTTTATAGAAGTTGAAGTAGGTTTCAAAAAATAATTCCTATTCAATAAAATAGCCGGCAAAAAATAACATATAGAGAAATGATAATAAGGGAAAAAATATCCTGGGATGGCCTAGAAAATAACAAAATAAATAAAGCAGTCAATAAAATAGTAATAAAGAAATAAAAGCGCTGATTTGGGGCAAGATTTTTTCTTCTTCATAATTTGACAGAATTCAAATTTTTTGGAAATAATGGAAAATACTTGGTAGTTGGCATCGCTGGAGACTTGTTATCAAAATCGCAAATTTTCAATATTGTTATATCACACTTAATATTAATATATAAAAACAATAAAATCTTTAAAAATGTAGCAATTTTTAAAAATAAAAAATCATAAATACAATTTAAATATACACGATATATATCATATTTAGTCATAAATAATAAATACATTTCTTATATAATTATTTATATTTTGCATAAATATGGACAAAAAATTCATTTTCAGGAACTTTATAAGATAAGTTCCCATAGAATGGATTGAAATGAGAAAGGAAACAATGACAGGTGAAAAATGAAATACATAAAAAGGTGAGGAGGAAGAATATACAATTATATACAAAACCACAAGTGCAGAAATATTACAGCACAATGACTAGTACCTTTGGTATTTATAATTCAAAATTTATAAGCTTATTCTTAATGATGCATTATAATTTTTATTAATACTTTTTACAAAATTATCTTTAAATTCAGCTGCAGTTTTTATATATAAAAATAGGTAAATGAAGAGTTTCGATTCTTTATCTAAAAATAATATTTTCACAGAACTTTAAACAAAAGAATTCCATTGTTGCAGTCAAATAACTGAATCACTTAAAAGAAAAGCTAATATCCATAGAAAAAAACAAACTATATAATGTGAAGAATTTTCCTCCCAGTAAATCAAGTAAGGTATTAAATCAGTAAGGAAAAAAACTAAACATACATGAATGTATTTTTAATATACCTTATTAATTGTTTATTTAAAAAGAAACAAAACTGATTGACATTTTTTTTAATACAATACCTCTTATGGGAGAAAAAGTTTTTATTTTAGTAAAGCATCTCACAGTTCTAATATGAATACAAGCATATTAAGAATAAAAATGTATTTGTTTTTAGATTTCCTTTTTCTGGGTGCATTTTTTTTTCTTCTACTTTTCAATTATTTGTTGAAAGAATTTAAAAATGTATTAATTTTTTTACAAGTTTTTCACAACAATAAAGTATTTAGTCACATTATACACTTGCATACCAGAAGGTAATATCTATTTAGAAAAAAAATAGTTTTGTTAAATAATTAATTTTAGAAGAAACTTTACAATTAGGAATACTGTTTGAATTCAAGCTTTGAAAAAGGTTAAATGGAAAAAATTTAAACATTTGTAAACTAAAAATTGTCACGGGAAAATGTAAACAATAAGTTATGATATTGTCAATCCCATTACAAGCATAGAAATTAATTTATAAAAAAACTGACAAATAAAAAAAGATAAAACACTTTAACAGCAACAAATTTTACAAATTAAATAGAAAACAAAATGACCTGGTAAAAACAAACACTAAATCTTAAAATAATCAAGATACAGTCTTGCTGTTGTTAAAATCCTATAATTATAGGTTTTAGAATTTCATACCTCATACAATTCAAACAAAGCTAATGACTAGGAAATTTTGTATTCACACAATACATTTACAAAGTCAAAGACTAAAATGATTGATCAAATGTTTTAAATCATTTTACTTACAATATTTTTTAAACAAATCATAAATTAACTCATTCTTTATTTTTGTATTATTTGGATAATATAGAATAACAAATATTTATACAATTCCTAAACAGTTTTAAAGAAATGTAATTTAAAACATTAATTCATTAGACTCCTGATTATCTGACACTTACAACTTTTTGACTTGCATTTAAACAGAGCCAAGAAGGTTTCTCACAACTACTTTTAAATGATATTTAATATTAAAATTATGATATATCGCTAGAAAGTATCAATATTTCATTATATTTTTTAAAATTGTATTTATCATTACATTTGCCAATGTTTAGCTCATACAAAAGGAAAAGAACCTATTTATTTAAACGTTATTATTAATCAAAACTTCAATGAATTAAATATAACAATACATTAATTAAGAAACATCTTCATGTTGTTTTGCTTTCGATAAACATCACTACTATGTTATTGTTATTAACAATTATATCATACTTGATACTTATTGTCAAGCTTGTAGGAGCATGTTTGTAGTTCATAACATATTGTGAGAGTACATTCAAAAATATCCTAAATTCAATATTTCTAGGTAGATCAGTCAGTTCAAGGCATGACTTTGCTTGGAAAATATTTTTTATTTAAAAAAAAAAAAAAAAAAAACTCGGCACTTTTAATAGTGTCATTATAGATCAAAATTGCTATATTTTTTAATTGTCACTAATGATAATTAACAAGGAATTATCAAGTTTAATAAGTATCTTCAATGATAATGATCACAATGTCATCATATTTGATAGAATTGTATACAAAATAGGTATTCACATTATGGTGTAAGCTTATATATTTTTAAAATATGAAGGCAATAGTCCAGTTCTTTTACTGAATTTGATAAAAAAAGATTTTCTTACGTTATTCATTTTACTTATAAAGCTATTTAGCTATGACAGTAGCATTTTAAACTAGCAGTTTTACAAGCCATTTAATGTTTTTCACTAATAAAAATGTTCTTGTTACATTCTCTGGGTCATGTGATTATCCAAATTTTAAGCATATCCTGCATTTTTGAGTGCCAGATAATCAGGAGTCTACCATATCCGATATGAATAGAAATAATTCATTAAGGGTTCATCCCTTTTTAAGAGTATTGGTAATGAGATATAAATCTTATATTTGAAGGTTACTAAATTAATCAATAAATAAATGATTGAAGTCATCATGACATATTGTAACTAATTGTATTTAAATAACAACACTAAGAAATAGGTATTTTCAAGGAAAAGTAACTACTTCAGATTATTTCGTAAATTATGTATAAGCGTAAAGGAGAAAAATGCAGGCATACATTTCTTTTTAAAAGTAAATTGTAATATAAAGTTTATTTTCCTAAATGTAAATAAATATAAATAGGGTAAAATGTTTTTAATGCATAACTTGGTAAATTATGAAAGTGCAAGAAAAAGAAAAAAAGTAACTTCATTTAAATTTAAAATGTAATATATCTTTTTCAACAAAAAATGTAAATAAAAATAGAAAGGGCAACATTTTCTAAAGCATCAATTGGGAAATATATAAATGCAGAGGAAGAAAATATGTATATATATATATATTCTTTAAAATTAAAATGTAATATAAATAGTTTACTTATTTTTTACATAAGGTGTAAATAAATATAGAAAGGGCAAACATTTTCTGAAAGCATGAGCAAATCTGGACCTATTTAACCAGGATAAAAATTACCTTACTGAGCATTTTCCAGAAGGAATGTACACATTCAAAAAAAATTTTTTTTTTTTTTTTCTTCTTAATCTTCTTATTTATAGGAAATATCTTCACAGAAGAATGAATAATAAATGAGGCAATTGTCCATGAACAATAACATTGTAAGAATACAATGTGCACACGCAAGTCTCATTCACAGTTTAATATATACAGTATGCACTAAGCATATCATTATATACCAGAGAATCGATAATTAATAACATTTTCTACATTGAAGCAATATAGGTTTCTCTTCTTTTTTTTTATTTAGAAAACTGATTCGGCGGACCGGGACAAGTGAATGGGATATGATGGGCTCCGTGCCAAACGCTTCTTGGGAAGCATTGGAAGGCGAGAAAGCATCAAAAGGACTTTGCTAAACTCAGGACGTTCTGTATCTTTGTAAGCCCAGCATGTCATTAAAATATCCTAAGTAATTATAATAAAACATCGATTATTAGGAGTTGCTATAAAAATAAAATGTATTATTTATAACTGAACATGAAACTTGATTAATAATTGTAGAAAAGTATATAGTTAAAAAAAAAAAGGGATAACAGCCAGTCTCTAAAAATAAAGTTCAAGAGTTTTTTTTTGTTTTTTTTTTTTTGGAATTTCTAGAATAGCAGTTCTTTACATTTGTGTCCAACATTAGACAGTAGATGCATAAATAAGAACATAAAAATATGTTGGTAGGGTTTTTGAAAATATGAAAAATTATAGTTACATATGTAGATAATAACAAGAATTAATAATAACCTAATTAGATAATAACCTCCAATAAGCAAGGTGGTAATAGGAAACGGGTAAGACCTCCACTAAAATGGCTTGATGACTTTGAGAAAGACTTAAAAATATTGAAAGTGATTAATTGGTAGGGTTCTCGCCAGCAATGAAAATTTAGTGGTCCAATAAGACCACTCAGGTATTCATTTAGTGGTGCAAAAACTTAATATGGTAGACAATATTTAACTTCACAATTACATAATTCATGTTATGGTACACATCAAGAATTATATATTGCTATCTATAAAGTCGTAAAACTAATTAGGTTCATTACACCAAAATGATTAAAAATTAGTATATATCAAAATTAAGAGAAAAAAAGGTAAAATATTCGATTCTATTAAATAGATTCAATGTTGAGACCAAATAAATAAATGAGGAAAAACAGAGAAATGCACATGATTTCAGCTAAAATGGAACACCTGAAAGTGGCGCATTGTGGTCATCTCAATCCTGAGTGATTGTTAAAACGTGGCAGTTGTTTATGTTACCAACTGTTCTTTTTATTCCATTTCGAGTAAGCCAAGCCCACCAAGTATCAATTCCCTTAAGTGACATATTTTAGATTCCTTCACTAAATATTTCTTACTTGAAACATAAAGACAGACACAAAGTCATGTAGAACATAAACAAATTATGCAATGAAGTTGCCAGAAACTCAAAACAAAAATATATAACAGCTACAATAAAATACACAAACAACTAATGAATCAGTGTTTTTACTACAGCGCGAGAATCTCACTTATATTTTTTTCTTTTTCACGCATTAAAAAAGTACTAACGTGAGAAGATCGTGCACTCTATTAATCAATTTCAAAATGAGCGAAGTTTGGAAAAAAATTCATCTTCTGCCATTTTGAATAAAATTCGTTTCACTTTTCTTCCTTGATCTTTCATTATTTTCAACATGGATCCCTGTTATCTAGCTTCCCCATTTACCAGTATTGTTCAGAACCGGTCGAACAGCAGAACACAATGACGGAACACCTTTCAGAATGGACAGAACACCGCAGAATGACGGAACACCTTTCAGAACACATTTTTCCGCAACCACGTGTTCTCGGAAGGTAAGACTTCTTTATGTAACACGTTTAAATTTTTTTCAATGCTACAAATTTACTAAGTGATTCCGAATTGTTCAGCATCTGTTGCAAGGTCATTTAGCACTCAAAACCGAATTAAGACAAAATATCGTATACAAATGACTGCTAAACATTTGAGCAACCTAATGAGAAAAGCTGATGAAAAAGTAGATATAGAACGTTTTCGATATGATGATGCAGCAAAAATATTCAATGCTTTAAAAATTAGAAGATGTTAAAAATGTCTTATAATTAAAGAAATATTTTTTTTTCCAAGTCTATTCGCGTTTTTTTAATTTTTAGAAATCTCACTTAACTTTTTGAGATCTCACCCTGTTTTTGAGAAAGGGTGAGAAATTCTCTCTAATTTTTTTTTCTGTAATGAAAACACTGAATGAATCAAGTTAAAATGTGTGATAGGGTGCTTTATTTAACTAACTTTACATTAATTAACAATACAACCTATGCGGCGGAATCTAGCTCAAATTTAACACACCATTTTGCTTAGTCATATTTGTGTCATGGGTCATAAGTGTGGGTATCTATTATCTTCTTGTTGAAGTGAAAGTACCCAATTGTAGAACATTTGGTGACAACTGTCACCATACTGGTGTTAACCCTACTTATTGCGAGAAAAAAACAATTATCAGACAGACTGATTGAAAAAACTCATTAGGATGGCCCTGGCATGATCTGGTGAAAAAGACAACGGAATATTTAAATTAAAATTTTTTAGATATACATACTTTGACATCCCGAGATGCTTGAATATTTGCTAAGGTTTGTTTCATTCCTTTTCCAACTTGCCAAATAATAGCTTCTGGGGGCTGACCATGAAAAGGCCATTCTCCACAAAGAAGTTCATACCATACAGTACTAAATAAAATGAGACAAGAGTTAATTGTGGTTGAGTAAAATCAGGCATTATATAAAGTTATTACAGTAACTTAATAAAGCAATTAAGCATTTTTGTGTAAGATATAAGATAACTGATGCATCCATTTTAAAATATTTATAAATACCTTATTAATAATTCTAAATAATACATCATTCAAAGGTGGAATTTAAAAGATGCAGTAATTTTTGGGTAATATCAAGTCCTTTTCTTTTTCTTGGTCATATACAACTCAAGAAATGTATTAAACTTTTCCATTTTAGTGTGTATATGTAAGTAACAAATTTGTTTTTGTAAAAAATAACAAAAACCAGTAAACAGGCTGTTTTTTTTTTTAAAAAGAAAGAAAAATCTACCCATAATTTTCAGAATAAAAAAGTTGTCGAGAACTGGTTTTTTATGCGACGGTTCTGCTTTTGCGCATGCAAGAAATAAGACAATATTGTTGTAAAGAAACGCAAAAACTATCAAGGAGTTGTAGTTTTAAAATTATAATGTAATAAGAGGATAGACTGCATTTTTCTAAGAATGAGTTATGTGAAGGGCCTACTTTCGAAGAGAAAATTAATAAAATATAACATAACCTTTTTAATGCAAAATAATTATTGAAAAGTCCATTTTTATAGTAAAATAATTTGTGTATAATTCGCATTTAGGATAAAATAATTCGTGAAAGGATCCAAATTTCTCCTAAATAAGAACTCAGATCACATTTAATTGATTATGTGTACAAGATATAAAAAATAAAAATAATGAGATTATGAATATAAATGAGTTGTGTTTAAAATTGCCAATATTAGGACTATTACTTTCAATAATAATATATAATGTTTTAAGAATACAAGTAGCTGACAAATTAATTTCCCTTGCTTTTGCAAAATTACTTCACTTAAATAAATAGGCATAGGAATAGAAAAGATTACAATAAATTGAATTACCCAAAGGCAAATATATCTGAGGCTCTAGAAAAAGGCAAATTGTCACTATCTTGTTGGCTTCCAGCCCTTAAACTACGAACAATTTCAGGAGCTAAGTAACATAACCATCCTTTAGGTATCGTTAACCATTCTCCTTTTCTGGAATAAAAATATTTAATTTTTAGAGGATTACATTTAATATGCAAATGCAACAGCATGATCACTTTCACTTAAACTTTAAACTCTATTTACGCTATTAAAGTAGCTTATGACAGTCACGTGATAGAAATTATAATACAGTAGAACCTTGATCAATCGTTTCCCATCGGAACATTCATTGCGAATGCTAGATATGGGAAAAGGATGAATGCGTATTAACAAAAATGGATATGGGATAAGTAATGGACATAAAAATTAACTATAAGTATAAAAAAAAAATTATGCCCATTATGCAAAAATGCTTACCATTCAAAAGTATGAACACGTTTATTTATTTAAAATATTTTGATTTTTATACAATCTGTTCTTCTCAGCACAAAAATTAAAATTTTGAAATCTGTAATACCCACACTCACATGAATACAGAATGTTGCTCATTGTTTCTGCAGAAAAGTTTGGCAGTGGTTGTAATTCCGTTTTGACTTTTTTTTTTATTGAAATCACTTTGCGCATCTTGAGATTTTGCAACCATTTCTCGAATCGACGACACTACAAGTTTCAACATTTTTACAACTGTAACAAATATGTTTATTTTCTTCATTAACAACAGGAATCACTGTTTTCCTTCTTAAAATGAAAAAATTTTGATAATTTTTAAATGCCAGCAGAATTTCTGAATGATAGACGTGGGAATTTTCAAGCTCTAAAAACAATCTAAATAGGTTCGATTAATGTTATAAGACTAGCATTTGTAACGGGGCCATAAAAAAGACGATATATACTAGAAGATGATATATGCAGAAAGATACAATAGATGATACAGGAAAACAATACAATCGGAAGGTGTGGGAACGATGGATAAAGGATCAACTGCATACAGAAGATTTAATAGACCAATTTTCATCCATATAACATGTCAGAACATGACTTGTAATACTTTATTATGCTGAATTTTTTAAAATAAAAAGATGATTTATTTTTTTAAAGTTTAAAATCAACAAGAATTCAATCAATACAAGAAATTTAAGTCATTCCTACAAATTTTGTTGCAAAATTTTCCATTGAAGCTCAGAAATACCTAGATTAAGTGAAATTAAAACAGTATGAATAACATACCTGCCAACTTTTACGCATTTGGCGTAAAATTTTATTTTTATATTTAAAGTGGTAGTAAATATACACTATTTTTTTCTTTTATAAACTTATTTTAAAAATGATTTTGATCACCACTATTCTTAAAAAAATTAAGCATATACCTTAATATGTGTTACTATCATGGTTGTCAGCTAAAGCCTTTTAAAATATAAGGCATTGTTTGCTTACAATTGAAATTTTAATTCTATATTACTACCACTGGGAAATATCATAATGGAACGGATTAAAAGTTGGCAGGTATGGAATAAAGCACAAGTAATGAAAATGAGATGTTATCAGGCATGAAAGTGTCCAAAATAAAAAAAAGCTGAACTTTTACAACTCAGTCACGATGATGAGGGGGGGGGGGNGGGGGGGGGGAGTGTTCAACATAATACTGTGATATCGATGAGAGCAACTTTTGACTATGCCAAGAGATTTTCATTTAATATTTGAAGTGGCAGAAGCATTTAGACAGTTAAATTTAGAATTTTCTTAAATATAATTATAAAATTTTGACCTTTACTATATTAAAAAAATAAAGCAATTGCAGGAATTCGGGGCCTTATTATTTTAAATTAATTACCAGTCAATAATTTTAAACTAAAACAGTTGCCAACTTTAACATTAATATCTTCTGATAGATTGTTACTAACAGTTTTAGTCACGTTTACTGTTTCAATTAACCAATCAAACTTGAATTTATTTTTTCAGTCGCATCGATTGAATGCACTTTGTGTTTGCCTTTCAAATTGACTACCATTGTTAAAATACATTCATCTTACTCATAAGTGCTAACTTGTTAAAAAACAAAAATAGGAACACAAAGCTTGATAAGCCAATCAAAGGTAATTATGACTCAAAAACATAAAAAATCAAAATATCCATATATTTATAAACGGTAAACATTTCAAATCTAACATAATTATTTTGAGTTAACAGTTTTAATTAAATTACTTACGAATGAAGTATATCACATCTTTATAGTAACTAATTCAAGAAAAAACTTACTTCTTTCAGGAACCGCGATATGGGATTTTAAAATCGTGTAAATATGGATTGCGATACTTTATTTTAAAATCACAAGAACACAAATAGCGACATTGTATTTTAAAATCATGTGAATATGAATTGCGGTATTTTATTTTAAAATCGAATGAACACGAATTGCGATATTGTATTTTAAAATAGCATACATATGAATCACGATATTGTATTTTAAAACCGGGCGAACACAAATCGCGTTAATTAAAATTTTATTTTAAAATCGTGTGAACATGAATAGAGATATTGGATTTTAAAATCGCGCGAATATGGATTGCGGTATTTTATTTTAAAACTGCAAGAACACGAAGTGCGATATTTTATTTTAAAATCGTGTGAATATGAATAGCGATACTTTATTTTAAAATCGCGTGAACATGAATCGCGATATTAGATTTTTAAATCGGGTGAACATGAATCACGATATTGGATTTCAAAAACACGAAAATACTAAATGCGATATTGAATTTTTAAATCGCGTAAATAAGAGTCACGGTGCATAATTTTTAGAACATGTGAATTTGAATAGCAATGAGTAGTTTTTAAACCGTGTATATGGGTGATTCTCACGAAATATGACAATTCACTGTCCCTTGCTCCAAGATCTAATACTATAATACTAAAAAAACTTTTTTTCTTCAAAAGATTAATAAATAGCATTGCTGCTAGCATTTCAAAATGACTTAGCACTAGCATTGGCTGTTTTGTATACTTAAAAAATTTAATTGAATATCAAATTGTCTCTTGGCAGGTCCCAAACAATGTTTCCAATAATAACTAGCTTCAAAATTTCCCATAAATTTTTCAATATCTAATTTTTTTTTATCTCAACCGGTGTGAGTATTTCTAGAATATGCGCAGAGGGTATTATTTACAAAAACTTTGCTTAAGATAATTTTATCCGTTAATAATTTGTTTGCCCCAAGAAAATCTGTCATTTTCCTGGCTACTTTTATTTAGTGGTTTATAACCAAAATAAGTAGAGCTAGCAATCAATATCTTATGTTAATAGATTGATTAGATACCCTCCTATATGAACATGTCTTGTTGCATGAATAAAAAACCAATTTTCTGGTTCAAAATCTATTTCAAAAATGTTTTCAAGTTGAGTAGGTTCTTGTGTTGTCATTTTCCTGGCTTCTTGAAATCATTAATAACATAAACTACAGATTTATCTGAGTTATTTTAAGAAATCCTGTTGTTTTCTGCAGAATCTAAACGTCTTAGGCCAAAATATAAAATTAAAGTAAAGTTATATGCTATAAAATGGTGAATTTGTAATATCCTGGCTTATGAATGCCAGGACATTGAAGTGTCAACAGAAATTTTTTTTTTAACTGCTAACACTGTATGGAGGGAAAGCAAATATTAACCTAATACCAAGTTTATGTATGATTGTAATATGCTTGGATCTAATCAAAGTTATTCATTTATTTAATGATTGATTGTTATACACAATTTTGTTCTGTACATATCAGCAACAAATTTTTTTTTGTTTCTTTCTACAGTGAACAAGAATTAATTTAAGCAATTTATGGTCCATCTAACATAAAGGCTTAAGTTGAGTTACTTACTATTAACTTAAAATGACTGTTTTTAAAACTTCTAAGCTAATATGCCATTTTCCTGGCATTCAAGATTTGGTGAATTTCTATTTTATTTTTTTTTCTCGAGCAAATGTCAATAAACTACACTGCTGTCTGTAAGATATTAATAAGTGTAACTAAAGAAGTATAAAAAATTCTTTTTAGATTACTTTGAAGACTTTAAATTTGAAGAAATTTTTTGGTCTGAATTGTCATGTTTAAAAAGAATCACCCATAAATAAGAAAATCGATGCATGATATTACAACCGCATGATAATGTATCGCAATATTGAATTTTAAAAATGCATGAATACGAATCGCGATATTGGGTTTTAAATACGCTTGAATACGAATCGCGATATTGGGTTTTAAATACTGAAGATCATTTCCTCAGGAGGCTATAGCAGGAGAAAAAAGTTCGTTCAAAGTCAGACTATTATTTGGGCGGCTTGGGTTTCTATTATTGGGCTCCCCAAAAATTAAATTTTCCCCCGCTTTTTTGTGTGGAAGTCTTTCATCCTTGGGTGTTATTCACGTGTTGATGTCATTTAGTTTTATTCACATATAACACTAAGCGTACTCTTTCTTCATTTGGACCTTGCCTTTTCAGAATAATGCAAACATATGCCATTTTTCCTCTTAAAAACAAGAAAAAATAGTTTAAAAAAAAACTGCAATAAATATTTTTTTACCTGTTTCCATGACACAATTTGGTAACAGAAAACAAACCAAAATCTGTTATAACAACTTTTCCATTTTCATAAAAAATATTTTTTGTTTTCAGATCTTTATGAATGATGTCCCTGGCATGAAGGTAACCCATACCCTGTAAAAAATACATTATTATTTTAGAAAATTATATTTTTTAAGTTACTTAAAGATATAACAAAAATGTAATATTATATGCTGCTTACATTTTAAAATAAAACTTAATTGATTTTAGTGTTACAAAAAGATGAATTTTTAAAAAAAAATTTCTAAGTAATAAATATGGATGTTATTAAAATAAATTTAAATATTAAGTAGTAGTAAAACGTATATAAAAAACTTAAATTATGTTCAGAATGCAACCTTTTTTCAATAAAATTATATTTTTTTAGAAATTCTGCTTTAATAGGAGAAAAATGTGGAGAAGAGAATTTATGTACTTTTTAGAAACTTAGGGAAAACATTGAAATATGAGGAAAGGGCCACTTGAAAAAATCAGTGAGTTCCTAAATAGAAATAACTAAAAGTGATATGGCAGTGTTTTCACTACAGCGCGAGAACGCGAGAATCTCGCATATTTTTTTCTTTTCTCGCATTAAAAAATGATTACCGCGAGAAATTCGCGCACTCTATAAATCGATTTCAAAATTCGCGAATTTCTTGCATTTTGGAAAAAGCTTCGAATTACGCCATTTAGAAAAAAATCCGTTTCACTTTTCTTCCTAGATCTTTCATTATTTTCATCATCTGCCCCATTATCTAGCTTCCCTATTTACCAGTGTTGTTTAGAACCTTTTCGAACAACAGAACACAACCACGGAACCCCTTTCAGAGCACATTTCTCTACAATCACGTGTTCACCGTAGGTAAGGTTTCTTCATGTAAGACGTTCAAATTTTTTATGCACTTATGTAAGATGGACAAATACCTTGTAAAGGCAAAATCTTCTATGATGATGCACCAAAAATATTCAATGCCTTAAAAAATAGAAGACGTTAAAAATTTATTATAATTAAAGAAATAATTTTTTAGTTTTTAGAAATCTCACTTAACTTTTTGAAATCTCACCCTGTTTTTGAGAAAGGGTGAGAAATTCTCACCCATTTTTTTTCTAAGATGAAAACACTGTATGGTAATAATTAGTTTATAAGTTGTTAATTTAATATAATTAACTTTACTCTGCAAGATTTCATACTGAAAATAATAAGAATAATATAATATAACAATAAGAATTTTAAACACTTTTTTTTTTAATAAAAAGATTTAAAAACAAATGGATTATTTTTTTATTTATTTAAGAATAACTTTTCAAGTGCTAAGTTTTAATAATTTAATTATTATAAAAATATGACTTTTCTGTACACTTTATTAACAAAACTTTTATAAGTAAACAAAAATATGCATTACTTACTTGAGATATTTGTTGAGCTATTGTGATTGTTCGATTTAAGTTGAATTTATCTTTTCGAAGGTGAATATGAGTATACAGAGTCATACCCTTACATAAACTGCAATAAAAAGCACATTTTATTTTCAGGTTATTATTAGAAAATTTTGTTAAAAATAACATTAGGCCACAATTTTTTTTACAATACTTGATACGCTCATAGTAATTTAGATTCCAGCTGATGCTTTAAGATATATAACAGAAATATATTTAAAAACTAAAACTAAGTAGAAAAGACAAATAAAAAAAAAAAAAAAAAAAAAAAAAAAAAAAAAAAAAAAGAAGAGAAGAATGAAAGAAAAATGACATGTGGCTTTCCCCAATAAGTCAAGACTGAATTTTACTCAAGGTGGAGTTGAGCAGGAAATGCTTTTATTTCCCCAAATGACATTTTAAGGAATACCATAATTTAAAAAAATTAAAATCTTTTGAAATATATTTCCTGAAATTTAAAAAACAACATTATAATTCTCAATCTTTTAAAACCATATCTGAAATTAAAATAGTGGTACAAACGAATTTCACCAATTTAATTATAAATTGAGAAGTAAGCAATACATTTGCATAGGATGGAAAGATCATTAATCAATCAGCAAATTTACTTTTTATAATGCAGGTACATATTATAAAATAACTTTGCAGACAAGACCCTCTGGAGAGCATACCATTTGAATGAACAGATTTAAATTTCGTACATAGGCAAAGTTAGCTGGTTTTAACCAAGCAGTTTTTTTCTTCAATATTTTATATAATTAAATATTACTATAATTCAACTAGATATTTAATCTTGCATACTTTAAGCTATATTTTGCAAATATTTTGTTTTGTTATAAATACTAGTTGTCAGGTAAATTGAAATTCCTCTGACTACCCGAAAAGGTTTACTAAATTTTTTACAAAGAGAAAGAGTCGACTCTGAGCAAGTGGAGGAGAAAAATATCTTAGCTTACTTCTGTGAGGAGCTAAAATGATCACCTACCTGGTAAACACATCTTTGTAAAGGTTAGACTTACGGTTTAAAGAGACAGAAGCTTTACTTTAATAAATTAAAGATATAAAATAATAATAATAATTTTATGTTAGTTATTTTTGACCAAAAAATATGACTTGACTTGGTTAGAGATAAATAAATTCTTTTAAAAATGAATGATTATCAGCCAACAATCTTAAGTAAATAAATATTTAATTGTGATAACACCAGAAAACCATAACATTTTTAAAAATACTGTCTAGAAATCACTTGTATCCTAACTATTTTACTAAAAATAGTAATAATTAAAATGTTTATGAAGAGCAACAGATAATCCTTCACTTTTTGGCCCAAAAAAAGATGACTTAGCTTGACTAGAGATAATTAATTACAGTTGAGATGCAATAAGCAAAATTTGTTTATTCAGAAGAATTTGAAAATTTCTCAACAAAATGAAAAGTCATATGAACTTGATCTTTAAAGATCAAACTAAAGCAAAAAATTTCTGGAATTTTAACAAGTATTATTGAGGTATATAAAATTTTGTAAATATAAAAGAAAGTTATCATACATGACATCAATAAAATAAATATTAATTGACAGAAATATTTTCCATTTCCATTTGACTTTACAAAAATTTTTTTAGTGTATTTTTGAATTAATTTTGAACAGCAATATATATTTAATTAATTTTAGATAGCTATAACATAATTTTTAGCAAATATATATAAATAGTGACTTTCAATAAAATAAAATTTTAAAATATTAAAAAAAAATTTATTAATAAAAATTATGATTATTATAAATGAGGCTTATATCATTGTTTAGCATTAATAAATATTTAAGCAAGCAATAAACTGAGTTAAAAATACAACAAAATATAGAAAAACTAAAAGAATTTTTCATAGAAGCAATCGACTAGGAGAGACCTGAAAATAGAAATTTCAGTTAGTAGCCAGTAGACTCTAATAACTTTTAGCCACTTTTTCTTTACACCAAATGAGTATGTGACAATTACAGATAGGTCTTTTTCATTTAATAGTGAGATTTTTTTTTTTTTTATTGTGCTTGACCTAAATTATATTTTTAAAAAAAAATCCTTTAAAAAATAATTTACAGCTATGAAAAGTTAATTCAACAATAAAAATAGTATAAATCTGTTACAAATTTTAGTTAAACATACTGACTTGAATGCTGAAAAAAAAAAGAGACTGGTTTCTTATTAGTTATTTTCTGGTCTAGACTGGAAGAAATTCGAGTAGTTTACTAGATAATCCAACAGAGTTGGCAACCACATAATAAGAAAAAGAGTATACTAACCTTGTGACAATTGCTAATTTAGGAGGTTTCATACAGGCACCCATAAAAAGCACTAAATTTTCATGCCGTGTTTTTCGAAATGTAGCAACCTATTAAATAAGTATACATAAAATGAGGCATACAAGAGAAAAATTTATTCTAGATGATTTACATGCTTAACCTTTTCCGGGGGGCTGTGACAGCAGTTGTCACATCTGATCTTGGGGTCCTGTGGTGGGCATGTGACACTTTCAGCGTAAGAATAGGGGAAAAAATCTCTTCCTCAGTTAAGAGACAGGATCAAGTTACAGTGGGATTTGTTTTATTGTTTTAGTCACTACGAGAGGTCTCACCTTTTTAAGTTAAGGGGAGAAAAGTTTCTTTACATTTCCCACCTACCTTCAAACATCTATTCCAAGTTCGGGCACTTTTTCGTTTGTCTGCCGTTTTCTTACGTCTTTTTTAGCCAGTTTCATTGTTGCTATTTTTCTGTACAAATTTTTTCGTTCTAGTTGTGAATTATATTTTGAATAAATTAATTTCTTTACTACAAATATAATTTAGCGAATATTTTCAATTGTATATAAAAAAAATATGGAATAATCAGAATCGAAAAGCGCTCTTTTAAGTAAATTAAATCAAATTGAAATAAAATATCAAAGCAATATATTTTGCATAAACTCAAATAAATAGTTTTTTTTAGGTTTTGTTTTAAATTCGTGTTATAAATATAGTTATTAGAATTTTAAAATTTTGATTATAATTCCTGCAGTTTAAAAAAAATTTTCTTACATGATTTTAAATAAATATCTGCATTTCCGAAGAGAAATATATATACTTAATACTACCGAAGAGTATTTATACTTTTAGATACANAAAATATTTTAAATGTCACATTTATAAATATATAATTTATAATTACTAATGTATTTTCCATGTTTAAGAAATTGAAATCATAAACGCTATTTTTAACTTTCTTAAGAAAACCATTTTCCTTTTGTGGCAATTTTCATGTTTCTTTCCCTCTTTCTACACACAGTTTAACTTTCAGTTATAGTTTCTAGAAATTCTTTTAATATTTTAGTTTGGTATCTTTTTATAAGATTGAAGCTAAATTTTTGAACAATAACATGAGTAAGTTGAAGTCAATTGTGAATGACTATGTTTTTTGAAAAAAATGTAAAAATGCTAGGGAAAAAAATTATATATGCTACGCAGTTTCAATAAGTACTTACTTTTCATGAAATTTGCAGCAAAATAAAAGAAATGAGCCCGATTGTTATATGATAATCATTTGCAAATGAAGCACATTAACTGAAATATTTATGAGTTTCTGCATTTTTGGAACTATTTTAAAAATACATAAAGGAAGTTGAAGAAAATTTTTGCTAGAAATTTAGAACGCATATTAGATTCTTACTAAGAGTTCAAGGGATAAATGTGCTAAGAATCGTGTTTTAAATTTAGAGCTCGGTTGACGCATAAAATATTTTTTAAAGGAATGGTATAAACTATTATATACTATTTTGAAAATTAATTAAAAAAAATTTTTATATTTATTTTTAAATAATTAACAAAGTTATTATAGTTTATAATTTTTTACGAAATCTTAAAAATTTATAAAATAAGAAGAATTTATTTCATAACATAATTTTCAATCGAAATTATCTTACTTACTTAACAAGAGAGGATCTTTCAAATTAGCCGGGAGTTAGGGCAAAATTATCCTCATTTACCTTGCTTTAATATTTCATTATTATTATCAATAATAAATAAATGACTCTGCTGAATAAAGAGAAAAATATTTATCAGTTATTGAAGTGACCGGTTTTTTTCATAAGTCGATAGATCAAAAAGATAAAAATAAAATAATTCATTCAAAGAGTTAATATCAAATTAAATTTCCTATATTTTCTTTTCCATCGGCTATGACTTAAATCCATTTACTAATAATTCAGACTGAAGAGACCCTTCTACAAAAATATGACATTACAACTATTTATGTTCTTTCCTAAGATTTATTATCTTTCGATGAGATATTAAATTTTCAGCAATGTTACAAATATTTATAAATTAAAATACTGATATTTATAATGTATAATATAGATATTTATAATTAAAAAAATTATGACCACGAAAAAGAACTCTTCATGTATATAAAAATTGATTCAAAGAAGCGAACAAAAGGGTTTTTTTCCGCATTATGACCCGATTTCACTGCATGATAACTCTCAGGAAGAACTGATTTCACACTTTAAACATAGTAATCCCCAAAATGCAAGAGAGGAAGATCTATCCATTATTTACGTGAAAAATGGATGTAGATCGAGCTTTTCCCTTTGGTCCTTGAAATTTCCGACGTTTTTTAACTCAATAATAGAGTGTTTATTATCACTGTGCACCTCATTAGCTTGTATATTTTTTGCGGAAACATGTAAATAAACCAATCCTTTTAATATGGCATCAAAGAGCTTATAAAAAATAGATATAACTTTAATAACTTATTTAAATAACGCCAGCGATACCAAACTGAAATTTTCAAAAACTGAGTTACCCGTTGAAACAATATTCCAAAGAACAAAGTTTTTTTTAACTATTCCTCAAATCTGTAAGAATATTTTTACATTTTAAACAGTAAAATGTTTAAATGTTTCATAATACGTTGAAAGTATTAATGTAAAGCAATGACGCACTACAATTTTATATATATATATATATGTGATTGCGCGCATAATATTTTTATAGCTAGCGTAATGAATAGTTTTTCGGGACTATGGTTAGGATAATGTGTTGTTTATAGAATTTAAAACAATAAAATGAGGAAATTGTGACACACCGCATTAACTCAGAATGTTTGTAAAACACTATAAATAGTCGACATGTGACATTCGGAATGTAGTTTTTTACCCTGAATCCTATAAAACCACCAAAGAAGTTTTCCCGCACTTTCTCAGTTGTCAATAAAAAACTGGAATCCACCCCCAGTGGTATTTCTATTATCCCGAACTGCGGTGGTGTAAAAGATAGCAAATGGCGTTTAGAATAACAGAGGGAGAATAAAACTCTCGGGGATGTTTAACACTCATCACTTGTCCTGTTCTAGGGATTAGCGGTGCCCTTTCTTGAATTCATCCCCCAGTCTCAGAAAGAGCCCACCAGAGGATCTCGATTTCTTACTTTTGCGCCCACGTGGAAAGGTTAAATACGCAGAATATTCTTATTTTACTGAATCGACAAAAGTATATGATGTAAATGAATTTGGGTGAATAAATGTAAATGGCTTTAGGCAAACAGAAAAATAAAAATTTAAAATAAAAACAAGTAATGGACCTAAAATATGTTTCTCCTGGATAAATACATGGCTTGAAGTAAGATTTCAAGACACTAAAGTCGTCACAGTAGACATTTTCTGGAATGTTCTTTAGAACCTTGGCGAAAGACTTTGTAATGTTCCATCGACCAACAACACCAATCAAGAATGTTATCAGACAAATTCCTAAATTTTGTTTACATTCCTATTTTTTTTGTGCTCCCATTTGGGTGAACCCATAGTCTGTCAGCAGGGGTAGAATTATCGGTTACTGCATCACAACACGTCTTTTTGGTCATGATTTAGAATTAGCATATATTACTCTTTCCTATGATCTCATAATAGTTAATATTAAAAATTCAGGTTATGTAAAATTAATGGCTTCATTACTGACTTCTTCATGGCCTTCAAATAATGCGAGGGTAAACCAGTAGACTTGGCATTCTGATAAACACTAACCAGCAAAAGCAATTTTTATCACGGGAAAGTCTTGATGGGAATCATTTGAGTGACTAAACATAAGTTAACTGGTCTCTTGACTGGTCAAAGTGTGCTGAGATGTTTATTTGCATAAAAAAGTGACATCAAATCTTACATACCAAGCGTGGGATATAAATATCCACTATGTCAGCTATCAAAAGGTACCCCAAGATAGAATGGAGTTAGCATGTCTTACATACTAGTGAATCAAGGTTTAATAATCTTGGTATTAATTACATCACACCATATGTCATAATATCTTAGACAGAGGTCTGTCTAGGTTTTTCTGAAAGGTACTTATTATGTGAAAATTTAGACATAATTCGTGAAAATTAAAAATTATAATAAAAAATCAACACAAAAATATGGATTTATCGTTTCTTACGCGATAAAAAAAGTAAAATTTTAAGAAAAAATATTTTGTGAAACTAGCGCTAAACGGTAGTAAATTTGGCCTGTATAGATCCCTGTTAGAGTTGAAGTAACATTAATCAAATACGATATGCAATATATTTCTACAATGAAGTCTGATTTACTTTTGTTATCACAATCTTTAATATAAGGGTGATTCTCAGGAAACATGAAATTTACTGTCCCTTGCTCCAAAATCTAATACTAAAAGAACTTTTTTTTAAAAAAAAAAAAATCAATAAATAGCATTTCTGTTAGCATTTTAAAATGACTTTGCATTAGCATTGAATGTTTTGTATACTTAAAAAATTTAATTGAATATCAAAATGTCATTTTCCTGGCATGTCCCAAACAATATTTCCAATAATAACTAGCTTCAAAACTTCCCATACATTTTTCAAAATCTAATTTTTCTTATCTTATCCTATATAAGCATTTCTGGAATATACACAGAGAGTATTGTTTACTAAAACTTCGTTTAAAATAATTTTTTCTGTCAATAATTTGTTTGTCCCATGAAAATCTGCCATTTTCCTAGCTACTTTTATTTAGTGACTTCTAACCAAAATAGATAGCGCCAGGAATCAACCATAGTCTGTCAGCAGGGGTAGAATTATTGGTTACTGCATCATAACACGTCTTTTCGGTCATGATTTAAAATTAACATATATTACTCTTTCTTAGGGTCTCTTAATAGTTAATATTAAACATTCATGTTATGTAAATTGAATGGCTTCATTACTGACTTCCTCATGGCCCTCAAATAATGCGAGGGTAAACTGGTAGAATTGGCATTCTGATAAACACTCATTACCAAAAGTGATGTAGAAAGTAGACTGAGAAAGTATCATAAGTTAACTGACCTCTTTACTGGTCAAAGTGTCCTGAGATGTTTATTTGCATAAAAGA